GAAAAAGATAAAATATTCAATACCACTTCGGACACCCAAGCAACAGTATGCACATTATGCATGACCTTTCAAAACATGATTTCATCTCTGTGAAACTAGTTACGTAACGTTTTATTGGACACGTAGTGGACATAACGATCGTTTCAATATTATGTTGTTGTTGTTCTTGTTCTTGTTCTTGTTCTTGTTCTTGTTCTTGTTCTTGTTCTTTGACACGTTTTTAAAAAGTCGCTTTTCTCTTCGAATACTGGACCAATTGCTTTGAAATTTTTAGTGGTTAAAGATTAATTTTTTCGCTAGAAGGCTATTACTTTTGTTTATTCTTAAATTTTATATGAATCCTATGAGATATGATATTTCATACAAAATTTCGCGGTATTTATTTTTACTCATGGGAACACTGTTTTACACTTATTTCAAGCGGTTTCGCGATCGATTGTCTTGCTCAGTACTACAGCTACTGTAGGTCGGTACTGGTAAGTTGCCATACAGGTACCGTAACGCAGTGAAATTGACTTATTCCTTCCGCGGTATTACTAATGCTGCAATGCAAGTTTTATAGCCTATCGTATGCGGAACGGAATATCAGACCTACAGGTTCGGTACCGGTAGCTCAGTACGTAAGTACGATACTGGTACTGGTGCCCTTACCGGTGTCTTACCACAATGAAATTACCGTAACTTATTCTTTCACGGTCCTACCAGTGCAGTAATGCAAGCGTTGTAGCACTTGTAGCCTACTATATTTGTTTATTTTGATGAGAGTCTACTGGAAACAACATAAAATTTGAAAGGGAAGAATTGTTCTGTGATCAATTATCTGTCCTAAAGTGTAAACAACATAAAATTTGCAAGGGAACAACTGTTCTGTGATCAATTACCGTATATGGCCTACAGTGTACAGGTAAGATGCTGGCTGACTGCTAACCGGTACTGGTAGCTCAGTACGTAAGTACGATACTGGTACTGGTGCCGGTACCGGTGTCTTACCACAATGAAATTACCGTAACTTATTCTTTCACGGTCCTACCAGTGCAGTAATGCAAGCGTTGTAGCACTTGTAGCAAACTATATTTGTTTATTTTGATGAGAGTCTACTGGAAACAACATAAAATTTGAAAAGGGAAGAATTGTTCTGTGATCAATTATCTGTCCTAAAGTGTAAACAACATAAAATTTGCAAGGGAACAACTGTTCTGTGATCAATTACCGTATATGGCCTACAGTGTACAGGTAAGATGCTGCCTGACTGCTAACTCAGTACCGCTTGACACGTTTTTAAAAGTCGCTTTTCTCTTCGAATACTGGACCAATTGCTTTGAAATTTTTAGTGGTTAAAGATAAAAATTTTCTCCAGAAGGCTATTACTTTTTTTTTCGCTATGACGTCATCAAAATTATGTGACTCTACGTGTCCATATATTTGAGCATAGCTCTCTTGTCTAAGAAGGCTTGGCAATTCAATAGAAAAATAATTCAAAATACTTGTGGTTATAACTTGCTTAATCGAGTCTGTCGCCATAGGATAGTATTGTTGTTGAAAGCAAATTCGTGTTGTACCGATGTGGGTATCTTCAGGCTTGTCCATGGGAAACGTCCCATGGGATGGGACAGCACACATTTATATTTCCCATGGGACACGAAAAGCCTATGATTTTCAGTGAAATGATGATAAAACATCTCGTTCTGGACTTCTTGTCGATATATTTTAGCATAGCTCTCTTGTTAGTTATAAAGACCAAAATATATTTAGCATTAACAATTACTTCGTGAAGGGGCTGATGGACACGTGTGTAATGCTTGAAAAAGTCCGTAAATTTTGTTGTTTTGCACGTCTCTTCGTACATGTAGTCCTATTTAGTAGACGCTAAACCTAAATTTAACTGTTTTTACCGAATTTTATTCCACTGGGAATCCTATGTGATGGGACAGGCATAATTGCTATGGGATGGGAAATGGGACAGAAAAATATGTCCCATGGACAAGCCTAAGGATTTTGGGATTTGCTGGACGCAAGATAAATAGAAATGTGACTCAATCCTGAAAGTCAGAGCCCATTATTTATTCTAAGCAGAAAATTTCTGTCAATACGGACACGGGTCTGACTTTGAAAGCTAATATAAAAGTAACAGGAGAGCAATGCACAAATATATGAACTTGAGGGCCAAAACATAATACTTCGGAGCTCCAGAGGTATGTGTCCCAAGATGGCGCACAACCTGAACATAGTATGTGTGTACCGGTTGAGATTCAGGTTGTGCGACATCTTGGTGCACATACTTCTGGAGCGCCAATATTTTACCCACAATTTTCCCCAAAATTATATCCTGAATTAATCTGGAACTGTAAAGCATCATAGGATAGGATTTACATATTTATTTCGGGGAAAGGAAAGTCGAACAGTTCACATCGGGTATATGATTAGCCAGGGGAAGCCGGATTGAAGAAATGGGAGAGGAGGTGGCGATATATCCAGAGGTGGCGATATCCAAGATGGCGCACAACCTGAACATAGTATCTCATAACATGTTATCTCATAATCGGTTTTGATCATTTTATTTCAAACATGAATTGATGATAAAATTGCACGAAGCAATCATGAACAGAATTAAAATAATAACACAAATTTAACAAATAAAAGTAGTGAGAGACAACGTACATAATTATCACAGTCATTTTCACAAACGTTACAGTGCCATTCTAATGATTATATTAACCAGACAGCTTCGCAAAATTGTTAAGTTAGGCACAAATATTTAATGAAGGCAGCTGGGTTATAGATTTTGCATGCTCTTTCATAAAAGTTACCCAGTAGTTCTCAAAGTGGGGGACGAAGACAATTTTTTGAAGGGACTTCAAGCTAATTAACATTTTTTGTTGGATTTGATTTTGTCCGCCTTATTTTGGATATTTACGATAAATCTACATATTTTTTGAATAAAACATACTTTCGTCTTACTATTTGTTATTTGTAGCTTATGGTTAGCTAGGTATTTTTGAGGTGGGGCGCGAGACTTGAAAACTTCAAAGGTCAAATTCATTTAATAAATCAGTATTTATGGACAATCCTATAAAGATAAAAGATTAGCAATCACATTTTAGTTTGATACACATCAGAGGTACGCACTGATTGACGTCCCCCAAAAAAAAAAATTTTACAAAAATTTATTAACACGTGAACTTCGTGATTGTACCTAAAAGTTCCAGTAATCTAGGCTGCTCAGCACAAAAGTATAATTAGTATTACAGATTGATCGATTCAGTGACAACACAAAGCATTTTCTCATTTGACAACATCGATTCATGAACACAATAATAATTGAGAATAAGTAATTGAACTAACACTCTAATCAGCTTATAAGTCTAGCAAATGAAACAAAATAAATGATTTGAAACACAAAAGCATGGATGTGTGGATATGGGCAGACAACATGGGTTAAGGCAGTGGTCGGCAACCTTTTTCCAGTGACGAACCGGTAAAGCCTGACCAAAATTTTGGCGGACCACCTTTATACAAACGAACTAATCTAATAAATTATATGAAAATGAAAGTTAGAAAATGAATGTTGACAATACATTCAAAAACAAAGGTGATACTATTCACATAACGTATTTCTTACGTTAAATCTTTCGTTTTTGTAATTGCCATTTTAAAAACCCAAACTCACATAAAGATAACAATGGCATTGTACGTTTTCATGTCACCTTTCTGCGGACCCGTAGTGACCTTTCCTCGGACCGGCGATGGGCCATGGCCTGGTGGTTGCCGACCACTGGGTTAAGGTATTTCTATACCAGTGGTTCTCAAACGTCAGGGTAACTCACAAAGAGGGCGGCGTAGACAATTTTTTAGGGACATGAGGCAAAAAATATTCGATTTGATCCAGTCCATCTTATTTTGGATATTTACATTTCTTTATTGTTTAGAGATTGCATTACCATCTATATAATATTAAAAACATACTTTCACCTTACTATTTGTTATTTGTAGCTCATTGATAGCTAGTTATTACTTATCGATCTTGAGATTGGTAAGTATGTTAATAGGTATTTGTCTGTTAGATACACACGATATCTCACGAAAGCGAGGTTCAATCTGCCCCAAATTTTGCATGTGAATTAACCATAGCTCGAACCGAAAGCCTATTGATTTTGAATGAATTATGTCGTATAATTAGCGAGTTAGTAATTAATCGGTGATGGGACATGCTGTGTCACTATAGAGTCAGAGTGAATGATCAATAAGTCTTTGATATTCTCGTTTTATGGCTTAAAAAGATTGAGAACCACTGGTCTATTATGAATCTCAAACAAAAATACTAAATATTCATTTTGTAGTCAAGAATAATTTTTAAATTAGCCAGCTTAGGTTCTGTCCATTTTCTGAATTCACTGACAGAGGCTTATCAAATTTGTGTGAATTATGTCAAACAGAAAATGGAACATTTATATATTTGAAAAATGGAGCCATGCTCAGTTATTAGAAACAAACAGCTGTAAATATTTTGTGGCAATTTCAGTAATTCATCATGACCCAGAAGACTTCCATTGTATAAACATATTATATAAAAAAACATTGTTCTGATAAAATAGTTGAATAGTAGAACACAATCTTTTTATGAATATTTACGTTATTTAATTGAAAGACTCATTCAGGTTCATTCGATGACTAACTCTAAGCATCAGAGTGCATAGTACTGATCATAAACTTGCATTGGTGTGCACATGTTCGTATAATTTTGTGCTCTATCAGTGTAAAAAAAGTGAAGGTAATGAGAGAAATTTAAAAAAATTTAAGAGCTAGTCCGGGGATGATATTTTACATAAATTGCTACTTGTTCTTCGTTCTATAATATGTAAGAAAATGTCATTCCGCATAAGTAAAGAATAGGAAATACATATCCATCCCGGGAGAGCGGAAAGACGATAAGATGGTCACAGCTTCTCATTCGGTTACCAGTTCATGTCCGATATGGAATTAGTTGGCCAGTTTTTTTTTTCATATGAATGAACTTGATGGATGCATTGATTGATAATATATATTATTATTAGAATGGGACCTCCTGAAGTATGCGCACCAACATGGCGCACAACCTGAAATCAGATTGTGTACCGGGTTAGGGTTCAGGTTATGCGACCTCTTGGTGCGCATACTTCAGGAGTACCTTAGAATGTTTATAAGCTCAAGAAATAACCAGTTATTAAATTAAACAGTGATGCGCAAATTAGGAAATTTTATGCTCGTCTTTCATAAACTATCATAGCTCATGGAGCAAAGTAAAATAACTGGCAGTTTTTTTTTACAATTTGCATCCAAAAAAAAAAAAAAAACTGAGACTGAAATTATGTGCCAACTACTAACTGCTAACTTGAGTCTATTACGTATTAGCATTATTTCATTAGTATAAAGCAAAACGATAAAATTGGTTTGAAATCTGAAAAACCTCCATTAATATATCAACACATGCGCAAGTCTGTAAATTTGCTTGAATACAAAGATTTAATTAGTGCTATAAACGGCTCGAATATCAATTGACTATGTCCGGAGTTATGCACCGAGTAGCTCTGGTTATTATCGAAAAATATTTACATGGGAAAATATTGTACAAAATTGATTTGCGAGAGTTTTTTCTATATGATGTGAATAATTACTTTTCCATAAGTTTTCTAAATCAATTTAATGATAGAGGAGCCACATACGTGTATTGTCGATACCATGATATGAGACATGTTTCTAGTTAACACTCTAGGAAAAAAGCTACACCTTGGCAAAGATTGGCCTTGTAATTAGATCATTTTTGTTTGTTAAAAACAATGGTTTGCCACATGGTATAGATGTTTGATGAAAAACCGGAAGTATTCAAAATCCCAAAGGAAAGGTTTTCGTAGAGCAGAGTAATTTTTTGAAATGGCTCAGTGTCAAACAAAACAACCATAAATTATAGCTTTCGTGTATAACATTGTTTTTTGTGTGTGAGTATGGCCATAATTAAAAACACTTCGGACCATCAGACCTCAAGATCAAATGCTTTATCACTTTCTGTATCATCAGAACTAATAGGCAGAGTTTCAGCCTGTTCTGAAGCAAGCATTTTTGCATAGTTTACGTGATCACAAATTCGTCTCGCTGTCGTTTCAGAGTGACAGATAATTTGTGGCTTTTTTGAAACGGAACCGTAACGCTGAGAATGAAGGGAACTTGATGAAGCTGAGTAATGAAGATTTCTATCTGATCTGGTATCCTAGAAAAGAAACAAGATGGAGGTATTGTAAAAGAGAGAACTAGTTCCCAACCAGAGCCTGTGGCCCTTGAAGTGGTCAGGGCCACCATGCTGAGTGCAAAACAGAGTTTACTTTTCACTTTACAAAAAAAACTACCCATTCTTCCTACTTCCCTTGCTTAATACGATTATTTCACAAGCAGTTTTCACTCAGCATGGATTGCCTGAACTATTACGAGTTCAGGGACTGTCTGTGTTAGCCAAGTGAATATACTCCGGCCCATAGGTTTCAGTCCCTTTACACAACTTGATGTAAAGTAGGCGAACAAAATTAGTTACTTCCATATTGGTATACACACTTCTGAAGCGTCGAAGTTTGTACTGGTGTGTACAATTGGGCACCAATTTTGATATGTATTAGTATCAGTAGGTACTTGTCTGGAGCCATGCTCAAAGTTAAGAGGTGAAAACACTCTATAAAAAAAAAAACCAACCATTTTAATAGCAAGCTCCAGTCCCCATTCAGCTTGTTGTGATACTGGTCTAGCATTCAGTAGATCCTGGTAATTCACTCTCAATGATATCCCATCAGGATCCGGTTCTTTGTTTCTCATTAGATAAACCCGTTTGTTGGTGACAAGAAACTGAAACAGAGAAATGCTAGAATATATGAACGAGAAGTATTAATAACCAAGTAGCACTGGTAGGGTAGCATATGCCAGTGTTTCCCAACCTTTGGGTCGTGGCCAAAAAAAGGGTCAGCTGAAAATTTTTTAGAAAATTTCATCGATTATATTTTATTTGGTATCGAAGTGTTGCTCAATAGTAATTGTACATGTGGGAATATCACAGCGTAAAAACTTCCCAATAAAAATACATAGACGACATGGACATTACTATATCTTACCAACATAATAACCTACACAATATTAAAACTGCCAAATCCATGCATGATACTCAGTGGCATAGCACTTCATTAGTTATCTTATTTCGAACTTTCCATAAAAATACACAGACAATGTTACTACCGGTATATCTTACCAGCATGCTCTCTTTCCTCTCCTATTTATTTCAATGAAAGAGTAAATCCATTCATCGTAATTACTTCCATTGATTGAGTAAAGGAATTGCTGACTTTCAGATCTTGAATCTGAGAAACATTCTAAGCAACCCTGTAACAAAATTTATGGTTGAACTTTTAGAAAAATTTGGGTAGAAGATGAATGACTTTGACTGAGTTTCCTTAGATCCAGACAAGCTTGGGGCAAGTAGCCGCTGTTCAAAACCTTACTGGCCTAAGAACACTTATGCGACATGTACCTTTTGCAAGGCTTAACGGTTGTGTTGCATCATGCTAAGCGCTAGGAGTATGATCGCAACCGAATATCTGATTACCCTGCGTTTGAAGGTTCGAATCCTGTGGGAAATCATTATATGCAAAAAGATTGCTGGACTCCTCGTTGCCGAAGGGTGGTTCACATAGCGACTGGTCACCTACGGCTTCCTCAACCTATACCTAATTTAGACTGGTAACCGGGCGAAAAGCTGTGGTTAGCCATAAGTTTAGGCAGATTTTCCTCTCCCCTGGGATAAATATGTAAATCCTATCCCTAGTTCGGGTCTGCTGCATTAAAATAGGACAACAGACACGAAAAACGGAAGTAAACTTTAGCATCACATGTAGCAACGAACCTGAAAGCTGTGACAAGTTCTTGGCAGTCTAACTTTCTTGACATTCATGTCACTTGAAATACTCGAATCACGAACAAATGAGGCCGTTTCAGATGCAAAATCTAGAACACCTGGAATGTATTAAAAACAAGTTAAAAATAAATGCTGTAATATCAGTATCAAGCCTCTGCCCTGCATTCCTGCTGCCGTTCCAATGTTTCTCGCACATAGGTGCTTAGAGTCATTTTTTTTTCGTTTTCTGTATATCGGGCATCTCCTGGATATTCAGGTCGCCTCGACTTTTATCACTTTTCATATTCTTTTAATCATTGTTTGACTTTTCCATTGTATTTTAAATACTGTTAGACTTTATCACGGGTGTCGCCGCTCGAAAACCAGTATTGGTTTCTTGCGACTCCTATCAGTTTTTGCGTCTTTTTACATTCTGTTTTCATTTAGTGTATTTCATGTATGGTGAAAAATAAATCACTGATTACTGCTAAATGTTTGTTTTTGATTCTTGTCCAATGATATATTACAAAGACTGGCCTTATTGTCAGAGTTGGACCTGACTATGTGAGCATTGCAGTTTAGGTCCCCAAGTTAATCTACGTTCCCCTCAGGAATGATTCTAGCCTTGGTGAAAGAATTGTTAGCTCTATCTTTATTGTATTTCTGGCAACTACCATTTTCCCAGATGGCTAAGCATGACTTGTGATGTCATCAGTCACAGTTGACTGATCATGAACAACCAGCTGTGAAGGTGAAGTAGCCATGTGCTCTATGTACTTGAGGGCTCATTCATGTTGGTATTGATCTGGACTTTTATTAGATATACGTTCATACTGAGTTACCAATAATAGCTGCTAACACATCAGCAGCTGCATATGTACATTTTTCAGTGCTCCAGAAGTGTGTGTACCAATATGGAGGTAACTAATTTTGTTTGCCTACTTTACATCACTATGTGTGAAGGGACTGAAGCCTATGGGCAGGGGTATATTCACTTGGCTAACACAGACGATCCCTAAATTTGCAATAGAATTAAAATAAGGAAAATCGGAATAAAATTATGGCCTAACCCTAACCTGGTACCCATAACAGGAGTACCCATTTTTCAGAGTGAAAATATCAAAATGACTGGTTAAAAATACTGACCTGTAACAGGTTTAGTTACTGTCCCAACTAATCCTTTACCAAATCCTGTGAAAAACCCTTTAGCGCCCTCGTCTGAGGCCCCTCGAACTGTCTGCGTAACAATACTTGTCAAACCTCCAACAAGCCCGGTACCCAAACTCTGAAAAACAAATATTGTTGATATCAGAGTACCATGAGATTGCTATGTTTAATCTAGGACACAATGGAAATCTTAACCGATTTCTCATGGCAAACTCGAATCCCACTGGAGGTTAGTTATGTGTACGAGTACTGCTCGCCATCGTGAACTAGTTCAATCTTTTGTTAGCAAATCCATCTCACTATCAAATGTATGTATCGGACGGAAGTGAACCAACTTACAAAGGAATTGTGTCAACAAACTACATTAGTACCTGTAGGCCAGCCACGAAATGATCTGTTGCATTGTTAGGATTAGAGCGGATGGCTCGTCTTTTTTCTTCATGATTTTGATCCATCGTGATTCCTCCAGCAAAGGTGGACAGAGATCCGGTGAACTGGAGGAAAACATAATTTCACTTAACTTTTGCATAATAACAGGGTGAGGTTTTAAACAGTTCTACCAGGGTGGTCCAAACTCAGGCCCTCGGGCTAAGTATAGAATTTAATTAATATTATTTATTATTATATTTTTATATTAATTTTATATTTATGTTAATTAAAACAAAATTTTGCAACTTTTAGTAGGTTTTTTAGTGGTTTTTGCATGTTTTAGCTTGCTAAATACTGATGTGTTTGGCACTATGGGGTTCGCATAATATGGAAAATTGATTTTTTGGCTCCGTAGCCGACAACCTTGGACCACCCTGGTGTATACAGTGCTGTGTATAAATAGTCAAGTAATTTGTAGGTTACTACTTTGGAATATCAGGGTATTAATGAGTAAATTGCCTCCTTCTCCTGCTTACACTAACCATTAGTGCCGCCATGCCATTATTTCATTGGATAGGATTGAGAATTTACATATTTATCCAGGGGAGAGGAAGGCAATGAGACAGCTCAATCATATGGCGAACCACGGCCTCTCGGCTGGCTACGAGCATAGTCAGGTTTAAAATTAGTTAGCCAGTTATTTGTTTTCGGAAGCATGAACTATATGGTGGCCTCATAAAAATTTGTATAATCAAATACCGGGACACATGTAATTTGATTTGCTTGAGCAAAGGCTTAACTAGAAACCAATTTAAAGGTCCCAGGTATCGAAGAGGAACCTGAATATAAAATAAAACATTTGCCACTCCAGAAGTGTGTGTACCAATATGAAGGTAACTAATTTTGTTTGCCTACTTCACATCAAGTTGTATAAAGGGACTGAAACTTATGTATAGGGGCTATATTCACTTGGCCGACACAGACAGTCCCCGAACTCGTAATAGAACTAAAATAAGCAAAATTGGATTAAAATAATGGCCTAACCCTATCCTGGTACAAACACTACGAAAGTATCACACATTCTATCAGACCTTTGCTGCAGAATTTGACAATCCATGAGTGACATGCTTCAGTAAACTCCCTGGTTTTCCTTGAACCATACTTCCGAGACCTGCTTTCAGGTCGCTAAGTAGGCCAATAGGATTTCCAAGGAAATCAACAGCACCAAGTATCCTCGCCGCTTGCCCTCGTAGTTGCTCAGTGAAATGCTGAAAAATTTTGAAAAAGAGTTCAATGGTTGTAAATACAAAGAATTATGTATCCGAGAATCAAAGGTTCTTATACCACGTTTTTTATTTTTGCTTTTAACAAGGCTCTATACAGGTGGCCACTGATATATAAGATATGTAAAGAGTCTATTTTGAAATACCAGGATCTTTCTTATTCGGCATTGTCTGCCCAATTCATTACATTCCGAGTGAAGTGGGGGTCATTGGATTTGAACCCAAGATGCGTAATCTGTTCTAACACAGTTATTACAAAGTTAGTTACCTCCATATCGGTACACACCCTTCTGAAGATGGTAATAGTAACATGGCATAGCGGGCCTACCCTTTCTCATGGTTGTGACATCTTATAAATAGTTTTCTAATTATTTTAGTATAGCAGTAGGGAGCTTAGAAACAGTTCAAATGAGTTTCTCTCGAAATATTTTACTACATACTACATAAGATATTTTCCTCTTGCAGGTAAATAACACTTACCTTCTTGGCTTCATCCACCATAAACACGGTTGTTTCAAAAACATGTTTTCTCTCATACGGTTGCATTGTTACCGGAGCTCTCTCAAATTGTATGAGCATCAATGAGGATGATTGCTTGATTTGCTGAAAAATTAATTGAAATTTATGACATAGTAAAGTGAGTCAGAGGATACACAATATGAACTTGAATGAGATGATAACAAGAGTATGAAGGGTTCAATTCAGCTTTTAGTAATTCGATTTACTAATTTAGGGGTAACAATACTAAAAAGTTTGGAAACAACTGGTATAGAGTGAAGAAGCTGAGACACCTCATGAAAAATGGTAATGATGAAAGAGGTTTTTGGTAATTCGATCATTTAGGAGAAACGATACCAGATAGAGTGAAGAAGCTTAGACACCTTGTGAAAAACAGAAATAAGATTTTGGCTCTTGCGAAAGCATAGTACAGTAGTTCCCAACATTGTATGGCTCGTGGCTCACTTCCGAAGACTTTTAGCACTCATCCCCCCCTTTTTATCATTCCAGTAGTACTAATAGTGATATTTTGATTGGTTGGTTCCAAGTCACGCATGTTCAAACAATTTATGCTTAACAAAGTGAAAACATCCTGTGAAATAACCTTATCAAGTGAAGTACGAGGAGATTTTATGTGAATGGAAAACTGAAAACAGTTTTGGGCATTTTATCCCCCCTTCAACAGCTCTGTGGCCCCCTAAGGGCCCCAGTTGGAAACCGCTGGCAAAATAGCCTCCTATATTGGCTATATATATCAGCGACTGTTTATCCTGAGCCTTGGTCAAAGTCAGAATTCAAAATCATGAAAAAGTAACAACGAAGTCTTACCTTTAACTCTAAATCCATGTTTGATCTTGAAGCCGTGAACATGGATAATTGCATTGGTTGAATTGAAACGATCAATGAATCGAAGTAATATCGCTTCCCACTATCCATCATTATCTTGGACACTGTTGCATTTTGAATCAAATCCATCTGTAAGAAAAATATCAGTTTTATTGAAATTTTCCATTTTCCATACAACAATGATAATTAACCCTGGTTTCATTGGTTAGGTATTACCAGACCTAACATATACTGGTAATGGTAACCAAACATGAATTGGTAAAATCAGACCGGTTTACTCACCCTGGTTTCATCAAGAAGTGATAAATCCGTCTCAGGTGAAAGTCCAGATCCAAAAAATTGAATGAGTTTCAGGAGTAAGATTTCTTCGAGCTGTAGACACATTCTTCCAATGTTAATCGACAATGAACGATAAATCTCATACCTGGGAGAGAAAAAAAAAGAGGAAAATCAGGGTTGTTGTGTAGACGTCTAGTCTTGCCCTGACATGGCAAACTACGACCCGTAGGCCAAATCTGGCCTTCTGGGTAATTCAATCTGGCCCGCCTGATGCTGCCACAACCCAAACTAATTGTTGATGTTTAGGCTAAAAAATAACTCATGGAATTTGTTAAGATTGCGATTAAAATAAAAATTCGATCTTAACTTACAAGCTATTAGTAGAAGGCAGTTTTACAGCTTCAATGGAGAGAGCAGGCTGAGGGTCTGTAGCAGATGAGTTTGTTGAAGTCTGTGATTTGTCTCTGGTTGCAGCTGATTTATACGGATGCAACATCACGGGTGGTCGACCTCCAAGTAGTTGATTATCGATCTAAACAAAGTCAAAGAGATTAGAATCAAGAGCTTTTACCCAGAACAGTAAAACTAACATATTTTTAATTTCTAAATTCCTGTTACTTTTTATTGACTACAGTTGCTTAAACAGAACTTATTTTTTGTAACATTTCCACATTTTTCTCCAAAACTAGAATGGAAATAATAAAAACCAATTGGAATACGGGGGCCATTTAAAAATTATTTTCTTTTTTGGACTCAATTAGAGCACTTTAGTCAGGGAGACAAATATGGAAAATTTTTACCCTTGTCTTTTCTTACAAAAACACTTTGTACACAAAAATGTATCATTGAAAAACGTGCCAACCAGTTACCTGTATTCTCTGTATTTTGAGACCAAACTTTTGAATTTTCTCATCCAATGAGGCTTCTAGTCTCACACCAGACATTGTTAGATAAAGTAATTCCTCAGGTGCGTTGCTGATCAAGGAGAAACCTACACCTGTGTGCAGATGAAAAAAAAATTAAAACACAGAATTGTGATTAAACAATTCAGGGAGTGATTGTCTGAAATTGAGCAACTTTGAATCACCCCCTCAACCTAATCTGCCAAATCATTAATAAAATGACAGCGCGTTTCTGATCATGTGATTCGTAGTTGTGTGAATTTGTTTACGACAATACATTCGAGTCTCGGCTTCAGCTGGAGTAATTGTGTGTTTTCTGTCTTTCCTTGTGCAGCACTAGACAGAAGAGTTTATTTAGTTAATGGATTCCAAATCACAACTCTGTGAAAACCAAATTATGACCGGGAAACTTTGGTGGATGCAAATCTTCTTTAATTAGTTGTTGATAAAGCTTAGTTAACTCATGCTTTTTTAGTTTTGTTAAAGATCTTAACCTCAATTACTACTATTAGACGTCTAATATCCAAACTCCGAAAAAATATCCACAGTTTTTATTTTGGTTAAAAAATTTGAAAATAAAAAAAAAGGCAAAGTCCAAAGCCATAGTTGGACTTACCTACATTATTCTCACCTAAAACTGTAAGGTGAAGGCTGGGGGAGTCGTAAGGGGTTTAAGGCCGAACTTCCTTCTTTTGAAATGTAAAAAAAAGCTTTTTTCTGTATCACACAATGCAAGTTTTCGTAGCTTGAAACATGTTTTAGACTCTAAAGGATGCTCCCGAAGTATACGAACCAAGATGGCGAACATCGGAACGTAACATGGGTAACTGGTTAGGGTTAGGCGATAATTTTTTTCCAATTTTTCTTATTTTAGTCCTATTATCAGTTCGAAGACTATCCAAGAGCCTCCCGTAGTATTTATACCTAAAATTATGGCCTAACCCTAACCTAGTACACATATTACATTCCGATGTCCGCCATCTTGGTTCGCATACTTCGGGAGCCCCCTCTAAAGACTCTTGGAGACCCACGTTTTCTGGCCTCCAGACCCGCAAGCTGATACAATCTAACTTGACAATTTGGCAATTAGAAATTTCAGAACCATCATTTGAAAATTCCTGGATACGCTCCTGGATAGACAATCCTGAATTGTGTAGGTTCTAGATTTCATGTTGTGACCAAAATAAGAAACGAGAATATCGGTCGGAGACCGAAGACTTATCGATCGAAACTGCGGTTTCGATTCATGACTCTATAGTGACAGACAGATACCTATCAACATACTTACCGATCTAAAGATCGATAAGTAAAAACAAATCGCATAAATTTTGATAACATCTACGAAACATGGAGAAAATTGATTAAACACTGAACAATTGTTTGTGTATGATTGTACCCAAAAGTTTCAGTAATTCAGGACACTCCGCACAAATGTTCTGTTCTCTCTAGAACAGTGATTCCCAACATTCTATGGCTCGTGGTCTGCTTCCGTTTTTTTTAGCACTCATGGCCCAACTTTTTATCATTTATAGTGGTATTTTGATTGTTAGATTCCAAATCCCATTATGTTCAAACAAATCATGCTCAACAAATTCAAATCCCTCTGTAATACTTTATCAAGCATAGAAACTAGGAAGAATGGAGAGTTTTCTTGTAAATTGGAAAGTTTAATCAGTTTTGCGTTCGGTCATTCTTTGAATATTTCGTTGCCCCAGTTGGGAACCACTGCTCTAAAATATATTCAAAATAATCTGATTCTTTGATAACCCAGTATATCTTACCTTTTGCTAAGTCAATGTTCAAACTTATTTTCCTGGATTTTGAATTTGTTTTTTCCTCTTGACTCGGATCAACTGAATGAGATGAGTGTTGTCTCGTCATCATAACCCAGTTACTGGAATCACGAGATATGCCGGCTCGCTTTTGACTGTTATTAAAAATGGAAAAAGAAATTTATATACAATCCTGAAGTTCAATATATATATTTGCAAAAGGAGTCAGGAAATTCGAAAATAAAATAATAAAGTAAAAGCAATTAGATTGTAATGCCATCCCTTGTTATAAGAAGCCATTTTTATATTTACTGTGAAAAATAACACCAGGGATTATTTTAGAGGGATGTCTTTTATTTTCAGTTATCAAAAACAAAAGTAGGGAATTACCAGATTTTCAAATAACACGAATATGAATTGTTATCGACTAGGTCAAAAAAAATTTTGCGCTATAGACTATGTCTTATTTTAAGGGGAGGGTTATATTGAAATCATTTTTCGAATTCAGGATATGTCTTATTTTCGGGGAAACACAGTAATACAAAAAAGTGGGCTGCAAAAATTAAAAAAATTGTGGTAAACACAACTAAAATATGAAGTGATTTTTTAGCATTTCAAACAAAAATCTACAAGATAAGGAAGAAGAGCTGACTTTTTGCCTTTGTTACTTGGGCCTACATGTTTTCAAACTTTAAGAAGCATAAAGCGGCCTTTTTCCTGTAAGTGCGCCGTGAGTTTTTTTCACTGATAATTTGGCGTTTGGAACAGCTTTGGGACAAACAAACAAATTTGGGAACAGCTGAACTAAATATTTGTTTAAGGTGTATGGACTTGATTAATAATAAGGAATGCTCATTCACTCACTTCTATAATACTTCTACAAAGTACATTGACATTCCAAATGCCTGGAATGCCTAAATAAATAAATTATAGATAAACCACTCACTGTATATCCATGACTCTTATAACTCTTGTCGGGCCATCTCGAACAACTTTCAAAGCCAGAACCCCACTCCCTGCAATCATCTTCTCACTGCGACAATATTGATTCGGTGTTGCCAGACTGTCAGGTAAATAAGGTGCGAGTCCAACTTGGTCGTTTGCCCATTTCTGTAAATAGAGTTTTTGATTAAAGAAATGACCTACCCAAAATAAAAATGGTTATCATACTTTTTTCAATTTTAATGTTTTACCATATTTTAATGTAGATACTGACTGTTGAAAAGGTAGGAAGCAAAATAAATATTTGTAACCGATAAAATTTATTTTCAATTTGATTATTTTGAAATTTTCTTTCTTTCTATTCTGAAATGTACAAATAAATATTTTAGCTCTTCTGTGAAACTGTTCTGTTTTTCTTATAAAATTTGAAATTGAAATAGAATTAGTGTAGAGTTTTGTGGTTCAAAATTTGGCATATATCCAATTTTGACCATATATGGTTGAATAGCATCTTCCTTACTACTATTAATTTCTCTCTGCATTATGTGTTAGTGCAGAGGTTCTCAACCGGGGGCCAGTGGCCCCCCAAGGGGGCCACGACATATGGCTGATATTTGGTCATAAAGTAGGGGTCGGGAACCTTTTTGGTCAAGAGAGCCATAAGGGTACATATTTTCAATTGCATTTCCGTGCGAGCCATGCAGCATTTTTTCCCCTTAATCATGAATCAAATTTTTACCTAAAAGTCAACACATACAAAGTCTCAATATACATTTAATGTGACTTCTGATGGTGCATATTGTTGCTGAGGGCCTTGAACGAATGCTCAAATGCAACACATTTTAAAATCGACGATACTCTACGCCTTTCTTTCTTTTAGGCATCTCCGTAGTGCTAAATATTATAAATAAACAGTACAAACGGACGGAAGACATTTCTTTATTGCAACTCTATCGCTTCGTGGTGTCACAAATTATGCTGCAGATAGTTTTGTCACAATGCCTGTCTGGCACTTCCCTTACAAAACATAGACAGGCGTCGAGCACGTGTTCTCAAACGTATTGGCAAATGTTCTGCAAAATTTTGCAATAACTTTATAGTTTGAGAACTGGTAACAATAGTAAGCTAGGCCTTAAGATTTTTCTGGGAGCCATATGTCGTCACCAAAAGAGCCATATATGGTCGCGAGCCATGGGTTCCAGACCCCTGTCATAAAGCGATTTCGTTTGCACACATTCTTTTAAAATAAAATTTCCTGTTCAGGCGTTCACCGCAGTTTCATTACCTGGATAGGTTATTTGCGAGCACATGGTGTATTCTGTGCGTGATTGCGTGCGTGCGTGCGTGTATTCTGTTGTTTGATCACAATTGAATTTAAAATCTACCAATCAAAATAGTTCGCTGGTAGGCCGTCTAACATGCAGTTGGGCCGTTTCACTAGGCTGCGACATAACTCCAGTATCGTATTATAGACACAAAAATCCATATTTAAATTCTCAATGTCAAAAATGCAAAAATGGAACGACAGTTAAATTGAGATGAGATAGAATGTGTTCAATGCCTGAATTGCTTGTATCTAATGAGCAATAAATTATTACGTCTATCTAAACTCTAAAACCACCGTGACAAAAATCATCCCCAGGTGAAAGACGTTGGCATGGGTTTCTTGGCTGTCAAGCGAGTTAGATTTGACAAGAAAGCAACATTGGCCAAGATCGGGCTTCTTGCTGTGGAAACAAAATCTAGAAACCGTCTTAATATTGACAGTGACATTCGCCATGTAAAATGACGAACAGGGGGGCCACAAGTGCAAAAAGCCGCCGGAAGAGGGCCACGAGCCATAAAAAGTTAGGAACCAGTGTGTTAGTGAATTCTGACTGGGAGGATTTTATATCAGGAATAAGAATGTTTATATTAATTGGTTCAAATATCTTGCATTAACTTCACAAATTATTTATCCTTATGTTTCATCTGATTAGAGACGGACTTCATGAAATAATTAGTTGTAGTAACTGCTAGTATGCAGGAAAACTGATAGCATGCCAGAATTACGCGTTATTGAATATCGACTGATGGAAGAGTTTAAACAGTTCATGCCAACACAATCAACAAAAACTAAGACATGATTTTATCTAGCAAGCAGAAAAAAGCAGAAATTTTTCACCTGTACACACAAGTTCTTGTATCCACATGATAGTCTTCCATCGACACCAAAACTCCAGATCTGTGATTTCCTAGTTGAGTCAATGTTCCTTATTGTCAGTGGCATCACCTCGCTATGTATGGCCATCTCTGCGATATCAAGAACAAGACCTTGCCGAGTTGAAGAAGACCTGATTGATGAGGAATAAAGCGTTACAGCCTATGATAGACATAAGTAAGATTTTTGTGCAAATTTGATGAAAACAAGGTCTCAACCTATAACTATAAAGGGAATATTTTTTTGTATAATGATGTAGTTCGACGCTTACCCATGTCTTTTGCTCTGAGCAAAGCATCTACTCATATCTATAATTAACTTGAATAACTGCTCCATAAAAACGTACTTCGCTGCCAAAATTATCCAAGCTATATAAGCTCGCATTTTCATTAATCTTGTTTTGTTTTATTTGGTGAAAGAATCATTGATAGCAAGCCAGGAAACGTCCGGTTTTCAGTAAATTGTTAAATAGAGCAAACTTTTTGTTTTTTTGTTGAAAAAAAAGCGACCCAAGAAAATTTTCAGGACATAAGTTGGGAAACACTGGCCATTTAACGTTTGCAAGAGTGTGAAATCTAGATTCCGTCTTAATCTCAATTTACTTACGGATACTTAGATCTGCCACCGGGTGGCGACGATCCTTCGTGTCGCAAATACCCTTCACTTGTCATTCTCCATAATTGAGATCGATTTCCTGTTCGGCGCTTCTCTAGTGTCACCAAGTGTCTTGTTTGGTCCACGGACCAGTCATGATCAACATGGTGAACCGTTAAAACCAGCTGGTCCTCGTTATATACTGGATTGTTGTGCATGGAGTCTGAATATAAAAATAGTTCATAAGGTAAGAAAAAGGCAATTATCAGATAAGAACACTAAGATAAAATGAGCAGTATGTCAGCACAATTTAAGTCAAACAGCATTTTTCATCGTTCGATTAAACTAAGTCGGCTCCGTGGTGTGGCACATCGTGCTAAGCATTATGAATATCCATGCCACCGCGCCTCTGATTACTCTGTGTGTGTTTGAAGATTCGAATACGGTGAAGAATATTTATGTGCGAGAGGATTACTGAACTCCTCGCTGCCGTAGATTGGTTCATGTACCCCCTGGTTGGTTACGGCTTCCTCCACCATCAAGTCCATGCATCTGAAACAAATAACTGACTAACTGTTCCCTAACCCGACATGGACTGGTAACTGGACGAGAGGCCGTGGTTCGCCATATGATTAAGCCATCTAATTGTCTTTCTTTTCCCCGGGATAAATATTTAAATCCTATCTTATGTCTTGTTTTGTGTGAATAAGTTAGAACTATGATCCAACGAAAGCTCTCAAATATACTTGTTATTTTGTGGAAAGAGATTATTCTTTTTTATCACTTCAATACTATTTGTTCAAGAATCCTTGATCAACACGGTAATATATATTCCACACGCTATACACGAATGTATTTCTGTAACGTTCAGTCTGCCCTAAGTGACTGAATGATAGTCCATCTGAAAAGCTATTTTATCTCCGAGATAAAATTAAGATTGCCTAACCAGTACACTTTGTTTTCACCATACGTCTTTAAAAAACTGAGTTTGGTAATTAGATTAGGACAGCGGTTCATTTACTTGATGAAGAATTTCTCCCGACCACTATATAAATGAAATTTTCATAATAAAGAACTTTTTCTTCATCAATGTTGTCCATGTTGAGTTGAACAGAAACTGCAACACCTGTGGAAATAAGGAGATAAAAAACACTTGATTGATGGAAAAAAACAGAATCGTGGAAAAAAGTTTAGGAAGTGATTGTGAGAAGAGCAACCTTCAAGAGTCTTGAGGGTCTAAAAAGGGCGCTCCTGAAGTATGTGCACCAAAATGTAGGACACCGGCACGTAGTATGTATACCAGGTTAGGGTTAGGCCATGATTTTATTCCAATTTTCCTTATTTTAGTTCTATTACCAGTTCGGGGTCTAGCCAAGTGACTTCTGTAGTATATGTACCTGAAACTATGGCCTAACCCTAACCTGGTACACATACTACGTGCCTGTGTTCGCCATCTTGGTTCAAAAAAATTTTTTTTGTCACATTTCAAAAGATGAGATTTAACCGCTTTGGCTACGTTTCTCCTCACCCCCCTACGAAAGAGAAAGAGAGAGAGAGAGATAAAAAACCACTCAATTAAGATGAAAAGTCATTGGGTTATTTAAATGTATCAGCATCTCGCCTTTTCCAGACAGTGTGAAATGAAATGCTTAAGTGTTGTTGCAACCAGATGAATACTTGATGGGTAAATCTGCATAAGATGGCTCTTATAATGTCAAGGGTAGCAGATTTTTTGTCAATAATGTTTTCAGATTCTGTTAAAGTGGCCAAACTCAAAAAGACCTGCTTATGTATATTCTAGACCAAGGTGCCAATTGTGTGGAATTGTGGGTTACATCGTGGTCATAGAAGATGGATGAGCACATAAACAAATTTGGTAATTTGTAATTCTATTTATTCCATGACTGAATGACTGTAAGAAAAATAAAAATAATATTCTAAGTAATTCAGTAGTCTTGCTTCTGCCTAAATAAAGAACACATACCCTATTAACTGAATTATCAATATTTCACACCAAAACATGTAGGTAACATAGCTAAACCAGCTGACATAGTTTATGTCCGAATCCGGACCTTTCGAGTATTTGATTCGGACCGCACCTAATTCTTTATTTTATATCATTAGCCCCACTTTCAAAGTTTCCTTTCATAAAATAACTCTTGTAGTTTTGAATATATATGTAAAGAACTATAACACCATACTAAGCAATTTTGATTAGCTAATAATCATCAGCCGGTCGAGGAAGTGTGCGTTTAAGGATGCCAATATATAAATTCTGGAAAGACAGGACCCAAATAATTTTGAAGTTTAGTATGCGGATCTTCGGTAAAAATAGTTGAGTAGCCCTAGTCTAAGGTACCAATACAGAACAGGTACCTTCAACTCTGCAGTCAATGATAGGTGGCAGGCAAGGTTCATCACAGGCATACGGAACTTGTGAAGACGGTGCAACAGTAATTTGTAATCCTTCATCTGTGTCACACTGAAAATTTCAAGTTTGGGAAATATGAAAAAAGCAATCCAATAGAATTTAGAAAAACATGTGGACATTACTATCGTATCATTATCTAATATATTTTTTTTAGATTCAGTCTGAATTGAGTCAGTTACATGGAAAAATTGCCTAAAAATTACTAAACATGGAACTCATAATAAGATATTTCACATGTATCCCAAGCATATAATAGCTTTAAGACAACATAACCAATGGCTAACGGACCCACTACTAGACAAGGTTGAGTATGGGAACAGCCAACAAGTCATTCTAGATTCCTGTGGGCCGATTTATTTGTCTGACAGCCCTAAGAACAGCAGATATACTTGAAAATATAGAAATAGAAAAAGATGTTTGAGACTACTCAACTAGCGTTCAATGGCCAATCATCTAAGTCAATGGTCCTCAAACATGGAAACTTTTTGAGGGGACGTGAAGCTAATTTAAAACAGATATATTTGTTAGGTTTGATTTTGCACATTTATTTTGAACACTTACATTTCTTTATTATGTAGTCGTATTTTCAATGTGCTTTTTGAATAAAACATACTTTCTTTCGCCTTACTATCTGCTATTTGAAGCTTATTGTTAACTTGGTATTTTCGGAGTGGGGCACGAGATTTGACAAATTCTCAAAAAAAGGGCACGGCTTAAAAAGTTTGTGAAACACTGATCTAAGTTGAGCGAGTGAATAGCTCAGCATTTCAGCTTTCTAGATCCCAACTTACCTGTCTAACAACCAAAGGAGCAGCCGAGATATTATCAATTCGCAGAGGGGAAGGACATGAAGAGATGTCTCCATCATAAAACATAACACGATACGTAGCATCAACCAAAGTTATTTCAACTCTCAGGAAAATACTGTGGTTTCCTGGAATTGAAAAGAGTAAATTGGGATTCCACTGATAAAGTCCCGTAATTCCGCAAGTTTCCATTCAACTTCGAGAGTCTGTATTATCCGAATTATATTATTTCAGTACTCCCAAATATGTGAACCAAGATGGTGGTCACTGGATCGTAGTATGTGTACCGATTAGGATTAGGCCATAATTTTATTTCAATTTTTCCTATTTTAGTTCTATTATGAGTTCGGGGACTAGTTAATCCCGCAGTATTTGTACCTAAAATTATAGCCTAACCTGGTACACATGCTACGTCCCGATGTCCGCCATCTTGGTTGTAGCGTGGTAGCTGCTTAGTCGAAGCCTATTTGGAATGGAAAGTGGATTTTCACATTAAAAAAAAGTTGACCGACCTTTTGAACCTCCAAATATTCTTAAATGAACGTGAAAAGCATCGATTCTGTCAATCACAAAACCACCTGACCATTTGCAATTCAGCTCCTCTGATAATCTTGTGCAAAGTAATAAATCTAGATCAGCTCGAGGCCAGTGGAAGACAATACTTGAACCTGAAAAAATACATGATACACATTAATCTAACAGCAAAGATTAGATACAGGATTTTGTTTTTATTTGCAGAGATACATAGTGCTAAGCATTAGAAATACACCCGCCCCGCCCCTCTGATTATCATGTACAGAGTTCATTGGTTCAAATGGCAATTCTGAGAGAGGTGATTGCTTAACTTCTTGTTACCATAGGGCAGTTCACATAACCGCTAGGCAGTTACAACTTCATCCAATATCAAGTCTACAAATCTGAAACAAATATCTGGTTTATTAATCCCATACCAATCATGGACTTGGTAATGGTAATCATACGATAGCGCAGGAGTGTGCAACGTTTAATACAAGAGGGCCAGATACAAATAACTGGGTGAAACCCTGGGCTGCACCTTTATTTAACATAGGCTTCCTTGTAGTTACAGGTAAACATGAAAGATAAAAAATTGGGCCCAGGTATAAGCTTCGCAACGCAAAGGGATTGGAAATACTTGTACTAAATTGAACTGGTAAGAATTCGAGGCCGCAATATATTTCCTTGTCAGCCACAGGTTGGACACCCCTAGTCACCCACCATATGATGAAGCTTTTACCAGCTTTCTGTTCTGCCAGGATAAATATGAGAACCCTAATCATATTCCATCGAGCATTAACTCGCAAACTCAAAAAACAAACAAGGAATAGTTTTCACCTGGTATAATTGTTAGATGTCTGTTCAATCCAGCGGCATCGTCAGTAAAAGAGGTTGCATGAAGTTGAGCAAAACTTAAAGTACTATTTTTTGTTAAGTTGACGAGAAGAAATCTCGGTGCCAAAGTCACAATATGAGTGTGCATGTATCGTCCCCAACCTCGCCTCACACCAACACCAATGTAGTAGACACGACTTGGGCTGTAGTCGTGATTCACCTGAATATAATTAAATCTTATTACATTGGGTTTTGGCAATCTGTGGCCCATTTTTCACGCACAGTAGGTCTAACAATTGTGGAACTTCAGCATGAGGTGCAAATTAAAAAAATACCCAAAACTAACGAAACATAACAAGAATCAATAGTTATATTGACTTGTCTGTTTAAACAGCGAGAATTTTCTGAACTAAGTCAAAGCAGTTCATGACTTTAAATTGAATGTAAAAATAACAGCTTCACTTTTTTTCTGGTAACTATTAAAATAACAGAGAGTCAATCAGTGTTTATTCTAGCTTTTCTGCATTCCCAAATTCAAACACATTGAATATACATGAAGTTGTACATGATCATAGCTGAACCATTTAAGAATATAATCAATATTTGATACTCGGAAAGTTAATTTTAGGAAGTAGTTGTAATAGAAGATAATTTGATTTTGCCTTTGTTATGCACAACACAGCAAAACACTTCCATATTATTATTGAATTCATACCATTTTTAAATTCCTTGTACAAGTTCCACCATCGATAGAAAAGCTTTGACAATAAGGAGTACTCGGTCTTGATTGTGGATATTTTGATGCATAGTTATCCAATACCAGGTCCTGAAAACAAATATAATAATACAATGTAGAGTGCAAGTGAAAAACAATGACTATAATAAGATTAATACAGCTGGCGTAATATGAAAATGCATTTTCATTCAAAATAAGATAGTACCTTTCAAATTCGTGATTCTTTGATATATCCGTATAGAAAGAATAGGCAGAGCTTATCACGCTTGACATATTTTAAAATTAGATTTTTAAAAAGAATGATAAACATAATTGCAAAAATATTTCAATATTTAACAACAACATTGAAATAGAACACACCAGCAGTTACAAGACTCAAAAGGCCAGGGGTCAAGTTTTGACCCACCTATGCTGGCATCACAGATCTTGGGTTTATGATACAATTCACAGAGTTAAAGTGAAATAAATTAGCAGGCCTTGAAGGTGATTTGGTGACTTGAAGAAGGTTGGGGGGGGGGGGAAATCCTTACTTTTCACACCATGAATTTTTTTTTCAACTTTACTATGTGTTTTATAAGAGACTACCCAAGATACTGTGTTTATGAATTGATTTGAGAAATAATTATTTCTTGCATTAATCTCATCTTAACTCAGGTAAATTAACGATTTTGTCAACTTTTTTGATGAGTTGAGGGGAAATTCTCTACTTGCCGCGCTGTACAGTGTTCAGCGCTTGATCAAATTGTATTGGAATCATAGGTTAAAGATCTCGGAGTCAAAGCCCATGGAATATTTTTATGCTTCTATTGTAGAGGGAAGGGACCATCTATCTCAGTTACTATTTCACAGTTTATTTAAGAAATAGACAGTGTGGAGAGGTAAATCAGACTTTTGGAAGAGTAAATGAGAGAATAAGGATCACCAGACTCTGCATTGAGTGCATGGAATGGGAACCCGAGATTTTATGTGCACGACTATCATAGTTTAGACTAAAGAAGGGGTCGGCAACCTGTGACCCGCGGAAGCACTATGATCCCGCCCGCGACGCTTCACTAAATTATAGTAACAAAACATCCGTTTTGACGAATATATTAGACTAAATTATATTATAACTTAACAATTATATAATTCACAATTACTCGTTTAATGAGCATATAATTTAATTATAATTAAGCAAATGGCAACAAAACACAGAGAAGTTAAGTTGATGCTGAGTGCAAAGGGTTCAATGGCGTTGAAAATATTCGAATGGAATTTTATGAGATGCAATGGGGAAATAAATCTATATTCTATTCGAGAGATGTATCACTGCTTGATTTTTATTATAAAAAGTACCATCCGTACGGTTTTTCAACTTTCTATAAATATGTGCGGCCCGCCAATGACTTGACACCTTAATTTTGACCCGAGAGCAACAAAAGGTTGCCGACCCTTAGTCTAAAGCTTTAACAAACTGGGCCACTTTACTCTGTACAAACCTGTGCGGCATCTTTTCCAAGTCTCATTGTGCATAAATACGGCAGATCACGATCAGAATATGAGAAAAGTAAGGGAGTCATGCTTCTAGCTCGTTCATGTTCATCATATTGTCCAGCAAACGAAACTTTTGCACCTTCTTGTTTTAGTATGATTGGTAAACCTGGAATATTTTATAGTTTTTGAGTTAAAATGTGCAGGTATTAGATTAATTAGAGCAGTGGTTCTCAAACGTCAGTCTGCGTTAATATTTTAATATTATACCTGAATTGCAAATGCAAGGCATTGATGGTCTGCCCATTTATTTTGTGAGTGTTACCACCTATTGATGCGTAAACCAAACTTGGTCAGAAGTCCTACGCCCATTTCAATCCCTAAATGACTAATAAAACTATGTTTAAAAAGTATGATATTAAAAAGACAGCAGCAAATTTCTCAATAAATTGAATTGTCAGCTTTTAAATTGCTACTTTTGTCGTAGTTACATTTGTTTCATTATGTTTTGTATTTTTACTGGTCCGCTAACAGGTTTAACACAACGGAATTAGAGATATATTTGATGAGTAGTCGATTTTTATATTTCAGATTGAAATTGTCATTTTTTCATTAGTGGGAAGACTGTTGCTACATTTACGTAGAATTTAATGCCACTCAGCTGTTTTCTAAATTCAATGAACTTGAGCAAGCATAATGCCAACCAAATTACTGATCCATAACATGTTATCGATGTAAACAAAATTCGAAATGTGAGATTACCAGTCTTGTTAACGATCCAATATCCAGCCATGATAGAAATTTTCACTGAACATCCGAGTCTCCAGAACACACGAACGTTCAATATCAATGTTCTGTTCTGATGGTCAAGCATTGCCATTCTCATCTGAATAAAGTAAAAAGGAAAAAATTGAAATAGTCACTAATGTTAATTGTATTTCTGGCAACTGGTGTTTTTCTAGATGGCTGAGCATAACCAATGACGTCATCTGTTACAGTTGACTGATAATGACCAACCAGCCGTGCAGGTGAAGTGACCATTTGTTTTTTTAAGTTGGATGCTCATTTCTCTTGATGGGTTATTCGAGTAACTTGGGTTAACATTTACTAATTATACATTTAAAAAATGTTAACAAATTACCGGTACTCTTCTTATAGAATGACGAGTGTGTATAAATGATTTTAGGTTGCACAACCCTGCCATAAACTATACTAAGTTCTCACTTGAGCATTTCTTTCCATATGAGTGATGGTGAGCTCTCTGCATTCCCTGAAACCCTCAAGGGCACATCCCAGTAATAATGGATGGTTTGAAGATTGTTCGATTGATCCAGGAACTAAATTTAAGCAATGCAATGTTGCATCTTGCCCTGGCATCAACTTGCCACCAACTTGTGTGTCCTGAAGTATAAATTAATTTTTTAAAACAATTCCATTGAAAAAAAGACTGCAAGACTTTTTTGGTAGAGGCTATTTTGCCGCATTTCCTGCAACAAGAGAGGAAATTTTGTTCTTCGTGGGAGGGGGAATATTAATTTATATTTAGTGTAGTTTTACTTATATTGTTTACATATGCTATGCAATTCAAGAGACTTGCTGCACACTAAAACAAATGTATTTCTGTAACGGTTGTTTGTTGTCTGGAAAAGCCTGATTTTGGTCAGACGAAATGTTACAGAAATTCATTCGTGTTAGTGTGCAGCAGGACTCTTGAATTTTATACTGAATTCATGGAAATATTATTTAAAAACTATTCAACTATGCAAAAGCCACAGTGGGAATTGCTACAGCATCCTTGCGTTATACGCATACGGATCCACTACCATAACGGTACAGAGGAAGGATAGGGAGATAGTTTCGCACAATCTAACTTATAATTAATTGTTACCCATTTAGTACTTTTGTGATAAATAATAATGGTCATATTTTGAACTATTAAATTATGCAAAATCCAGAGTGCGACTTGCAGTAACAATTCAATAAAGATTGAACATATACAGAAACAAGTATTTAGTGATAAATATTTATGAACATATTTTAAACTATTGAATTATGCAAAAACCAAGAGTGCGACTTGTGTGTAACAATAGATACAACAAGATATGTAAAGCAATGTTGAGCAAATACAGAAATAAGTATTTAGGCATAGTGAGGAGGGTATGAAAAGTTTCAAAATAGACACAAGGAAGAAATTCAACAAATAAGGTTGGAAGCACTGGCCGAGCGGTTTAAACGTGTAATGAATTGGCCAGACAATGCCAACCTAAAAAAATTTGGGAATTCAGGAAAAAGGCAGCTTCTTAAATATTTAGTGCGTTTACATGGCAACGATTATCGTGCCAAAACTGTATTTTGAGCGAATCGTGTTCATGTAAACACTTTGGTTCGATGGCCAATCATGACTCAGCGTGTTTGCATCGTGATATTCCAGCACGATTGCACAGGGTAGATTTGCAAACACGATGCTTTCTTCACACGCGCGAACGGGGGCGCGCTGACGGTTTTTCTTCAGCGTTTTTTAGGTCGCTTGCTCTGCGCTTCTGTGGATCTAATGCAGTACCGTACCAATAATGCTTGCAACGCGACAGCGTTGCAATTGCAAGCGAGTTTGAGGTTTTTGAAGTAATGATCACTAACGCTAGATAGAATTCTTTACTTGCGAAAAATAGGTTAAACTTCTTTCTGAACCAACAACGGCCTGCCCTGCACAATGCAATACCGGTACGGTGCCGTAACTGGATACCGGTATAAAATATTAAGTAAAGTGGCGGAATTCTAGTGCCATAAATGGCTGAAACATATGTAAGTGTTCAAGTTCCGTGGATTATGAAATTTAGCAAAAGATACAGTCAGACAGTAGGATGTTTTATCTGTAAAATCAAGTAGCCTACGCAGAACTGATACGAGTCAGGGAATAGTACGAGACAAGAATAGGGCTATTGGCAGCCAGGGCATGGATGTGTGGAGCTTTTCAACCACAGCTATCAAAGCAAACGATACATGCCCTACGTTCTAACTTAGAATGTAGGGCATGTTAGTCTATATATATATATATATTATATAGACTATATATACTGATATATTCATAGGCTACATCAAAAATACAGTACCGGTATCTGACCAGTACTGTTCTTGATTTTGAAAATTTACTAAATGTAATTTATTGACATAATAAATTACATTCATAGCAAACCGTTATTTGGTTTACTGATTTATATTTATCGCAGAAAAGTAGTAGTGCAGTTTATGTTCATGAGTGAGATGGAGTCTATGTCAAATCTGAAAGTTAAGTGGGAAGACAACGAGGTTAAAACAATGCTTGGCATTGTTCGAGAAATGAATATGGTTGCTCTGCTTGACCAAGAGGAGTCTAGATCAGAAGTTTTGTACAAAGAAGTTGAGAAACAGTTGACAGCGAAGGGTTACAAGAAAAGGTTTGGAAACACAACCGTTATGTTATACAGAATACAGTTTCAGTTCTTTGATTCATATATTTTAGTAATTTTCTGAAAAGTTATTTCTACTTAATTTTTAGACATTTGCAATTGGATTTTGTTGAAATAATATTAGATACGAACTATGTTAAATTCTTGACTAGCAGTATGTTTTCAGTTTTTCAATTGGCTGGTTACTAAAGCTAGATGTTTTTTCATTTGTAGTTTCCAACAAATACATTATAAAGTGAAGGCCTTATGGTCTACTTTCAACAAGATAGTACGTCTGCATTCTGTTGTTGGGACGGCTCACATAACATGTGATTATTATGATGAGCTTGATGAAATCTTCGGCCACCACCCAGATGTCGATTATACAAATATGGGAGTGAATACTGGAATCACAAACGCTGTATCACTAGGTAACAATTTTTCTTTGATGTTTTTGAGGCTATGAGCCAGAGGCTATGGTTCGGCATATGATTAAGCCGTCCTATGAGTAATATACTACTATGAGGGCTACTATGAGAATCCTATTCTGTTATCATCCCAATAATGTCATTTTAGCACACAAATTTATTATTATGGAAAATTGTTGACTGTCTTTTCAAAATTGTTTTGCTTATGTTTAGATGTTGAAGGAGATGCAGCTTCAACTACAAAGACATCTTTTGATACTTCATCCAATCATGGAGAGAATTCAGAATCTGGTTTGTGTCTATATAAATATTTGGTATACCGGTATATTATATGTCTCAACCAAAACATGCTACCTAATTGAGAGATGTACTGATGCATTGATATCGGCCAATATTTTGGTATCGGCTAAATAAAGAATGATATTTTGATATTGGAACAAAATCTTGCGCACGTAACTCAATGTATAAGTTTGGTATCTGTATCAGCATTTTTAGTTGGTATCGGCGACAAAAGTGGTATTCGTACATCCCTTTCAATTTCAGATCAGTCTTATTTAATTATATTTCTATAAAACTAGGAATTGGGCATTTTCTAGTTAAGTGAAAGTCTCTTATGCCACTGTGCAGGAAAAAGACCTTCAGTTGACTTTAAAATCCTTTTCGAGAAACAAAGGGAGTGGGAAGAAAAAATGATGCACGAGCAAATGGAAGCCCATGCGCAATTGATGGGAGAGACTGTGCAACAAATGGGGACGATACTCTTTGCATGTGTGTCTCAGCTTTCAAAAAACCGAGGTAAAAGCTTATGTTTCGCTTAGGCGTATATATAAGGCAATTCCCTTGAAAAGAAATTTACTCCCTCGACTGTAACCAACTGCTTTGTAAAAAATCCGGAAGTAATATGTTTAAAATACACCCCGCTCCTACTGCCACACGTAATCTGAAGATCTAATTGTAAACTTTGTTTTAAGGGTCTGAGGAGTAAATATGGATGATTGTGTGACAACAAGGTTACCCGATTGTAAAAAGCAGTTCGAGTTGAAGCATCAAAAATTCGTTTATCATCTGCATGAGAAACTGAAACGATTAGCTCTGTGGATCCAATGTTGTTGTTTTATTACATATATTGCATTGCACAGTAATAAAATGAAAACCATTGTGTTGTGGCATGGTCCGATCAGAGTGTGGGGGTATAGGCGAGCTTTATAATATAAATAGATTTTCTCCACCAGAAAGCTTGATGAAGGGAAGGTATTGCACATCAACTTAATGGAATGACTGCAGGGGGACAATTTGAATAAATTTCTGCAGATAGACTAGAACAATTGTGCAAAGCCTCTGCACGCCCATTTTTGAACTCTTTAATATGATTTATAATCTGTACATAAATTAGCATCATGGTAGAATAGATAAAGTTAGTGACCAAAGCAATAATCCCAAATTGCTTGGGAAACGTTGCTGTAGTGTAGTAAAGCGTTGAAAATCGCCCAGCATTTGTAGTTGATATGTACTGATATTTCGGAATATGTCAGATAAAATATATGAAGAACTAGCAGGATATTCGCGAAATTTGTATCTTTGCTCTGTTTTGTATGATTGAGAAACTTATAAACACGTACAAGATAGTTAACTTGTAAAATTAAAAACATTCTGCAAAAAATGAATTTATTTTCAGCAGTTAAACCGAATTTAAAAGCAGCCGTGGAAGATGAAACTGGCAACTGTTTTCAACTCCAAGTACGATGCCAACGATTTTGAACCGGATCGAAATTCAATGATGTCCATGTAAACACGAGACATATTTTGGCGTTCGATTGTCCGAAATACGATGTGGAAACGTTTTTTGATAAAACGATTATCATGACCATGTAAACGTAGTAATTGTTAGATATCAGTGGATGATTGTGAAAAGCGTGAATAAGCATATAAAATACCTTACATACTGACAGGAAAAGTACTGATAACACTATTGCAAGTAAACAATGTTGAAAAAAAGAAGAGAATTAACACCTATGTTACCTTGAAGAAATAATGCATGTCACACGGAAGCAGATTTGAAACCACCACTGGAGGCAGTATAATAATTGTGTGGCCAGGCATGTGGGGAGGAACATAACCAAACTTTGCCATAGATTCCACGTCTCCTGGTCCATGTTGATGATGATCTGTGAATCTCTCCATGACGTCTTCGTATAATGGATAATTTTTTTTCTTTATACAAACTGCAAATCTGGAGAATTCACAAAGTAATAAATCATTATTTGGTCTACTTAAAGTGCCATGCGGCAAAATCAAGCTTATTTTTTCACAGAGGATGACTTTGATCTGGATATGCAGACCCAAATCTCATATTTGATGACTATACGTCAGAGAATTGCTAGCTTTGTCACCACCAATGGGTGGTTCAGGAAATTGTCTGATGTTCATTATTTCGTCTCCCATCAAAGTCCAAATATCTGGGAAAATGGCGATACCTTTTGCCAAATAGCTCATAGTCCATGTAGCATATTTAAAAAAACAGCACAAATTGGTTTAAAAGAAAAACCCAAGAAAATCAAAGAAAAGATAAAGTAATAATCTTCTAGGATACACTGCAACAACAACATAAACACACAAATAATAACAATATAGCTAAATGATTGAAAGAATGGTAATCATGAAAAAAGATGTAGTTCTCAGCCATACAAACTACTTATCAGTGTGCTATATAATGGATATTATGTTGTAAACGGTTTGAATAATTGAACTAACGCTTACCTGAAAACATCTTTGTTGGTTTCAGATTGGCAAGTCACCTGTAATAAGATAAGATATTCAACAAAGTCATTCTTAAAATTTTAAGTTATAGTCATTCTGCAACAGTGTTGAACTCCAGGGTACGGTACATAAATATTTAAATAGGTTACAATATGTGAATAAGTTCATGAAACAACATCCCAAATTATTTGATTCAAAATAAATATGGATGACAGAGTTTGGACGATGGTGGTCTAAGATAAATAGGTTAATTTTATGTAAATATGTTAATTTTCTAATTTGAAGCACTCACACAAGTTGCTGTAAAACCAATCGATGGAATTAAAAAAAAAACGCACCAGTCAGAAAAATGACAAACGACAAAATTGATTTCAGACCCCCCATGTCGGTGGGTCAAAACTTCAATCTGGAATTAGAAAATCTGGCAATCGTTAAGATTTTCAAAGTCACAGTCAACTTTTTATAAATGGCTGGAGCCATAAATTGACTTACACTACCTTTATTTTTGAAATATATAAAAAAAGTTCAAGAGTTGATTTTATTCCAAAACGAATAAGTAATAAAAAAATTTCCTTAGACTCGTTAGTCCTGAAGAAAAGAAAGAACTACACTCACAATATCGGAAGTACTTTCAAGATCTTTCGACATTTTATTCCAATGTATCGTCTGGCTGCAAGGACGAAATAAATTCTTTGAACTATGGACAGGACGAATCTTGATTCCCATTGCTGTTAGTTGTAACGGAATATACTGGACCCCGCCTGGGTCAAGCCTGTTAATGTAAATAATGAGATATAGATTACAGAAGAGGATTATGCTAAAAACTTAGAAGTAAAGGACTAAGCAGGTTCATAGGATCGAATCCGAAGGGGAATAATTGGAGCCAAACGTCTTGATCTTAGATTCAACACAACTACCAACAAGATATTCTACAGCTGTAAAAAGGCAGTCTGTCCTTGATGATATGTTGAGCTTGTGCTCTGTCTGATTGAGTTATTTACTTACCTATTACCCTTTACTTGACTTATCAGAGCACACTCTACTAATTCAAGCAGATACAGAATCATAGCTTGGCGATATATTTTTCATGAAGATTTTTTTTACGGTTCACTCCTGTTTAAAAAAATCGATCAATTTGGCTGTGCCAACCATTATAAAATTATTAATACGAGGTGGCAAATAATTTTCATCTATTTATTTTATTATTATTTTTGTTTATTATGTAATTTACCTCAAGTTTATCGCGTTTTTTTTTACTTTGTGATTGTGTGTGTGTGGGTGCGTTTGAGTGTGTGTGAATTAATTTAATAATTTTAGGTGAGTGAACACGTACCACTTCTTCTTGGAAAAACCCTCCAGCTTATATTCTGTACGTTTCAAACCTTATCTAAGGTTTTGTTTGCTCTCCTGATTTCATAATCAGTTTTTATTTGTTTTAATCAATCATTTTATTGCCTTATGCTGATTATGGAGTCAAAATAAACTTATACTTAATATATATTTAGTCTCTGGTCTAGTTCTCAACTTATATCCTGTGGGTAATCATTCGTACATGATAGGATGACATCTCACAAAAAATGAAAAACTATTACCTGGGCATGACAATAGGCTTCTCCACTCCGCTGATGAGACAGATCTGCACCGGTATTTTGATTTTACTTCTGATTACGAGAGCGGAACGAACTGTGATTACTTTCTGTGCACTTCCTTCTAAAGTTACAGCGAATACAACTCTGACAGGGTCAGGAGGTCTGAAAATAGATTTTTTCAAATTATGATCATAGGATGTAGTGAGAGTTGACCGTGTTGGCATAACAGTTTGAAGGTTTATTGTCTAAATCAGGAGTGTGCAAACTGTGGCCCGTGAGCAGAATGCAGCCCACAAAGGAAAATTGTGCGGCCCTTGAAGAGGTGCCAATTTCGATTTATGTGTGGCCCACAAACGAGTTTTTGATCTGGTTCAATCTGGTACTTGCGAGTAATTCCAATTCCATTGTGTTGCAAATCCATTGTGTTGCAAATCCATTATCTATGCCTGTGACGTTACAATGCCCTAAAAGCAAGCTCGTGCGAAGCAAACAACGCATGTCATAAGATCAATAACCAAATGTTTGTGGATGCAACTATTAGAAAGCCTAAAGGTAAATAAACGTACGACCTGCGGCCAAAGCGGAAGCGCGACATGTGCATAACACTAGTGCTGGCAGTATAGGTGTAACAAAAGGATCCGACTACATAACCATGTCATTCATATGCTGTACTGAAAGTACCATATGTCCTGGCACATAAGCCGCCCCCCAACAAGGTGAATTTATAAAAATTATTGCACAGGAGTCACCTTCTAGAATGTACTATTGGGCTTACGCTCCACCAAAAAAAAACTGACTATATAACTGTGTCATTCATATGCTGTACTGGAGGTAACTGACATCCGGAATCAATAAAACAAACCTGTAAACACTTGAACTTTTGACAATTTCTTCAGTAGCATGTCGAAAGTAAACTCCCACTTTACTTATAGTTACAGGTGATAATGTTTCCCATTCACCAATCTTCGCAATGATCTGGCGAAAAATATAATAATATCTTATATATCGATCAATAGATTCTTGTACGAATGAGGCAGAAAGGGCAAAGATCAAGCCATCACCAATTAATTAAGTTTTCCCCCCCTTGATCCTAAAGAAGAGCCATGGCAAACAGTTCTTGATATGGTATGTAATTATCCTTTGTCATTCTAACCTAACTTCAAACTGACAAAAAAATGAATTTGGACTCTATAGAGTCTATTAGACGTATAAAAGTATTCAGTTTGCTTGATTATAAGCTAAATTATCATATCTTATCAAGCTACCACTTCAGGTCAGGTATGATAATAATCAACCAGTTAATAATGTTCTATCAAGCTCAGATAAAGAATATCCTCATACAATAATCCTTCCTAAATACCTGATGTAAAATAGTTTCATCTGATCTTTTATGTCTTTGTTTTTCTGAACGATCAAATCTGAAGGGATGAGAATCTCCTGGCATTACCATAATCCAAGAATCATCCTGCTTCGTTGAGCTATGAGATGTTCCTCCTATAAATGGTTAATTTATGATAAACAATGGCGGAAAGGCAGATATGGCTTTTGTTTTTTTTCTCTAGGCCTACATGTTTACAAACATAAAGTACACATTGGATAGGTGTTAATTGTATTTCTGGCAACTAGTGTTTTCGTAGATAGCTGAGCATGATCAGTCATCAGTCACAGATGACTGATCATGCTGTGAATGTGAAGTGACCATTTGTTTTTTCAAGTTGGATGCTCATTTCTCTTGGTTATTGGAGTCACCTTGGATGTGGCTATTTACTAATTATACATTTATACCAAGTTAACCAATGAGGATGTGAGAAGAACAAGGTTTAAACCAGTGGTTCCCAAAGTTGATTGACCGCGAGCCCAAATTAGAAGCTGAAGGATATTAGCTGGCCAAGAAAGGGGAGCTCTCGCAAGGAGACGATACCGTTTCACTTAACTTCAGCGGCCATATAAAATCGTTACCTGTGGTTTGGAAACCACTGGTTTAAACCAATTAACAGTATTCGGAAGAGTTCCAAATCAACTTTCTGTATCTTACAGCGGGGTTTCCCAAACTGGGGTCCGCAACATATTCAGCTCCTACCAATATGGTGAAAAAATACAGATCGAGACTTGTTGTAGAGTCGGACCTACAAGTTTGATGGTCACAAACTGATCCAAGAATTGATAAATTGTGTAGTGAAAAGCAACCTAATCCATCACATGAATGTCATTTGGGTTGTAAATGAAACATTATCCTTCCTCGTTGGTTGGGCACAGGAATTGATACAGCACAGAATGGATGTCTGGGGCACAGACAGGGGCCCATGGCCCCAAAAGTTTGGGTAACCCGGTCTTGAGGGGTTAGCTATGGTTATAAGCATTCACTAGTTAAACATTATAACAAAGTTATCACCTCTTTGTCCTATAGAACTTGACGGTTTCTGTATTGTAGAAACATGAGTCTTGAAATTAAGTGGTTCGCCAGTAAGATTCCTTAGAACATACGGAACAAATTCTCTTCGTTTTCGCGCAAAACTTTGTTCTGGCTGACCGAAGTCGATCAAATTTTCCGATTGAGGTTGATTAGTCGTTCTTTTGAAACTTGTCGTCCAGGTTTCTTTTGTTTTTTTAATCGTTTCGATGAGAGTTGAAGTCACAGTGATATCAAGTCTAGAAAAAATGTGACAAGAAGTTGAAGTAAAATTAAAGAACAAAACAAAATTAAAGTCCTAATTCCAAACCAGTCGAAAAATAAATCCATGATGCTTGAACGAGATACATGGGCATAGTCAAGGTCATAGTCAAAAAACATTTTTCTGTATCAAACAGCTTGAAAAGCTTTTCAGATCCTCAAAACGTATGTGTACAGTATGTATGTGTACAAACGTACAGTGTATGCTTGCTATTTTTCTGGAAAAAGATCTAATTACTTCTTCCTATCACAATAGTTTTACTTTTAAAAATCTCAACAAAACCTACCTATCTGATGCCTGTACATTCATGTTCCATTTTCCAGTTGATGATAAAGTAGATCCTGTGATATAATTCCATTTCAATCCACATCTCCATGGTTCAAGGTATGGTTCCCACAATGATAACATTCTGTTAAAGGAGAATTTATTGTACCAGTGGTTCTCAAACTTTTTAAGATGCGCTGCCTTTTTTAGAATTTGTTAAGTCTCGCGCCGCACGTCAAAAATAACTCGATAACAATAAGCTACAAATAACAGATAGTAAGGTAAGTATGTTTTATTCAAAAAACGTCCACATATTTTCAACGTGTTTTTTGAATGAAACATACTTTTGCTTTACTATCTGATTTAGTAGCTTATTTTTAAAGTGGAGCTCGAGACTTGCCAAGTTCTAAAAAGGGGGCGCTGCTTGAAAAGTTCGGGAATCACGGCTCTATAGAATGTATCAAGAGTAAATAAACACAAAAAAGATGAAAATCACGATAATACCAACAAACCTGTTATAATAATCCCCAGAAAGAATAAAATGAGCTTTCCCAGCATAACAAATTGGCACAGGACCAATTTGCTCGGGATCAGGAAAGGATAGATTCTGTTCGGCTGACAAGGAACGAACGGCAAGTTCTGCAAGAGGAACGTCACAGTCTGCACAATCATCAATCAGGCAAATACACATTGAATTAACATGAAGAAACATCTTTCCAATGTCAAATGGAACCTTCTTAGATTCTTTCTGTTGGTCTTGAAGCTGAAAATTTGTATAATGCTTGATGATTTACAGCAGTGGATGGTAAACTTTATGCACTACTGGGCCAAATATACACATTTTCAGTAGCATGCAAGCCACATAAAACACCACCTATACACAATCGACTCATTCAACTTCAAATTATGAAGCCCCTGCAACTTCTATTTCTGTGTTTATTACTAACGGTAGGCTAGTTTGGCTAATTACTACAAAACAAACGGTGTACATTGTTACGACATATATCCTTGCGCAGATAATAATAAATTTATCAGCAACTTAGGCATGAAAAGTCAAATTGCTTACGGGCCACTAGAAAATTTTATGTGGGCCTCATCTGGCCCACGAGCCGCAGTTTGCCGACCACCGATTTACACCATATCTAGAAGTGCTTGAAGTAAGATTGCAAAGCATCATTTTAGAGAACAATATCGATGCCTGGTCATGCACACTTATTCAGAAGTAAGAAGACTTATCTCTGAGCAAAATATAACTTCCCTGGAGACACTGAATTGTTGCAATGTCGTCGACACAACAAAAGTCAATTATAACTCGCTCCTCATCCTAATTTAAACATTTCAACCAATCCCAGGATCAATCACAAATTATAACTTGACAGTAGATTGTGAATTATCATATGACAAAGTCATCATATTATCTTTCCTCTTTCCAGGAAAGGAAAAATTTTCCTATGCTCGTTACAAGTTCAACATTAGATAACTAACACGCCAAGTTACCTTCATAATCTCTGATTCTGGCAAAACTTTCGCATTCCCAAGCAACCATTCTGCGGCCCGCTGTACATCACCATCTGCATTTTGTAACGATTTTACGACGTCATTCCTTGAATAACCGAGCTGACACAAATTATCGACATGTTTTTCCGATGGTTGAAATACCGACACTAGTTTAGTTGTTCCTGAAGTTGAATAAAAAAAAAAAGAACTGTTATAAATTCTCCACAAAAATGTGGAATTGAAAGTGTAAACTTACAATGAGAGTTCTATGTTTTTTTTCTTAATAAGAATATTGTACCGAAAAATGTTGACGTCACATGTTGAAAATTTTGAGAATAAATCCCGCTCACCACCACGCCAAAGATGTAACATAGTGTGTAACTACACTATATCCTAAACTTGAAAAAATATTTAGTGCACGCTACACATTAGTGCTTTTTAGTTCTGACTTTTGGATGGCAGGTACTTGTTCAAAGCAGATTGTTTTTAAACCCCTTTATTTTGGGTGTCGCTGCTTAAAGCCGCGGGGAACCAAAGCTGGGTTTTGGTTCCCCGCGGCTTCCCTCCCCAGTGAAATGTGTATTTAATTTTTATTATTCGTAATAATTTTGCATGTTAATTTTTTTTACTGGATGGAAAAAATAAACTTGACTATGACTAGCAAAATTATAATGTCATTACTCCAAATAAAACTCTCGGTCCTATGTAGAGGTACAGAGTCGACAGATTTTGTTGAAAGAAGTAGAATTATTTAGTTCAGTGTCATTTATTTTTTGGGTCAGGTACTGGATTTGGTTGACTGTTGGACTAACTGGGCTAGGTTGAAATACAACTGTATAGACTTGTATATGTCTAAGTGAAAAAAAGCGACAAGACAGCTTAATCAAAGCATAGTGGTATGACCTCTGGCCCGGCCACCTTTCCAAGTAGGAAGTTAACTAGTAAAAGGTTTTAGGTGCACAGGTTCTGATGGCAAAAGAAGCGAAACTCAAAAGTCTAACCTTTATCTTCAATTTCTGGTTTCACTTCCTCATTATCTTTAGTTGATAGTGACTTCATAATAGCAAGAAACAACAACAGGTCATTGTATGAAACTCTGGTATTCATCTCTGATATTTGAACTTCTAGTTTGTTCCTGAAAAAATGTTGATAAGTGTTTGATAACAAGTTTCCTCGAGGTTGCTCCCTATTTTATTGTGTGTATGGTTTGGCAATTCATGAATGCAAAAAGAAGACAAATTAGGGGATATGACTTTTATATGACTCTCATAATACAGAGAAAGGCCAATGAAAAAACTCAATTTTATGATTAACTGAGGCCTTCTGTCCGTTACCCAGTCCATGTTCGGTATCGGCATAGTTAATCGTTCCAAATGCAAGAACTGCAAAAGTGGATGAAACCATAATTAACTAGAGGTTACATGACTGCCCTTGCAAGGTCCAGTATTCCAGCACAAAAATATCAGTTTTTTTATGCACCGTGTTTATTAATAATGATAAATCGAGAGGAATAACTGTATACAACGAAAGAACAAATCATAATTGAACAAAATTACTTTAAATCAATATCATAGCGAAAGGTACCTAGTGGGGGCCTTTGCTTGTGAACCCCCGAACAGGCAAAGTTTGAAAAATCCTAACAAAGTGGGACAATCCAAATAGAACATATAATAATCAGTGTTCATAAAAATCTTCATACTTGCGAAGTAAGGAATGGTCAAAGTTAAATTCTTCATCAGTGAGATCAGCTTTCTTCAACGAATCTATTTCAATGTTCACTTTCACTGGATCAACAATTGATAACGCAGTCTCATTCTCACAATCTAACTGGCATGAGAATACCTGGAAACACAAAAAGTCAATAATTTTCTCTTATTCATTATGTCTAGTTTCAAGTGATATGTTATGGCTTCCTCATCAAATATTTGATTTTTTATTTCCTTGCGACCTTACCCACGAATGAGACTGATGACATGGGCAAACTACCGGCACATCCCCCGGGCCAAATCCGACCTGTTGGGTTATTCAATCTGGCCCGCCTGATGCTGCCACAAATAAACTAAAACTATTGGCAATAAGAGTAAATTTAGTTTTGACACAAGGCTTATTGTTTTCTACTTTTGCTTTTGTAACAATGTAAGTATTGTTCATGGAATGTAAGTTTTTTCGTGACACTCACATTGTCCGCAAGTCTAGATGGGTTAAATTTTTGGCCTTTGGTTCAAAAACCTTGCACCCCTGAGTTAGAGTTTAGTTTACCTCACAGTCAATTTCTTGCGACCTTCGCTTTAAGTGAAGACTAATTAATAAAGTGAAAAAGGTCTACGGTGATCATTATGGATTTACTAAAGAAATTTCAATTTTCTCAGGCACCCATATATATTATCGTGGAAGGATTTTGACATCAATGAAAAGCAGTCAGAATGGAGTCTAAATTCCTAGATTTAGAATTTCAGATTCCTAATGGTCATGAACAAAGTCAAAATTTCTCATGAAAACTTGTAAAGCCTTATCAACAAACAATCGAAAAAGGCCCACATTCACCAAAGTTTTTATGGTCAAAATTGGAACTTCCTTTAATCTTTAGTTCGGGCCTAAAGTTGGAAACACGCAAAAATCACAGTTGTTTTGAAAGGGTTCGGTGTTTGGGGTTATTTCAAATATACAAGAGATTCCCATGGAAAGCTAATAAATTTCAGCGGAATTGAAAATATATTTTATTTAAATGACAAAATATAATTTCCCACCAACCTCCAAACTTTGTAAAGTACAACTGACAATCTTCCTATGTTCTAGTGATTTTTTCATCACAATTTGAGACAGGACAGAAGTAGGATTGTGATGTAACACTGCAGTCATTCGTAAAATAACGGCATCAGAATTAAAATTTGATGAATTTTCAACAAGAACGAAATCTGTGTTTGTAACGTTTAATTTGAATTGTTCATCTCTTTTGTTTGCAGCTTCCTGAAAAATAAGGACAGAATTGAATATATTATATGACACTTATTTATGTCTTTCCTCTCTGAACTGTGAATCGAACGCACGTCTAAAGTATTTATTTAAAAATACCACTACGGTAATTAAAAAGTGGTACTCCCGCAGTATGTGCAACAAGATGGCGGACACCTGAACATAGTATGTGTACCAGGTTAGGGTTAGGCCATAATTTTATTTCAATTTTAACTGGTACACATACTACAGACCGGTTCCCGACATCTTGTTGAATGTACTACAGAAGTACCTGAAAAAATGATATATTTAGGATCCAAATAAATGAAATTTTTTGTAAAGTTTTCTTTTCTGCTAAAGTTATTTCACATTCAGAAGTTGAAAACCGAGAACAAAATCAAAATTATATAATAGTAATAATTGGAATGACACAAGGTCGTAAAATGGTCTAATTTTTTTGACGAAAAAAGTATTCTAAAAACTCAAGATTCAAGACTTGCTGCACACTAACACAAACTAAATGTTACAGAAATGTGTCAGTTTGCACTCTTGAATCAATCAAAATATTAATCTGCATTCTTGCTACAGTATCCTTGCATTTGTATACAGATCAACCAGCACAAGCATAGAATAAGGGTAAGTTATTGAGCCCACAGAAATACAATCGGTAACATAAAAAATAGGTGGCGCTTTAGTAGTGTGTGTACCAAGATGGCGCACAACCTGATACCCTTAACCTGGTACACATATTATGTTCAGGTTGTGTGTCATCTTGGTACACATACTACGGGAGCATCTAATAGGTTTACTTTTTGCTGTTCTTGACCAGGAACAACTTGGTCGTATTTGTCCAATAATTCAGCGGCTTTTGCGCGTAACGAATCGCACCATTCCTGAGCAGGGTTGACAATAATGTAACGATAAACGTCTGACAACCAGTCTGCTATGATGTAAACCCTCATTTCTACAAGTAATGCAGTGAAGTATAAGAAATCAGGACCTTCCCTGTGAAGCAAAGAAACAAAATATTGGAAGTTTCATTGATTAGTTTTGTATGACTTGTTTAAAACCAGGGATGGCCAAAACTAAACAATTTACCGCTTTATCTGAATACAATTTTTTTGACATGGAATAAAAAATATAATCTAAATTGACCATGTTCTGCTACATTTTATTCCAATTAAGGATACTAATTTGAAACGAATAACCATTGATTTGATGTAACATTTGAACAATTTTCAGAAAAACACATTTGAGAAATAACTTGAAAAATACTGAAATTTGCAAAGTCAATCAGTCAGTCAGTTTATTTTTGCACATGCCGAAAATGCACATTGTAAATACAGAATCAGGAAAGGTAGAAAAAAGTGCATTCCAGTGTGAGGGAGACGTAATAAAATAGTGATGAATATAGGGTAGCGTCACCTGTTAGGAAGTCTAATATTAAATTATAATACTAACAAAAGCCGGACTTTAAGATTCGTCTTCCTATTGTTTTCCCAGTGTCTCGATTTCCCAGTGTCGCTTGTTACAATGGAAGCAAACGACTCTCACGACACAAGCAACTGCAGTTTATTGCATGACAAATGTATGGGTAGTTGTTGCCCCATGTCTACATCAACAATGGCAGTGGGCAAAATCCAATATTTCGTTTAAGTCGAAACTTTTAAAACTTCAATGCAATAACTTACCTGAACTGTAATTCAAATTGTAGTTTTGAGTCTTTCATTTGACTTTCTTGATTCTTGTTTTGCTTAGAATGATCTGTTGGTCCAAGAACAGTAGAAAACACACTGCGACTCGAACCAAAATCCTAGAAGAAGTGTGATTATTACAGGATTAGGACCTAGCAAGAAATTTTTTATTCAAACTGTTCCTAACCTAGGAAGAAATTTGAAAATTTTGGGAAATTTTACTTTGTATTTGCTTGTAGTGTTACTAATATTTTCACCTATTCAGTATTATCGTAATGCCTATGAATGAATACATCATAAACTATTCAAAATGTACAAAACCCAGATAACTAGTCATATGCATTGCAAGCAAATGTTCTATTGAAGACTGAATATTGAATGCAAGTAGAGCTTTGTGTATAGCGGGAGAGTAATTAATCAGGAATTCAGGAATTGGAAAAGTGACGATTGTGTCAAAAAAGGTGCTTTAATCAAGTAGAAAACACACTCCGGCTCGAACCAAACTCCTGAAGTTACACAGGAATTCCGTTATTCTATGTTCCAGGAAGTGATTGTCTTTAACTATATATTAAAGAACAGCAGTGATGGTGCCCCGGTCGGTGGGGAAGTATAACAAATCAGCAACTACAAAAAGTACTGCATCAAAGCGATAATATGAAATTCTCATAGAATTTGAACATGCTGATTGAATACGAGCATATTCCTCACAATGTATTAATCAGTGTTAGTAGAATCTGGTGCAGAGGTGGGCAAATGCGTCCCACCGAAGTGTCTCATCTGGCCACCTGTTTCTGCTGAAATTATGACAATACTTTTTATGGATATAAATATCTGTTGAGAATATAGATGAAAATGATGCGCTTCTTATTATTATATAAACGTTAGCCTAGTTGTTGGACTAGCTTCTTGTAAATAAACTGTTTTTAGTCATAATTTTTAATATTAAGATCCGAGTCTCCCGCCCAGTAACCAAGTTTATTATCTGTAACCGACCCACTCGGAAAAGTAATTGCCCCCCGGTCTAGTGCATTCGAAAATACTTACGTTATGACAAGATCCATCTTTCCACCGGGTGTCACTAGCAACAAAAGCTTCGCATGACAAATTGACAGTTTTTGTTTGATTGGAAAATGATCTATAACTGAGGCGAGACTTCACGTAATCAAGTCTGAAAGCAAGAAAATAATTTTTAATAAGAAACATTTATAAACATTAGTCTGGATATTCATTTGAGCAACTCGTTCAATTTTTTCAGGTATTAGGTTCTGCTCTGCCTGAAGTATTCCCGTCTCTTGAAACTCAGAGTCTTGTTCTATACGCACTTGGCCACTGCTTGGTTTCGAGTCAAGGCATGATTGCAGAACACCTTATAGATAAGATTCGAAGATTTCTAGTTCTCTCAAAACTTAGATCAACGGTTCTCAATTGAGGGCCATTGGCCCCCCAAAGGGGCTACAGAGCAATTGTAAGGAGGCCACAATGCTAGGAGCAGAACTGATTTTACTTTCACTTCATAAGACCCCGTTCCAACTGTTTTCATTGCTTGATGAGGTTATTTCCTAGCATGTTTTCACTTTGTTGAGCAAGAATTGTTTGCACATAATGAGATTTGGAATCGACCAATCAAAATAACACTATAAATACCACTGGAATGGTAAACAGGGGGACACGAACCATGGAAGGTTGGGAACCACTGCCCTAGACCAGGAAGACGCTAGCGCTTAAAAAAAAATCTAACCTTGCTAAAGAAACTTCATTCTGAAATGTTGTTTTGTGTTGTTTCAACAATTCGACACTGACATTCAACAGATGCATATCAATACTCATTCCTGTATATACTGATCCTGATAGTACAGTCTGGAATGTAAGAAAGAGAAGTATGAGATCATGATCTTGAAATTTCTAGTTATATAATCAATTTAGTATATTGTGGGGCTAGGCATTTTGAATCGAATAGTACATTATTCAAATCAGTTCAGACGAAAATTTTGAATCGTCGCCATATTGTTTCAGCAAACTTTCATATAAGGAAATTCATTGCGGGCTGCAAACTTTTTACCAAACTTGAACATCAGCCAAGTTCTAATTTATATTAGAATTTACAAATTACAAAAAAGCAAGTTTAGGGTAGGGTTGGGCAAAATATTTGAATATCGTATCGAATATTAAAATATTAGAGTAGCAGTGTCAGTTTACTATTCTAATACAACTTGTGCATCGCTGAATCAAATGGTTGGACTGCACAAGACATTTGCGAACTTCTATGTTTTCAGTAATTTATGTGTTTGGAGGACCCATCACTATAAAGGCACATACATTTGAATATATTGCAGATCTACTCCTGAAGTATGCGCATCAAGATGTCACACAACCTGAGTTCCAGTTGTGCGCCATCTTGGTGCGCATACTTCAGAAGGTCCATTGCAAATATTCGAGATTCGATTCGAAAAAATGATTCAACTATCCAGAATCGGAATTTTAGATTCTCAATATTAATGAAGGAAATCCAAAATTCCACAGAAATACAAAAAGCATTGAAATTACTAGACATTCTTAACAACTGCATGCATACGCCAAAGTTTTTGTTTTCAAAATTTGTATTTTTCAAAATTGGGAGCTGAAAACAGAGTAAAATCTTTCTCAACTAGGTGTTAGGAGTTCATTGTCAAGTTCTCCACCAAGCGTATGTATTTGGGACAAAAAACGGCACTGCCGTAGTGTGCGCACCAAGTTAGGGTTAGGGCATATATTTATTCCAATTTCTCTTATTTTAGTTTTATTATGAGTTTGGGGACTGTCTGTGTTAGCCAAGTGAATATCCCCCTTGGCTATAGGTTTCAATCCCTTTACACAACTTGATGTAAAGTAGGCGAACAAAATTAGTTTCCTCCATATTTGTACACACACTTCTAGAGCGCCAATAAATGAATATTGAAGTCAACATGACACAAAAATTTTTCGTTTTGCGTTGAAGGCAGGGCTCGATCAACCATTTAGGCAAAAATAGGCACGTGTTTAGGGCACCAAGCAGACAGAAATATGGGCAAGTATAGCAAATTAACCTGAATCACTGAAGGTTGTAGGAATGCAGTAGGTTGAGGAAACTCTGGTATCGGTTCACCAAGATTATGATCCAGAATTCCACGAACCAACCAATATTGCTGAAGATCAATCGTACAATACACAGAAGACAACTGTCCACTGATTGAAGTATCCGGAACATTTCGAACCATTGTCTCTTTCTCAAGATTTCGTTCGATCTGGAAAAATTAGGGGAACACTGAAAAAGTGGACACTAAATTGAACGGGAGAGCAATGCCTAAATATACTGGCACATAAGATGCAACTTGGTACAGTATGCACGTAGAGAACTGAGCTTGCTGAAACGACCAGCAGAGGAGAGAGGCGGTTAAGTGTGATAGAATAAAAAGATGTACATCCCCTTTAACTAAAATGAAACTGAAAAAGTTTGGAAGAAATATAAATTCGAAAAAAAGGAATAGCTTTCAGTGGTTTCATTCATCTTCGGGTATGTAACACATTGCTGGATATTTATAAATATTCAATTGCTTACCCGTTTATAATTCTCAGTCGAAAGCAAAGACCATGCTTGGAGCAATACTTCAAATAAAGTAGTGTCTCAAAGAAGTTGTGTCCCACTTGTCCAAATATGAATCAAGGGGGCTAATGATCAAAGTGAGCATATGAGGTTATTCATCCAGGGTTAGGATAAACATATCACAGAAGGTTACAGTAAGCATATAATATACCATGGGGGCTTATGTAGGAAAAGAGCAGGACAAGTGGGACAAAAGCCCCCCAAAAGAATGTGGATATCTTACCTGTAGACTTAATTTGCATTTTTCTTTCAACAAAGGTTTTGTATCTCGTTTCACATAAAAGGATGAGAACATGATGATGGAATTGTCATCAGAGGAGTGGCTGTATTGAAAAATGAAGGATTATTGTAGAAATTTAACTTTTTAACACATTGGGTGTAATAATTAGGGTTTGACAAGTAACATAGTAGAATTTTCATATTCATTCCGATAATAGGAAAGCTATGAGTTTACTTATTGATATAGTGAAACACAACTTCTCATTTCGTCATCAGTCCATGTTAGGTATGGGTATAGTTACCAATACATTGTTCCAGAAACATGGATTTTGATAGTAAATAGGATAGGATTTACATATTTATCCCGGGGGAGAGGAAAGCCGATAAGACGGCTTATCCATATGGCGAACCACGGCCTCTCGTCCGGTTACCATTCCAAGTCGGGTATGGGATTAGTTTTACTGTATTGTTTGTTTTCGGAAGCATGGACTTGGTGGTGGAGGAAGCCGTAACCGACCAGCGGTTACGTGAACCACCCATCGACGGCGAGGAGTCCAGCAATCCTCTCGCACATAACCATCCCTGCATGGGATTCGAACCTGCGAACCCACGCAGAGTAATTAGAGGTGCGGTGGCGAGCGTATTCCTAACGCTTAGCCCGTTGAGCCACACCACCGCGCCATAAATAAACTATAACAACCATTAGTTACATTTAACCCTGTGACACGAAAGGCGAATTTGTTGTGTACATAATCCCTCAAACTAGATTCAAACCTGCGACCCGGGAAGAAGTCTTGAGTGTGATGGCAACTGTAAATGCGGAAATGCGTAGCACAGAGTGCAAACTGCAACCTCAGTACGGCCACTCGTTTGCAGTGGAAGTATAAAACACTGCTTTATAAAAGGAACCACTTCAGCAAGAAATAAACAACATGCCAATAAATCACAGCGCTTTGCTGCCCAACTGCAAATTTCTAATTTACAACTTATAATCACAAGCAAAACAAACCTTGAATTGATGAGGTCTTTTTTATCACTCCTAACAGCAGAATATAAATCCATTTGATCGAGATCAGCATGTAAGACATCCAACAAACATTTGCGAGAGCCAGGAGACAAAGGTGCTGTTGAAGTCTGGAAAGGAACACATTATTGGTTAAAACAGAGTTTCCTAAACTTTTTGCGCGCAGATCCATATTTATGAATCTCAGTTTTGACGAACCCCTATCCTATGCCGTATCAATTTCTGTGTCTAACCAACGAGGAAAGATAATGTTTCATTTACAATACAAACAATATTAATGTAATGAATGAGGTTGTTTTTCACTGAACAATTTATCAATTTGTGACGAGCAAACTCGTAGAGCCTATCCACGGCAAATCTCGACCTGTATTTTGCCAGCATATTGGTAAAAACTAAAAATGCCCTGTGCAGTCATCATGGACCCAAAGGGGTCCGCGGACCCCAGTTTGGGAAATCCTGGGTTAAAAAAAAGAATGCACTAGCATTGCAATTTACATATCTCGGGTATAAATCCACTTAGGGGCGCAGCCAGGAATTTTCAAAGAGGGGGGGGGTGTTCTGAAATTTTTAATTGCCAAGTTAGATCGGGACAGCTAATGAGTCAGTTTTTTTCAAAGAGTCTTGAGGGTCTGAAAAGCGTTTCAAGTTACGTAAAATTGCTATGTAGTTGTTGTACCAATATAAGCAATCACATGCAGCGACCTAATAAAGACGCATCAACACATGAGTCAACATTTTTTTCGCAATATCAGTCTTTGCTTGAAACCTCCACTGTATAATGACTTGGATGTGTCATGGCTGACCGACACGATGCTGTCTGTTTTGTCATCCGTATTGAACAGTAATAAGTTTGACATGCATATTCAAGAGCCTGAAGTATGTTCACCAAGGTGGCGCACAACCTAAACGTAGTATGTGTACCAGGTTAGGGTTCAGTGACATTTTGGTGCACATACTTCGGGACCCCTATTGACTAGTATATATATGAATACTATTTTGTAAACCAGTCAATTTTTATTTATTACGTTTAATTTCTCAGAAGACAATTTATCTTTGAGAGACGACATCGTAACATATCTCCTCAAGACTGCTGACCGATAGAGCTAGGAATATCAAACTATAGTTATCCACAGGATGGCTGGCCTTAATTAGAAATAAGAGAAGCCATGCAATAAAGCGGAACATGAATACTAGCCAGATATTATAGGTCATATGAGGACATATGCATCAAATCACTCAAAAATATACCATTATATGAACCTACAGAAATACAGAATATCGGTTTCTAAAAAATATATCCATTATGAAAAAGGTGACTCAAATTACCTACTTCCCACGTATATCTTCGTCATTATCGTTATGAGAGTAAACAGAAAATTAGCGCAAGCAACGTATATTGCTCGAAAAAGGTCGTTATAGATATACCATAATATGAAACTACAGAAATAAAGAATATCGGTTTCAAAAATATATATCCATTATGAAAATGGAAAATCAAATTACCTACTTCCCCGGTATTTTCGTCATTATCGTTATGATAGTAAACAAAAAAATTATCGAAAACAAGGTATATCGCTCAAATATGGGTATTATAGATATACCATAATATGAAACAACAGAAATACATAATATCGGTTTCAAAAATATATATCCATCATGAAAATGGCAAATCAAATTACCTACTTCAGTCGTGTATTTTCGACATTATCGTTATGAGAGTAAACAAAAAAATTATCGAAAACAAGGTATATCGCTCAAATATGGGTATAATAGATATACCATAATATGAAACAACAGAAATACAGAATACCAGTTTCAAAAAAATATATCCATGAGGAAAATGGCAAATCAAATTACCTACCTCACTCGTGTACTTTCGAGCTTTTTTGTCAGAAAATTACTTTCCCATGCAAGGGAAAAACTACGAGAAGAACTAAATTCTTTTCAAAAAGATTTCAAATTCCAACTGGTAATAATATTAATATTTAGAATGAGAATTGCTACTCAGTAGCAAAAACAGCATCATCACTCATTGCTATCAAAGTCAATAACACTAGCAATTCTTAATACGTTTGTGAGCGGTTGTGGGCCACCTAAAAATTTTCTGTGTCCCAGAGGTGGGCCATGGCCCAATGGTTGAGAACCAGTGTTATATATATACCATAGTACGAAACAACAGAAATACGGAATATAGGTTTCAAAAAATATATCCATATGAAAAAGGTGACTCAAATTACCTACTTCACTCGTGTATTTTCGTCATTATCGTTATGATAGTTTATACAAGAATTTATTGTTGGTAAGCTGAAAAATAAAGCTGCGTTTGCATAAAGAAAGAAATTGACATATACATATATATAGGACCCTATCGCTTTTGAAAGCATACCCTTATAGGCGAGTGACGGTTAAAGTAACCCTCAGAAAGGTTCACATAATTGGTCATGCTTGAGAACTGGAAATAATAATATATTAATTATTGTAACAATCGAAAATAACAAGCGCCCGTGCTCGGACGCTTCAACAGAAAGCTAGAATACATCTAGCACAACTCTGTATAAGTTTAAAAAAAGAAATTTGTGATCGATAAAATGAGGGGTCGTCAGTGTTTAGATCAGGGGTGGGCAAGGTTTCAGAACCAGGGCCAAAAAAATATTGCCTACCTAAACTGGCGGGCTATGTGAGTGTGACATGGAGATGGAAATTCACATTTTATAAACAATATTTACAGTGTTACAAAAGCAAAGATGGAAAACAATAAGCCTTGTGTCAAAACTAAATTTAACCGCAATCTCAACAAATTCCTTGAGCTATTTTGTCTAAATCATCAAAATTTGATTACAGATTGAATTACCCAACGGGCCGGATTTGAACCGTGGGCTGTACCTTGGCCCATGTCTGGTTTAGATCATGGTAATTTCTATTGTAGACTGATTAGTGAATGAAAACTTAATGGGAATTTGGTACAAGATGTTAGCCATGTTAGCTTTGATTTCTATACTTTGCACTGCCTGTTATACAAATGTTAAAATTTGCTGCCTCCTGACATTTGAGATACGAAAAGTTCAGAAAAAAGGTGACGCAATAATATTTTTATATTTTCAGAAAAAACAATTGATTCCAGGGTAACTTCTGATTTATATCAAATGTTTAAAAGTTGAAAATTTTAAATGACTACTCTGCAGTTCGAGATTTCCTTTAACACGACAGTACAGGAATTTGATACTACAGCTCCGCACGTCCAAGATTTTAAAGTGACAAGTACTTGGATTATTGTCCTCGGTGTAAATATTTTATCACTACTTGTAAGCCTTTATATATCTATCGCACTCGTGGTTCACAACTTCTTATCAAATATCAATGACAAAAAACAACAAGTAAAAAAACAAGAAATAATATGGATTGATTCTCCAGGATTCTCGCCAGTACGATCAAATAATTTAAAATTCGATGCAAAATCTCATTTGGCGAAGTTAGAGGGAATGTGCATTGCAGGAGCTGTATTTACAACTTTGAAGATTGCATCAGAACAACTACAATTGTTTCTTGGAGGAAAATCAGACTTTCTCTGCACTGTTATCCTAAAGGTTCAGCTGGTTCTGTACTCATTGCCAATATTAGCCATATACACATTTCTTTGGGCGCGTCAAAGGATAATGTATAAGCATCCAGCAATAAGTCTTTACAGTTCCAAAAAGACTCAATTTGCGAGTTGGTATATTCTTTTCACACTAATCATCGGAATTTTAGCAACAGCAGTTGTATTCTTCACTACAAGATCATATATGAAGTCAGATTTTGGATGCGCACTCAAGAAAACATCAATTCCTAAATTTATACCTTGGCTGATATTAATTGGCACAGCAATAACTTTTCAAACTTTGCTTTTGGCCTTATTTTTATATCCTCTCGTGCGTCATCGCCAAATATTAAAAAATGTCCGGAGAGAAGATCAACTGACGGACACGGTGAAACCTGTCATAAAACGAGTTTTTCTGGTTACTCTTGCTTGCGTTATTTCTGATGTTATTGCTGTACTAGTCACCTTGGCAACATCAACCATTTTAATCTCGAATATCCTTTATGACATAAATCTTCTAGTAAATATGTTTGGTATTTGTCTTTCGTTTGCTGATTGGAAAAATCGGTTATTTCCATGGAGTATTTCTAAAACAAAAAAATCTGAACCTAATAGACTAGATGCTCATGCCACATATTCCTGCTAATGCAATAGGTACAGCTGTTTTTATTTATCTTTTTGTTTATACTACTCTTATATCTTGAAAAAAAAAAATTTTTTTTATGAGTGCAAATTTCTGTTTTGTATCTTGTACATGAGTAGGCAAGAGAAGATAATAGATAATTTCAGACGAATATTTGTCTTCATTAACACTGGAGCATATCAGTTTCAAAAAATATATCTATTATGAAAAAGGACTCAAATGACCTACTTCACCCATGTATTTTCGTCATTATAGTTATGAGAATAAACAGATAATTAGCGCAAACAACGTTTATCGGTCGGAAATGGTTGTTATAGATATACCATAATACGAAACTACGTAAAATACAGAGTATTGATTTCAAAAAAATATTATGAATATAAAGATCAAGCCAAATTTGCCATTCTCTTCTACAAATGTATAAACAGATGCTGTATTTCTCAAAACGCGACATCATCGAAATTACGATTGAATATCGTCACAATTAAGGTTTCATATATTAGTTTATAAAAGATTTTATTGTTGGTAAGCTAAAAGCTGCGTTTGCGCAATATATATATATATATATAGGACCCTATTGCTTTTGAAAGCATACCATTATATGCGAGTGACGGTTGAGGTAACCTTCAGAAAGCTGAAAAATAAATCTGGTTTGCAACCCCTTTCGATAGAAATTTACATATATATATATACAGTGATGAGCTTGAAAAATTGTAACAACTGGAATGCAGCTTATTTGTGAATATGTTTTATAATCACATTATTTGTCTGCTGCAGTGTAAAAAAAAAAAATTATGTTGTTACAAAACGTACAGTTGATAACTAAGCTTAGCGGAGAAACTAAACCTCCCAGGATAGAATTTTTTTGGAACAACAGGAACGCCAATGCAATAAACTATTTAGCAACAAGAACCGCACTCTGGTGCATTCCGGCTACAACTCACCCCAGTATATATGTATAAAGGACCCTATTGCTTTTGGAAGCATACCCTTATAGGCAAGTGACGGTTGAGGTAACATTCAGAAAGCTGAAAAATAAAGCTGCGTTTGTATAAGATTTTCGATAAAAATGTATGTATATATATATATCTACCGGTATATATGACCCATCGTATTTGAAAGCATGCCCTTATAGGCGAGTGACAGTTAAAGTAACATTCAGAAATAGTCAAACAATAGGACGGCTTGTCATTGTAATATTATATTATTTTTTTCTATCAGGAGTTATATAATCGTGATTGTCTATAACCTGAAAAGTTTAAGGTTAATTTAGAAAATCTACCTTTCGATCATCCTGTAGCGTGTGATTAATCATAAAAAGAGTATTACTGAAACGTGCCCAGTACTCCAATTATGGCCTACCAACATATATTGTTAAAATGAGCTATGTCGTGCGTAACCAATATGTTATTTTAAATATAATATTCAAAAAACATTCGTAAATATACGTTGTGACATTTTTCTAGCCCTCGTTAGAATTGGAAAATATGATCAGTAAGTGACATTTTTCTAGCCCTCGTTAGAATTGGAAAATATGATCAGTGAATGACAAGATTCAATAGGTTCTTTACTTCATCTTTTATAACCTTTAATTTCGGACGCTCCAACAGAAAGCTAGAATACATATAGCACAACTCTGTCTAAGTTTAAAAAAAGGAATTTGTGATCGATAAAATGAGGGGTCGTCAGTGTTTAGATCAGGGGTGGGCCAGGTCTTAGAACCAGGGCCAAAAAAATTTTGCCTACCTAAACTGGCGGGCTATGTAAGTGTGACATAAAAAGACACATTTTATAAACAATATTTACAGTGTTACAAAAGCAAAGATGGAAAACAATAAGCCTTGTGTCAATACTAAATTTAACCGCAATCTCAAATTCCTTGAGCTATTTTGTCTAAAACATCAAAATTTGATTACAGATTGAATTACCCAACGGGCTGGATTTGAAACGCGGGTCGTACCTTGGCCCATGTCTGGTTTATCCTGGTAATTTCTATTGTAGACTGATTAGTGAATGAAAACTTATGAGAATTTGGTACGAGATGTTGGACATGTTAGCTTTGATTCCTATACTTTGCACCGCATTGTCGTACGAATGTTGCGTTTTGCGACAGTATGTTAGTCAGCAATTTATTTGTTGTATTTACGCTCACCCTAGAATGAAATTATAAAGCAAAACTGAGTTAATCAGTCACTCTTTCCTGAGTTACTCGCACCATAATTACTTTATATTAAATTCCTGAATTGGATTTATTCAGTAAGTCATGATGATATAATCTAATTCTTATTTTGAACATTTGTTTAACATCATCTGTTTGTCAATTAATCAACACGGTGTCTTTGACACGATGACTCTGGCAGTCTTACGCGGCTCCGCGTCAATTGCGAAAATATTGTATGCATGTATACTTCAGTCTTCAATTGATTTTGTATCATCATTATATTTGTTTAATTGTGTCAGTACAATATTTCATGCACGACGAAATAAAACTTCCGAGTTCTGTTAAAATTTGCTGCTTCCTGACATTTGAGATACGAAAAGTGGAGTCGTCAAAAAAAGTTGATGCAATAAATTTTTTTTTCATTTTCAGAATAAGCGATTAATTACAAGGTATCTACTGATTTATATCCAATTTTTAAAGTTTGAAAATTTTGAATGACTACTCCAAGGTTTGAGATTTCATTCAACACGACAGTCCAAGAATTTGATACTACAGCACCGCACACCCAAGATTTTAAAGTGACAAGTACTTGGATTATTGTCCTCGGTGTAAATATTTTATCACTACTTGTAAGTCTTTATATATCTATCGCACTCGTGGTTCACAACTTCTTATCAAATATCAATGACAAAAAACAACAAGTAGAAAAACAACAAATAATATGGATTGATCTTCCAGGATTCTCGCCGGTACGATCAAATAATTTGAAATTCGATGCAAAATGCTATCTGGCAAAGTTAGAAAGAATGTGCATTGTGGGAGCTGTATTTACAACTTTGAGGATTGCATCACAACAACTACAATTGTTTCTTGGAGGAAAATCAGACTTTCTCTGCACTGTTATCCTAAAAGTTCGTCTTGTTCTGTACTCATTGTCAATATTAGCCATATACACATTTCTTTGGGCACGTCAAAGGATAATGTATAAGCATCCAGCAATAAGTCTTTACAGTTCCAAAAGGACTCAATTTGCGAGTTGGTATATTCTTTTCACACTGATTATTGGAATTATAACGACAACAGTTGTATTCTTCACTACAAGATCACATATGAAGTCAGATTTTGGATGCGCACTCAAGAAAACATCAATTCCTAAGTTTATACCTTGGCTGATATTAATTGGCACAGCAGTAACTTTCCAAACTTTGCTTTTGGCCTTATTTTTATATCCTCTCGTGCATCATCGCCAAATAATAAAAAACGCCCAGAGTGGATATCAACTGGCAGACACAGTGAAACCTGTCATAAAACGAGTTTTTCTGGTTACTCTTGCTTGCGTTATTTCTGATGTTATTGCAGCACTCGTCACCATTTCAACATCAACCGTTTTAATGTCAAGTATCCTTTATGACATAAATCTTCTTGTAAACATGTTTGGTATTTGTCTTTCATTTGCTGATTGGAAAAATCGGTTATTTCCATGGAGTATTTCTAAAACAAAAAAATCCGAACCTAATAGACTAGATGCTCATGCCACATATACCTGCTGATACAATACGGTTTTAATTTCTTTTTGTTTTTCCCTAACTTGTTTCTTAAAAATAGAAAAAAATTGTTTATGGAGAATTTGCATCCAACATGCATCAGTAGGCTATAGTCACCAACTCGGGCTTCCTACTGGCAACAGGCTTCATTTTATTTTGCTTATTAATACAAGTAAGCATTTTTCATTACGGTTCATGAAGGCACAGTCGAACTCCAATGCCCTCATTCAATGACTGTCACAGTCTTTCGCCAGCCCTCATCAATTGCTATGAATCTCTCACTTGTATGAATTTCTTATGTGTATAACTACATTTTTTATGATTGCCATTATACATTTTTGACAGTTTTTCGTGCTTTAATTTTTGTATTGATTCTTGCATGATAGAAATAAATAAATGAATCTGAAAATTTCTGTCTTTATCTTGCTGATTTGAGTAAATATATGTCTGTGAGTAGGCAAGAGAAGATAGATAATCGATAATTTCAGCTGATTGTTTGTCCTGGTTACACTGAAGACTTGCATAAAATGAGAAACCTTCCAACTTACAAAAAAATTGATGGTGTGATAAACTGGCTGTACTTGCGTAAGCGATAAAATTTCGAACCGATAAGATAGGACTTACATATTTATCCCGGGGGAGAGGAAAGTCGGCAAGACAGCTTAACCATATGGCCAACCACGGCCTCTCATTCAGTTACCAGTCCATGTCGGGTATGGGATTAATTAGTTATTTGTTTTCGGAAGTTATTTTGTAGTAGTTATTAGTTTTTACCGCCATGGTAATAAAATGAAGCCAAACAGCAGAAAAACAATAGGGGCATTCTTATAAAATCGAAATATAAATTGCAATACCCTTAATCTGGTAATAAAAAAATGTGTTGTAAATTTGAATAAATTATGTCGTTGCTGTTTTTCCTCTATTTAAATATGGCGTAAAAATCTTGAACACATAAATAATCTTAATATTTTCGATGACTACTGACTGAAGATGAGAGACCTATTGAGAGTTCGTCAAACTTCCGGCCCCCTGCACACAGTGGCGCATCGTGCTAAACGTTAGGAATACGCTCGTCACGGCACCTCTGATTACTCTGTGTGGGTTCGCAAGTTCGAATCCCTTGCGGGGATGGTTATGTGCGAGAGGAATGCTGGATTATTCTCGCCGTAGGGTGGTTCGCGTAACCGCTTGTCGGTTACGGCTTCCTCACCCGTAGAGTCCATGCTTTCTAAAAAAAATTAACAAATCTAACTAACTAAATATGTAAATCCTAATTTTGCGTAAATAACACAGATTCAAGAGTTTAGTGAAATATGCAATTGCATATTTTATATGCAATATGCATTTTTGATGTTTCATTGACAAAGCTAATTCTCAACTTTTAGTAGGCCTACTCAATTACAAAACAAGCACATATTTATTCAGAGTAACGGTACTCAATTATTCAGTGTAATGGGTGCGAATACTTTTTGCTGCATAGCAAGTCTAGCTTTGGCTCAATGTTAAAGCCTAATCGATGAATTACGATGTCTGGCCACCGACGGCATGGTTCTTATCCGGAATTGTTCACACTTATTGATCAAACCTAGCATAAGACAGCGGTTTGTGTGGCGCCAATTTATCATGGGAAAAACTCGTGGCGCACCTACACGGAAAATATGCTGCCTGATAATTTTGTCATCGGTAATATGTACTTATTTTATCTCTGCCTGGTTTTTCTTTAAAATGCTAAAAAAATCACTCATGTTCAGCAAATGAATAAACTGCAGTCTACGAAATTGCAGCATTGCATGTATGGTTTACCTCTTCTGTTACGTAACAATATACCCAACGTAACAGAGCGTACACAACATAGAACAGTAAAATGAATTTGATTCGTATACACATCATTTGCAACAATGAGAAACAATAAAACATTTAGAATAAATAAAATATAAAATATATTTTGAGGCGCACTTAGCAAATCTTTTAATAAGTGCTCCCTTTTCAAAAAGACTTAGTCGATAGTGCAATTTTTTTCGACCTAATCCCGTGGAAGTGTGTCGTTTCCATTTTGCTAGGTCTCAAAATTTCGTGATTCGTTAACCTTTCAAACAACCCATATCTTCTACTTTTACAGAAAAAAGGGAAGATTATATCGACTTACCTGTGATGGTGTTACAATAAAAAAGTTTAAGACCCATTAAATATGATTTCACTGACTGTCGTTATGTTTTGTTTGTTACTTTATATGAAACTTATTGCAAAAAAGTCTTTTATTAAAAGGTATCAATACGTATTTTCACGGGTAGTCGTACATTGAGCATATTTCTGGAGGGCGTCACAATACAATGAAGTTCGAGAACCACTGATAGTCGATAGCAAGAAATTTCTACTCTTTCTACTTTTTAAATGATTAATAATCTATATGTAGCAGTTATTTTAAATGAAGACGTGCTATTTATAAGTAATGGAAATCGGTATTCATATTTGGCATTTCCAAAAATCTCGTTATTCTCTACATCCCCCAAAAATAAGCCCTAGTGTTATTTTCGAAATAAAATTGAAGACACTGTCTTATTTACACAGTATGATGATTTTTTGTTCATTAGGAATCGTGAAATTTTTGTTTCACATTATTCTTAATAATTGTATTTCGAATCAAGAGCCTGGAAAAGTACAATAGATATAGATACTTTGTGTAAAATTGGTGCTCCTTTGCGGCCCCTAAAATTCGTTTCGCGGCCCCTAGTTTAGGAAGCCCTGGTTTAAAGCTATAACTGGCACTGCATTAGTGACTCCCAATCGTAGTTAGCAAGCTGCACGTCTGCGCAGATCGGGCAGACATTGCTTATTCCAATGTACCGACAGAAATGTCTTTGCGTGATTTCTGAGATAGTATATTATAAATGACAAATTAGGTCCAGCTAGCACACGAAACGGGGGAGGATTTTCAAAGTGATGTTGCGTAATATTTCAGAGAAAAAAGTTTGCTACGGTGTTAGTGTTACTTAATATCTGTATTACTGCGACGAAGTATAGTAACTTGATTTTGTTGATCTTGGCGCGGTGGTGTGGCTCAACGGGCTAAGCGTTAGGAATACGCTCGCCACCGCACCTCTAATTACTCTGCGTGGGTTTGCAGGTTCGAACCCATGCAGGGATGGTTATGTGCGAGAGGATTGCTGGACTCCTCGTCGTCGTTGGGTGGTTCACGTAACCGCTGGTCGGTTATGGCTTCCTCCACCACCAAGTCCATGCCTCCGAAAACAAACAATATAACTAATTCCATACCCGACTTGGAATGGTAACCGGACGAGAGGCCGTGGTTTGCCATATGGATAAGTCATCTTATCGGCTTTCCTCTCCCCCGGGATAATTATGTAAATCCTAACCTATCCTATTCTTGTTGAAAACATACGAGGCAGTGTGAACTCCAGAGATCTTTTGTGCAAAGCCCCCACCACTCATACAAAAATGTGTGACATTATAATTTGAGAAAAATATCATCGCTACGTTTTAAAATAACAAATTATTATTTATCTGATTAGGGTTAGGGATAAATTGAAAAGTTGAACTTTCAGCGCATCTGCATTCCTAGCCCTAATTGGATAATTAGTAATTTAATATTGGGCAGTGGCGGGGATGTTATTTTGCAAGGTCTATGTACAAATGATAAGTCACCCCAGGTGGTTCTGGCTCAGGTGTGCTCAGCAGGTGCCGTTTCGTTACTGATGAATTATTTAAAAAAGGGTTTAAACGAAACTCCATTAACGCAAAGGCTTCTTTAAAATTCGTAATATTAACGGAAGAAGCGCTTTTTCTACGCTGTTTGAAATAGGAAAAAAAAGGCGAGGGCACCTAATTTGTTATAATCGACCAGGGAACTTTCACACTTTTTGTTCAACTGCGAAGCACTCATAATTTCCTTAGAGTAAACACTGCTATGTACTACACAGTAGGGAGAAACGGGGGGGTTGCCTAGTGTCTTGACAACCATTCTTGTCATCCTCAGAATAATATAATAGTGTCCATTAGGAAATCTAAAAGCAAAGCAGTTCCCTTAGAAATGAACTTACATCTGGATTTTCTTGTTTCGAATGTTGAATGTTGATATCTTGGGATAATGTACCGGGATCACCATTCCATTTAAATGAGTTTTGAACTGTTAGATTGCCTGGAATTTCAAGGAGAATTATATTAATAAAAAACTGAGAAATTGTGACATTTCAAGGAGAATTACATTAATAAAAAACTAAGAAATTCTGACAAAACTATTAGAAATAATTCAAAATCACACAGATTGAGAGAATTCTAATAGAGTCTCGAAATAAATCCTAAAGAGAGATAAAAAATTATCATTTCGTAGGCCAGAATGACAGTCATTATAATAATAGAAATGCAGCAAGAACAAACGTCTTCTGTATAGACTGGAGGAAGTAATATCACCATGGGGCCATCAAAGACATATCTGCCATATCATAGCTATCCAGTTACATAAAGCTAAATGGTTACAACTTCCATAATTCTACTTTTTTAAGAACGTGAATATTTCTGATACGCCGAATTCCTAAAATCCATTCCTTGGACAATAAACCCACACAAAATCTAAACAAAAGAATAACAGCCCGAAGTGACCTGACACATATTATAACCATACTAAACAAATCTCTAATCCAAAATCTCTCATATTTTATTTTATTCTCCCTTCTATGCAATTTATTGAATATTCGATATATCTTTTAACTTAATCATTGGGGACATTCTAAAATTGTTGAGAGAATCAAAGAGAGGAAGTCTCAGGAAAGTGCTTTTACAGAATTCCATATTATCAATTTAGATCAGGGGTTCATAAGCTTTTTTCAGGACGACCCCAAAGACAACTTTCAAGTGTCCAGCGCGTCCCAAGGTCAATATATATATTTTTCATGAAACTTCAGAGCTTCTTTCACTGGACTTTTGAGTTTGGTCATGTGGTGGTATTAAGTAAAATAAGTTAAAATCAAACAGTGATGTCACAATAAGCACCTACATTTTCTATAGCATAAGCATAGAGCAATGCCTACGAACCTGTTTTACAGTAAGCCATGGTACAAACTGCTAAATTTAACATGGTTTGACAAATCTTAGATGTGTTGTACGTCCATCCTCTACCATGCCTCAGCGTCTTCAGCGACCCCATGACCTGTTTGCGACCCTACCTAAATATCACTCCGACACAATTTGGGGTCGTGACCCCTGGTTAGGGAACCCCTGATTTACATAATCGAAATAATTGTTTTTGGGTGAAATTTTTTCATTTTTTGCGGAGAAATAATGGTTTATGTCAGATTTTACTTTATAAGTTTCAAATTATAATGCTAGAATGTCCAATTATTCAACTACAAACTCTAGAAAAACCAAGCTAATAATAGTTTGACAACTTAAACAGTGACCATAAACAAACATCGACTGGTGAACCAGACGGATAGATGAGATAGATGTGTCGCAATAATTCGGAGTTGTCGCACTACTGCATCATTTGAGTAATCATATTACATCACAATAGTATTTACCCAAATCAGCAACCACTAGTCTGTCAGAGTGACTGCTCTCTGGTATGAGAAGAACTGGAGAATCAGCTTCAATGTCAAGTAATATTCTTGCTTGCCTTCTTGATGCACTGCTTACTGCTTGACCTACTGATGCTGCTCGCATTCTACCAAGAACCTACGTGATATTAGAAGTGAATGAGACATATGAGAAAGGGGAAATTTACACTAGACTTAGATTACAAGTGGTTTAAAATTTGACTCCGGTACAGACTTCTGGTTGAGAAAAATTTTGACTCTGGATCCAATTAGAAAGAGCACAAACACATTTTCAAAGGCAGGGGTGAGCAACCTGCTGCCCACAAAAAAAAATTTGGCAGCCCGCAAAGAAGTGAACAACTCATGTCTTAAGATCAATACCCAAAATTTTTGTGCCTGCAACTACGATAAAGTCTATGTTTAAAGTCACCAAGGTATTAGTATCTGGCCCTCCTGTATTAAAGGTTGCACACCCCTGATATAAAACATGACTCCAGTCCAGACTTCTGATTAAAAAAAAATTCACTCTGAATCCAGGTAGAAAGAGCACAAACACATCTCCCAAACAATCACTGACAATAAACTATAAGTCGAAATAAACTGTGTCGTACCTCTTGTAACTGTTGGAAATGTAGAAGATAAGCGACAAGCTCTTGATGAAATCTGTGGGTGTGGACGTAACATATTGCTGACATCCGAATTTTAACTTGAATGTCAAATTCTCTTCGTAACTCAGCATCGTATTCATCATATCTGAAGAAAGAAAACTTTTAATTACTGTATATCCTCGTATTAAGGTCGACCCCCTGATAACAGCCCTAAATCGTAACACGCAGTACGCACCTATCACAGCTAATGGTTGCAGAAGAGAATTAATGAAATTGATACCCATTGTTTTACTTTTATTAATAACGGTAGGAAGTGTCTCAAAATCCTTCAAACTCATCCTCCCTACACTGTCAAGATATCTTTCCAGTCAAGAGTTATGCGTGTATAAGCCGATCCCTTAGTTTGACAACTTTTTTTAGTTTTAAACTCAAATTATATGCGAGGATGTAGGGGCAGGGGTGAGCAACTTCTCTAGTCGACGGGCCGGATGTGGGAAAATGAAGTCCTCGGTGGGCCGGATTATAACATGAATAGTATTCAATATCCTAATACCATATCTATTCGGTAATGCAAGAAAGAAAGTTATAAATCGCGTCTAAAGTAAAGTTTAAACTTTACAAAAAATAGAGACCAAAAAACACATAATGAATTTATCACAATGTACTAAAAGTGTAATAAAGTAATATCATAATGTACTGATGTACAGTCAAAAACTCGTCGCGGGCTGGACCCGGCCTGCGGGCTGTATGTTGCCAACCCCTGATATACGGTAACTCTTTTTTTCGAAATTAAATTAACAGTTGCTAGTTTATTAGTATAAATGCTCTAACCAAGATCATGAACATTCGATAACACTTTTATCTAATTTTGTGTTAGAACAACTGAAATCAGTCTGTAGATCCATCAAGAAATGGAAAGCAATCAAAATAACCAACTTTTTAATATCAAAATCCAAAGCTTTGTCACCAGCAAACACAAATCTTTCTCTATATTTGTTTCCATTCGGACTTAAATCCAAAACAGATAAACTGCCAAGTTGTCCAGCTACTCCAAGAACACCATCTGTGTGAAAAGTACAAAATTCAATAACACAAATAAAGAACTCCAGAAAGATGATTTTGAACAAATTTTTCCCAAAGCAGGGTCACACATACTATATAAAGAAAAGAGCACTCATCTTTAAGCAAAATTGTGAGAAAACCACTGAGATGCCTTGAGGGTCACAAGCCATAAAAGGTTGGGGACCACTGCTGTATTGCATCACTTGTCTCTTTATGCCTGATTGAAATAGGCTCTGTGTTTACTTTTAATCTGCAGCAGCAGTGTAGTGGCAGTCTCTGGGTCCATTCATTTATATCTAACCCTAACACAATACAGTTCTGGTTCAATCCTGATAAAGAATATGTTTTTCAAGCGAAAGCATGAAATACTTACTTTTAATTTGTATGTGTGTTCCAAAGTTCGATATATTCGCTTTCACAAACTCGTATTCTTCCTTGTTGAAGATAAGATTGAAACTGTGGACTTTAAAGTCAATCTCTGAGTTTATGAAATCGTCTGGCTGATTCTCGTAGTATGAGCTGAAAAGATGAAAAAAACTGTAGCACATATTTGTAAAATTTTCCTGTCAATCAATCTAATGGTCCTAGAAAGTTTCGAAAAAGGTTCATCAGTTGGTGCATCATTCTAATTGTAATTTGGTTGGCAGGTTCAAATTATGTTGAGGAATAATTAAATGAGAGATATTTACTGGGCTCCTCAGAATGATTCACATAACCGCTGGTTGATTACGGCTTCCTACACCATCAGGTCCTTGCATATGAAAACAAATAACTGGCTAACTAATCTCACACCAATACATCATATCGGCTTTCATCTTCTCTGGGATAAATATTAAAATTGTATCCTTTAATTACTTTACATGAATTGCCAGTTTTGAATTCTATGGATATAACTATCTGAAAGATGAATGCTAAATTTCTCACTATCACAGAGTAGTTGATTGGTTAAATATACTCCTGCCAAATGTAAATTGGTAACTGAATAAAGAGTCATTCTCCCTCACAGGATAAAGTCGTCTTATCAGTCTTCCTCTTCCCAGAATATTTAAATAGCCATTTATAGTTTATACAAAATCACATCCTTTGAATGATGTTCTCGGACAAAAAAATTCACTCAGATATTTAGTTGAGATATAGTAGTTAGTAATATGGTATTTGTATGTAGTATTTGCAGGTATTAATAAACTAGAAAAATTCATTACTGCATTTGAAATGCAACAAATGATAATTGAAAAATTAAGAAAATAAATGTTAACAAAAATTAAATTTTGAACAAACAAAGAGGACAAAACTAGCTATAATAACTTCTGAACTGAACACAGAACTTACCTAGAATGTATTTCTATTTTGAAGTTTATTGTAAAACTAAACATTGAAAGATATAAAATGATGATGTCGCAAACATTTAACAAAATTTCATGTCTTACCAAAGACCTAACAATGGTATAGATATATGGTATATTGATATATTATAATTATCCAGAGCTCGGGTCAAAATTTCCCCAACTCAGAGTCATTAATCGATTGTAAATTTTTTTGGACTACTGGTTGGTTATTCTATATAAAACTCTCCTTTTATGAGAATATGTTTCCCATGCACATCATATACAAGTATTCAGATCACATGTAAATTCGTGACCAGTGAAATGCTAGAAGCTGCACACCCAAAATTATGGACACCAAAAATTAACTTTCAACCAGACCCTGTTAAGATTGATCTACTTTAATATACGCAATTTTTAACTTTTAAAAACCCAGGCCAGAAGTTTTATTTCTGTAACCACCAATCTTACTAGTCTCAAGTTATGAGGATCTTTATACTAACTTTAAGATGAACAAATTTAACTTGCAAAACCGAGACTAAGAGATAAAGTTCTCACCTGACAGCTAGTCTTCTATCCCAGTTATATTCTTCCTCAGTTTGTCGATCTAATTCATATTGTTTTTTCGGTGCCGTACCGATGCCAAAGAAATCGAGAAGTACGACCCAGGTTTGGAGATTGATCTAAATAAAATTAGCATAACAGAAATATGTTGCTAAATCTTCACTGAGACTAAGTAAATTTAATGCTCTGAGAGAAGAGCTGGGGAATCAGAGAGACTCTGGTTTATTTACAAAAATTAATAATCCAGATTAGACAAAACATAACTCTGGGTTCATATTAAATTTGACTTGAACAAGAGCTCCCGGTTCTGTGAAAATTCAGTTTTGGCTTGGATGGAAAATCCAGTTTTGGCTTGGATGGAAAATCCAGTTTTGGCTTGGATGGAAAATTCATTTTTGGCTTGGATGGAAAATTCAGTTTTGGCTTGGATGGAAAATTAAGTTTTGGCTTGGATGGAGAATTAGGTTTTGGCTTGGATGTAAAATTAGGTTTTGGCTTGGATGGGACTGTTTTGAAGTTATAATATTCAACTCAGTTATTATTAGAATACAATAATACAGTGCTAATTCATTCATTCTTAATTTTGAGTTAATATAATTTGGTCTTCCATTACTACAACAATAAATACCAATTAAAGGTCATTGGAGCTAACTTGAAGGTCATCCAAAAACAGATATTTGTGGAGCAATGCCAAGTTGAAATCAAGCTTTTCATAACATTATTCCAACATATTTTAATTTGACCATTATCACATGTGAAACAAATACTATACAATTATAGGTACTCCCGTAGTGTATGTACCAGGATAGACCATAATTTTATTCCGATTTGCCTTATTATAGTTCTATTTGGAGTTCGGGGACTGTCTGTGTTAGTCAAGTGAATATACCCCCTGCCTATAGGTTTCAGTCCCTTTACACAACATGATGTGAAATAGGCGAATAAAATTAATTACCTCCATATTGGTACACACACTTGTATACCACATGCATTATCGAATGCAGCAACCATTCCACAATACACAGAAAAACAAAGCAGAAACCAAAAAAGAACTTTAAAATTATTAAAATAACGGCGGTCCAAAAGTGTGTGTACCAATATGAAGGTAACTAATTTTGTTCATCAATTTTACATCAAGTTGTGTACTGTTGTGTCAAGGCACTTGGCTAACACAGACAGTCCCCGAACTCTTAATAGAACTAAAATATTCTCAGTTCAACTGCAAAGCTCAAAAAAATAGGAACAAATTTATGGCCTAACCCTAACCTGGTACACACACTACAGGAGTACCCAAATTATTAAAATAACAGCATATATCCCTTGTCTTACCTTACAATCCAATGAATTGAAATCAATATCAATTCTTCGGTTCGTTTGAGCATAAATATCATCATATGCCAGAGATTTCCCGTCAACAAGAAACGCTCGGATCCGAACCAAAGTTTCATCTTGAATTGTGCTCTGAATTGAATTCAATGATTCGATAAAGTACATTTGACTAAGTATGTTCATTCATACCTTCACTCTAAGTAAGGCACTGTGCAAGCACTTAATGTCGCATAAAGACTGAACAATGATAAGCTACAAAACGCCACCTATTACCTAAATCACTGTTTCTTAAACTGTGCTCCACGGAACACTGATGTTTCATGAGTTTATTCGGAGCGTTCCGTGAACAGGGCTCAAAATTAGGACTAAATTGGTCGACATGGCGATCTGGGCCGTACACTGCAACTTTGGACAGAAAATTTGTCTCTCGACTGGCGACAAACAGGCGAGCCTTTCTATCTACAGGCGGATATACCTTGTGCCAAGCTGGAGAGCATTGTAGATTTCGTGAACCGTTCAATGTCGTTAACTGTAGGTATTTGTCAAATGCATAGCAAACTTTTTAATTTTACCTTGGGCTAAATTTTTTGGAAACAACCCATCAGTTTTACATTCCAATTTCTTGGTGTTCCACGAGACGAGATGAACAGCATTTGTGTTCCGGGGCTAAAAAAGTTTGAGAAACGTTGATCTAAGTAATTACTTTACCTGTTTCATGGTAGGAGAGGAGGGAGGAGTCCATGGCTCTTCTCCATTCTTCAAGCCACCACTTTCATTCGATACAGTTCGTGATCTATGACTCTGATGATCATGGGTTGCTTGAGAAGTTCCAAATGGCCCTGAAAAAATTGGACATTAAATTTAGTAAAAATATTTATATTACCAAATATAAAGTATATTTTCATTTAAACTGATTCTAGTTAGCCCTTCATCACTAGACTCATTGACTGGTAACCAACTGATACTGGGGTTCCACAGGGCTCAGTTCTTAGGCCGATACTTTTTTGATATTAGTCACTTGCCAGATATACCCGATCGTTTATGTATTTCAGTCAATATTGTGGTATTCCATGTACGTAGTCTAAAGGCTGTCTGTCGCCATATGTTAAAGCTCTTTTATCGGCTTCCTTTTTTCAAGGTAAATATTGATCCAAAATTCTATCCAAAATAAACAGTACCTGATGCAAGGTTGAATGAATCAAATGGTCGAAACATCCCTGGCCTGTTTGTTTGAGCATTTTCTCTTAATTTTGTGGCATTTGACTGTCTTTGAATGTTGTCTGTAGGTAATGAACTCGACATAAAACCAGGCCCAGCAGGAGAAGAACTCATAAAAGGAGGACATGAGGTAGAAAGGTACTCTTCTCTTGAACGTGATGAGTATGGTTGAGTTGAGTGTGAACTAGAAGAGACAATGTATCTGAAATATATAAATAGTTGAAATGTCAGAAATTGTTAGTTAGGCGGTATAGGTCAGGCAAACTAGAACCATTTAAATTTTTTACTGTACCGTACTCCACTATAGAACGAGCATCGCTACAAATTCGAAATCGATGAGTCACCTTTCGTATGGTGTAAGAAATTAAGGCTACACCAAACTGAAAGATTTCAGTCTTTCCAAAATATAATAGCTTCCCTATATAACTGACATGGGAAAACTACGACTCGCTGCCACAAACAAACTAAAACCAAAATTGATGTTTAACCAAAAAAATAGCTCAAGGAATTTTTTGAGATTGCGATTAAATTTAGTTTTGGGGCTTATTGTTTTCCCCATTTTTTCTTTTGTGACACCGTAAATATTTTTATAAAATGTAATTTTTATGTCACCCTGCCCGCCAGTCTAGGTGGGCAAAATTGTTGGCCCCTGGTCCAAAAACCTTGGCCACCTTTGCTATAGAACAAGCAACTCCTTCAAACCTGTGAGGAGAATTCTCTTCTCTCAATAAATCTTCAATCTCTAGAGATCCGAGTGTTAAATCAAGATAAGTTGAAGACCGATTCTCTTTCTCAAATTTTGCTGAAAATCCTTCCAAGGTCACTTTTACGACTCCCTGGAATGAAAATAGTTTTTACAAAGGTCAGGCATTTCAAATGAACACTTTAAGATTGTACGCCTTCATTTATGAGTATACAAATTTCTTGCAGACATGCAAGTTGAATGTGGATCATCAACTGGTGTTGCATATGTGTCAGTGTATGCCAGTTGGCATGAGACTCAAGTACTTCAAGTCAAGGGAACAGAAGTTCATCTAAGACTTTATCATAATGATTTCAATGTAAACAGTGGGAGACTGCAAAGGTAGGATGAAAATAAGTTATAATCTAGTGAATCAAAAAACTTTCAGGAAACAAGGGCAGAATGCTCCAAATGAACAGGGCAATGTCAAATCGACTATTGTCACTCAGAAAACAAGAATTATAAGAATATGTGGGACAATATCTTAACTAACAACTATGTCCCAATACATAAAGTGAGAGCAAGCTAACTCAAAATCAGTCAAGCATAAAACAATGACAATGCATATAAAGAAACAGGTAGTAATGCCAGAAATCGCCAATACCTAGAACAGTGATTCTCAAATGGTGGGGAGTGCCCCACAAGGGGGGACGTATACAATTTTTTGAGGAGGCGTGAAGCTAATTAAAATATGTGATAGACTTCATCTTGCTCGGCTCATTTGTTTTTACAACTTTTTATTTATTTCCTTATTTACGTTCCATTCACATATTTTCAACATGTTTTTTTGAATAAAACATACTTTCGCTTATTATCTGTTATTTGTAGCTTATTGTTAGCTACCGGCTGTTATTTTTGAAATAAGGCAAGAGGGGATGTGGCTTAAAAATCTTGAGAACCACTGAACTAGAAACAAGCATCTGTCATTCAAAAACCCTGACTGAACTCATTCTTTTACCTCAAACTAATCTCATACCTGTTCTCCTTCACTTAAATCTTCATTCAGTTGAATAGCGATCTCGGGGATATTAATATCAGCATACAGAGGTGTGTATTTCCTTGTGGTGATTGGAGTTGTTTCGGTGCTTGTCTAAAACGAATGAAAAATTAGAGAGAACAAAATGATAAAGTGATATACAAAAATGGTTGTAACAATAGTGACTTATTTTTATGTATGACAAGAATTTTGAATCTGATTTTTTTTCTACTAAAACTCAGGTAGGTAAAAATGTAATTTTTTTGTAGATGTATGTAAGTGACGACGCTGTGTTATAGACTTAAATATCGAGGCATTGCATGTTAAAATCTCTGGTGTGAATTCCCATGCTCACTACCTAACGCAGGGTGTAAGGAATTGGGTTGGCAAAGTCCCTCCTAACAGAAGTAGCTCCCTACATAGTGATGACAAGTTGTATAAAGGTGGTGGGCTTGAGATCTGAACCAGAGATGTGTAAACTGTGAAACTAACAAGGTTAAATCTAACAATTTAACTGCAAGGGCACTGGTTCTCAACCAGTGGGCCATGGCCAACTGTTAGGCCACAGACCTATTAAGAATGACTTATCGATAAATTAGTTAAATTTGATTCTATTAGAAATGAATGATAATGCTGTTTTTTACTACTAAATGGTCTTTTTTTATTACTTATCGATCTTTAAATCGGTAAGTATGTTGATATTGAGGTATTTGTCTGTTTGTTTGTTTGTCTGTTAGATGCACGCGATATCTCACGAAAGCGAGGTTGAATCTGCTCCAAATTTTGCATGTGCATTCATCATAGCTCTGATCAGGAGCCTATTGCTTTTCGATGAATTATGTCGTATAATTAGCGAGTTATTAATGGGACACATGGTGTCACTATGAAGTAAGAGCGCTGTTTTGGGGGATCCTCTAACCTCCGATCGATAAGTCTTCGGTCTCCGAACAATATTCTCGTTTTAATTAATGAAGTGGAAGTGCCTATATTTGCGAAAAGAATTTTTTGTTTTTCTCATAGCTTTTCCCTTGCATGAGAAAGTTAACAGGTCACAGAATTTTTTGTGCAACAAAACTCGACCATGAAAGAAAAAAGGTTGAGAACCACTGCGCAAGGGCATCAGGTCTACATTAAAACATGACCTTCTCCAAAACCTACCTTGCTAACTCCAGGTGTGATCTCTAGTCCAGGAGCAGAAAATAACTTAAATTCTCTGCTGTGAGATGGAGTAGACTGCTGAGATGTTACTGAAATGAACAAAAATATTGAAATAGGTTGGATGGAATTCAGATTTCGGATTATTTGAATAAAATGAGCACGACTGGATATAACATAATCCAACAGCATGTTTTTCTGAAAGTTAGGATTATGATCTAATGAAAGCTTTCATGTATACTTGCTATTTCATGTTATTCTTATTTATCACTTTGATACAATCTCGTTCAACAACAGTGCCATCGTGGCTGCCAAAAAATTATTATTCATTCAAGCCTGAGATGGCATTGGAAGTTGAATACTGTAACATTTTTGAATGGCTTGAAATTTAAGGTCTGGGCCAGGTGTAAAATTTTCCAAGCTGTGCATGACTTAGAGCAGCTCTAATGCCATAAGTCATTAATACGCCTTTTCGTCCAAGTCAGTTTGGGGAATATAAATAAACAGTTCATTTTCAGCAGATGTAAAGAGACTTCAGCAATCCTCTTGCAAAAATTTATACTAACAATATTTAGTGTCCAATTTCTTGATATAATCTTACTGATTTCTTTCCGAAACTAACAATTTGTAGGGGCTACTATACCTGGAGGTACCGGGATCTTCTCGGTTTGACATCGCCCATTGCACACCCAGTTCATTGTTACCTGGGCAAGGTGTTGGACGTGGGAACCCGAGATGTGTAGCACTTTGACTCTTTTGTTCTGATAGCCCAATATATCTCAAAAAGTTTTGAAATTCTATTTTATCCATGACATGGGATGAGTATGAAACGCGCCACGTATCTCTAGAGACAATTATCGGAAAGAGGCCAAAACAAGCTCTCAAATGATAGCTGAGTGAAGTTTCCAGAACGTTTGAACGACGAAAAATGACATTTTTGTGGCGGGTGTCAAATGTTGCTCAGGACCACTGGAAAAGAAGGATTAACCACTGGGCAATAACTCCTACAAATTCTCAGTTGCCTTTTGCCATTTCCGCTATCATAAAAAAAACCTTTCCTACTAAATCCAATAACCCCACTTACCACTATCCAACAGAGATCTTCCATGTTCTGAGATATCACCACTATTCATAGATATATTGATAGAATCATTGTTTGTCATCATGGAACCTTCCAATTCATCAATTCCATCAACATCAATGTTCCCTCCAAAACTGATGTGATCTAAAGTCTTCAGTACCTGAACAAATATTGCATAATTCGAATGACACTTACTTGACTAGCATGATCTTTAGGATAGCGAATATGAGAAGGAAAAAGTTCAAAATATAAATAAGTTTTTGAATACTGTTTTTAAGAACTTAAATATTCAGTCACTTTACAGTTCCACCTACATGCCTAACATATCAATTTTGCTTTCTCTGAGTGGGTTAAGCTGTTCAAGAGGATGTGGTCTGCCATGTGATGAGTCTGTTTAAAAACCCAATTATTTCATCTATATCAGACAGGCATGAGCCATAGTTAATACAAATTCTATAAAAAAAAAAGAAAAATTTGAAGAATCTTTTATAACATCTAATTTTCCTCCGAACAATAGTTTTCAAGATTGCAAGGCTTTCAATTTTTGAGCTTGACAAGTCACAGATTCTAGGTAACAGGACTCAGCCAAAGCCGAGCCAGTCACAAAAGATATGATTTCACAAGCAAGCTATGCCAAACTAGTAAGATTGTGACCTAAAGTATGCCCCCACCTAAGGGACGGATGCCTATCTCAGCAGTTCTCAAACTGTTGGTGTTATGGAGCCTGTGAAGAGATTGACTAGTATTCACAAAGCCCCTCAATAAATTTATAAAAATAAAAATGAATTGGAAAAAATCTATTGGAACCTACAGATCATGTAATATTTGAATTACCACTTGGTTGACACATTTCGGTACTACGGTTGTCAAATTTCATTAGTGCTGTTATTGCCTACAGTTATAAAATTAGCCATGTCAGTATTTTAATAGGTAATTGAATAGCTCGCGGAGCCCCTAGGTTTCTCTCAGAGAGTCCTGCGGCTCCATACAGAGCGTTTTGAGAACCTATGGCCTATCTGATCACTTATTTAGACTGATTCATGCAAAAAAGCCTCATGACAACAGTACAGTTAAATCTCACCTGCTCATAGACTGGTTTAGACAGGGAGAGAGCCAGAGGTAAAGTCATTCTTGCTGTGACACACATCTTCTTGTCTGATATTGGACCGTCATTCACTTCATCACTCAGTAGAATTCTGGGAATATTTAAGAGAATAACGAATTGAAATTCAAAGGAGCAAGATAGCATAGTGGTTAGTCTTGTTGTCTTTGTAGGTCTAGCACATGGTGGGCAAGACTTTTGAAGCCAGGGATAGAAAATTTGCCCATCTAGACTGGCAGGCCATGTAAGTGTGACGTGAAAGTTACATTTTATGAACAAAATTTACAGTGTTCCTTGAGTTATTAATCGCTAAAACTCAAAATTTGGTTTTAGTTTGCATTTTGCAGCATCAGGGTTGTGGTTCCTTGGTTGTGAACTCAAACTTGTTTCATGAAACAACAAAAATTTTAAATCTTGTTTCAAACACTATTTGCGGCGCTCCAGAATTGTGTGTACCAATATGAAGGTAACTACCGGTAATTTTGTTCGCCTACTTTACATCAAGTCGTGTAAAGGGACTGAAACCTATGAGCAGGGGTAATTCACTTTGCTAACACATACAGTCCCCGAACTTGTAATAGAACTAAAATAAGGGAAAATTAGAATAAAATTATGGCCTAACCCTAACCTGGTACACATACTACCAATTTATTTATAGATCCTGGCATAAAAGTGGTTGCAACTCTTCTCCTATTCTTTCAATTTTTGTTTTCAAGGCTAGAGAGCGAACTCACATAAATGATCTATCTCTAACTCACCCATCATCTCCTTTCTTAGGAAATCTCTGATCCAACTTCTTTCTTGGTGAAGGAATGAAAGGTTTCTTTACAACTGTGAGTCGAATACTTGTGTCGTGTAAGATTTGAATTTCACTGAAATTCTTGTTCTTCAGGCTTAAAAAAATGTTTCAAAGTTAATATTCTAATTAGAAACTTAGTTGAGAACAATGAATACACGACCCTCAGTAAAGTACTGTTTTAAGTACCTCAAGGAAAGACTACTAAAGTATACGAACATACATACAGTGGCGCAACCAGCGGGGGGGGGTTACGGGGGTCGTGTCCCCCCCGTTTGAATTTCGTTTTTTTTATTATTGTTCTATGTTAACACAACGTCGTTCCACGGTCATAACAATCCGGTGAAAACTACTTTTTTCCAGTGCTTTATCACCTCGACGTAATTTAACACCGCCCGACTTCAATCATACCTTTTTGCTGATAACTACGTAATAATCGCTAACCCCGCGTATATGTTTGTATTCGAAAATGAGATATGTTATCTCAAAAAAGTAGAAATCGCGCGCTGTCGATGCGAATTGAAAAGCGACAATAGCATAATGCTATCTTCTCTCTCTCTTGTGACGAATACTCTCGTGCTTCATCATCTTGACGCAATGTACGCCGCCCGTCTTCATGTTATAATAATGCAGTAGAAACTCTGAAAATCTGGATACGAAAATTATTTTCGGAAAAATATTGCTTCGAATAACCTAAGATTTTCTACATATGAAAGGCTGAAAACGCCGTAAACATCCTACCGCCCCCGTCCACGTTCTGATTTAAAACATTCCACAATTATTTCATTTTTTATCGCAATCGAAAGCAGCCATGTGTGGCACGGCAATAACTAACAGTCGTCGTGAGAGGTTTTCAATAAACTCTGACTTGAAGTGCTTATAAGACGTCGAGGACGTTTTTGGTTGAAAATTTTTTACATTTGTTATCGTATATTTCAATTTAGTCAAATTTTTTAATTTCTTACAATCTATAAAATAGCTTTCTAAATAATTATTTGGTTTCTATCGGAGATTTTATCGTTATCCCGAGTCCTGACGTCGTTGATAACAATATTGTTCATTTTAAGTTGGAGGTATTGGTTTATAATCAAAAAATTATAACACATAACATGAAAATTTAAATCAACGCTGACTCAAAAAGTAAAACACGTTTTTTCCATCTTCATTCTCCATTATTGGCGGACGGAAATTTGGGAATCGGGTTTAACTAATTTGATTATGATGACGATGGTAAACAAAAGTACACAAACATACCATACCGTTCTTAGTCGTTATTTCTCTGTCCTTTCTTCTTTCTATGTGCATATTAAGACCATAAAACGTGTTTTATTATTGAATTCTGCGCTGATTTGAATATTTCATGTCGGCTGTTATGTATTTTTGTTTGTAAATGAATACCGCTAACTTTAACTGAACTGATGTTGTTATCAATGCCGGATGCCGACGAAATCCGCGATAGATATTAAATACTATTTAAGAGCTATTTTATACGCGCTAAATTAGAAGAAATGAAAAAATTTCCTGTTATGTTCGGTCACTATCGAAACTGAGGATGAAAACAACTAATTAAGACACAATTTGCCGAGGACGCCTAAACCATCTCGACTAAGTTAAAATACCCGATAAGAAAATATTTTCAATCAAAAACGTCCTCGAAGTCTTATAAGTTCTTCAAGTCGGCGTTTATCGAAATTCTTTCATGTCAGCTGTAATATATTGCCGAACCACACATGGACGACGACGCCTAGGATATGTGCGCCATATTTGGGATTATTATAAACACGAAAAAACAGTATTTGAAGTTTGCGATATTTGAATTTAAATTCGATTTGGACATCCCTGCATTAAATTAGTCAGTTTTTAGTTGTGTTTCCAAAAATTAGTTGTAAATCAATTATTTTAATTGTCATTATGTCTTCCGGTGAGCTTCAGTTTAGTTTAGAATTTTTCCGGGGTTAGGGTCGGGTAAAGGTCCATTCGCAAGAAGTGCATTTTGTTTTTAGTCTTGACGAATTCACCTAACGAGCAAGGCGCGGCACGAGGGAAACACTGGAATTTATTCAAGCCGTGTTTCACTATCCACGAGGCGCAAAGCGAGGAAAACGTTGAAAATAATTAACAGCTTTTCGTTAGCAATTCGCTGGAATGTAATGAAGGGCGTTTTGCTACCCACGAGGTGCAAGACATAGCGAAGCGCCGTTAATGAACGAGTGCAAGGTAAGCGAAAGGCTGGGATTTAATTGATGGCGTTTCCCTTTTAACCATGAGCAATTTATCGTGTTTTAGCGGGGCGACACCTAGTGGCGTTGCGACTTACGTCGTGGTTGCACTGTGTAAATTCCGGTCGGACCCCCCCGTTGAAAACGGCCTGGTTGCGCCACTGCATACATAGGTACAGAATATAACAGACAGATATCTTAAATATTACATTGTAGCAAGTGTCAGTGTTTGGGGTGACTGCCAATGAAATGTTCCTTCAGGGAAAGAGCTGGAACACTTTATGGAAAGCCGAACGACCTGATAGAATTCTTCAGTTTAGCCGTTGAAGGTCCACCGAACTCTCATGTTACCGTATTTCCCGAACCATTAAGCGCAGAGTGATATAAGGCGCACTGTCAATAATTTCATAAATTTGGTTTTCATCGATACATAAGGCACACCAGACTAGAGTGGTACCGGTTATGTGTATGGGCAATAAAGCATAAAGCACTACCTTATCCACACAATAGGCGTGCTTGCTTATCAGACGAACAATCGATTTTTGAGAAATTTAAAGTGTGCCTTATGCTCCGTAAAATATGTTATCTGATATATCTCCAATCAAAGATAAAAGCAGAAGCTATTCAGAATAGAAGTAAGAAAATACCGTATAATAAAATGTTACCCAACCTGTTCGAGTCCTTTAATTTAGCCAACGATGGTCCACTGTAGCTTTTCTTAATGTTAAACTTCTTATGTATTCCTGGAGATCTCTTGGCTTTTAATTCTTCTTCTACCTGTCTTTTGCTACTTACATTCATGTCTGTTATTTCAATAAGCATGAAATCAAATGCGTCTTCTTCTGGTCGATACCTGAGTAGAGAACAAAGAATAAAATCTTCAAGTAGGGAGGGATTTTTAAACAAGGTATTTATACTCCTTTCCACTCAGAACAAGGCTCTGTAGGAGCAGACACTAAGAAGTTTGAACAGACCAGAATCTTTCAAATTCATCATGGGAAATGACCAGATAGTTTTACTTAAGATAGCAACATAACTTAGTTCAGGGTGGTTCAATGTTGTTGGTTCCAAGGCCCACAAAAATATTTTTGCATTGTTCGCGGGCCACAATAGTGCCAAGAATAGGTAAACAGTGCAATACAAAACAAACACTTTTATTGTGCAAACACATTGATCAGTATTTGTCATTTATCAAGCTTAAAACATGAAAAAACCATTAAAAAAACTTATTAGAACCTGCAAACGTTTTTCTGTATCTACATTTTTGAGCTGGACTGGAATTGGTGAGAGGCCGTCGCTCACCATAGGATTACCTTACTTATTTTACGGACCAAAATCGATCAGGCGTTTAAAGAAGTATGGTGGTGGACATGGGATTTGTTAACAATCTATGAGGTTTTTCTCAACAAGTTTGTAATATGGACATAATGAATTATTATAGCAATAATGAAGAACTGAAGAATATTAGAAAAACTACAGAAAATACAAAGCATAATTCCTCCCCAACAATGACAAAATTTCTCCTTGGGAAATATTTCCTAATTGGGAAACATTGTTCTAAAACAGTGGTTCCCAAATCACGACTCGCGTAACTGTTTTAATATGGCCCGCCAAACTTAAATGAAATAGTTTAACACTCTATGTCAGGGGTGGGTACACCGTGGCTCGCGAGCCGCATGCGGCTCGCCAGACTTTTTGTGCGGCTCTTCTTGCTAACATAAATTATTATCCAAATTTTAACTAACTTTTTACTAAAAACTTTAATATAAACTTTTTTAATTTATTAAAAGTCGTAAAGAAGTTTTCGTCAATGTCAATGATTAGGACAAATTATGTTTTAGTATGAAAATCGCTGTAACGTTGAATTTTGAATTTAAGTCAGTCAAGTCAGCAAATCTTTCGTTACAATGGTCAATGTTTATTGATGCAAGGACGGTATTGCAGCTTGATCGCGGTTAGTTAGTCTATCTAACTTACTGTGCGATATGTCCTCAATTGAAAAACAAAAGTACGAAGATGAAAATAGAGTTGTCAAGTCAGAATGGGAAGAAGAATACGCATTTACCAGTCAGGAGAATAAACTTTTGTGCTTAATCTGTCATAAGCTACTAAGTCAGAATAAAGTCAGCAATGTTAAACGGCACCATGAAACGAATCATGAAAACCTCTTACGAGGCTACCCTCGTAAATCAGCTATAAGGAGCACAAATTAAATGAGTGTGAGTTTCTTTTCTGTTCATGGTATTTCGATAATATTAATAAATTCACAAATTCTGCGGCTCTTTTAAAGTTCTGACTTGCAGCATGCGGCTCTTATACTAAAAAATTGTGCCCACCCCTGCTCTATGTTTTACTATTTTACAGTCTAGATCTAGATACAGCCAATTGTTACGTCATCATCAAAGTTTAAGCATGTGTATATTTGTCACAATTAAATCGTACCAGTATTTCAATTATAGGTACTGGCGCCGGTATCGGACTGTTGCGGGCACTCTCCTCACCCGGCGCGCGAATATCTTTCTGCTTCTAATTTTGGCCTCTGTTCAATCAACTTTAGGAACCACTGTTCTAAAACACTACGTGTCATTCTCTTGGAATTAATATAGTTACCTTTCTAAAGCATGTCCATTCCTCATAGTGATCGTACCAAGGTTCCCAACGAGAAGTTCAAAACTTCCGAGAGATTTTGGCAAAGCAACAATTGGTGATTGCATCACTACTTTCAATTTAAAGAGAGATGGAAGAGAACCTGAAACAAAATTTAAATTTGAATGTTAGTGCTTTTATTTGTTGGCGCCATGGGCTAGCTGTTAAAGCATTATACTTGAACGTGTTGGCATCGCAGGTTATATATATTAGGTTCGAATAATGCCGAACCGAAAAAGTTATATTTTTAACATGATAGCTCGATATACACCAGTGGTTGCTTGAATTAGGCCTTAGCGAATGACATGGAATTGAAGTACAATATCAGGTTCTCCTAACCCCATGCTGGCTAAGTCAAGTCTCACAATACAGACTACTTAATCAGAATTCAGATATATTAAAAAATTAGCGACAACCAGAGCGCTGCGGAAAGGTGGCTTTCACTTAGTCTTCCAGTAATAAAAGCACTGGGAAAAACGACAAAGGATTCACCAAAGCGACAAGGTCAACAAAATTTATTAATTTAAACAAATATTTTAACCATGTGAACACCTTTTTAAACATAAACTGTCGGATTAGAATTTTATGTTAGATGGGGAAAAGTCTGAGTGTTGACTACACTAAATGACTCGACAAGTTGAGTTATCATTGCAATTGCCTGTACCACACCCCTGTCATAAATTATAGGTACCGGTAAATGAAAACCATACACTACTGCTACTACCTGATGATAGTTTTGTTTTTGAGTGAGTTCTGTCCACATCATCAGGTAATTGAACAACACTCTTTCCCAGCACTGCGATACTTTTATCCATTATACTGAACGCCATCTCTTTATAGGCCTGGTTGTAAGGAAATAATCATTTTTAAGTGAAAGAAAAATTGAAGAAATAACTTGAATATAACTTATACTCAATAAAAATGAGAGTAAATATAAACTCTCTAAATGTTCTTGACTTGCACCCTTGCTTTGTCGAATATATTATCGAAAATCAATTGTCCTAGTGTTGCATCATCATTCATTGCTACTACCATCAATTTTACCTCAATTTATCAACAACTCTAGCAATTTTAAACTGGTCTGTGGCCAACCTGAAAACGTTCCTGTGGACCGGCCATCAGCCATGGCCCCACTGGTTGAGAACCGGGAAGATCTAGAATTTAAAGTAACAAAAACCAACCTGTTTTGTGTCCACTGTCATCTTAGCATTGATGACGTCGCCTGCTTCGTCAGTCAAAGCCAGTATTTCAGCAACAAACCTTGGTGAATGCATGTACAATACGGATGCCAGATGTAGGTTGAGAATTGTTTCTTCCTGGTAATCTAGAAAGAAATGAAAATCTTTTTTCAATAAGTATTTTTGTGTGGGGGAATGTTAACAAAAATCGCCAAAGAGGGCCAGTTGCCAGAATATCAATTCAAAGTGATAAAAGTCTAAAACTGTGTTGTTTTTGTCCCTAACAAGGCTCTACAAAGACATATATTTATCAAGCCCAAGATCGCTTGAAGACAAGAAGGATGACCAGGATGGCTGGTGAGAAATTTGGCTTAATTTGATTTCAAAGTTGTTGCCGGAATTTGTATCGTGTGTGTTTATTTTGTTGTGTGCTTTGATTGTTTAGGTTGATGGGCGCGTACTCGTACAGTTTTAAATTATTCTTGAGTTATGCCTGTCCTCCTCTGTATTTTGTTTGTCCGTTTAGTGTTGTTTATGTCAGAGTGACCAAAATAAAATTGATTGATCGAATAAAAATAATATTCTTATGTTGGAAGTTAATAACAGAAAGACTGTAAATACAACATCTAAAATATTGATGTATCAATGTGCTATTTGCCACGACTATGAAAAAAAAATTATCTAAATACCTGTTGTTCCAAACTCATCAGAATCCATTGAAAACACCAACTCTTCATCGTTTCTTGAAGGTTTCGTTTGATTCCGATTTTCCAATTTTCTTTTCCCTTTTTGCATAGTGAATGAAAATGCTTCAAGCTTATTCTCATTGTTCAAAGATTTTTCAATGTCGACACTAGGTGGTGTTGCATGGCTAGTTACTGAGGACATGTTAGAGACAGAGCTGTCATTCAAATCTTCTGGGAGATCCCCGAGACATAAAACTTGCATCGCGCGTAGAATTCCACTCTCGTCTTTGACAGCGTTTGTTAAATCTTGTAACGCTAATCCACCAACCGAGCCATGAACGTCCATTAACGTATCAAATTGTTTGTTTACGTAACTGAGTTTATCACCGAGAGATGCGAGTACTTTCGTATTATGCATTGATAAGGTTGCGACTTTACGACCTATGACTTTATCTCCTTCAATGTGTCGCATGAGAAGAATATTCAATTTACGAAATTCAATGACCACATCAGTGTCCACACCGACATTAGAGTCCTCTCCACTAGTGGATGCTACAGTTTCGCCTTGGTGCTGATGTGCTTGAAAATTGTCACTGGATTGTGCAGTATCCGCATGTTCAAAGACAGAATTGTTGAACGGAATCGGTTTCGCATCAATGGTTTCACTTTCTGAAGGTTTCAACCAATGCAGGAAATCTAAAACTGCAACCCAACTTTTCAAGTTTAACACCAAATCTAGATTATTGAACTGAATATTTGCATTATTTCGAGTTTTGACTGATTTTCCACGATTTTTGTCGACCAACTGTTCAACCTTCCATTCCATGGTTATAAGATCTTCTTCCGCTTCAAGTCCTGGTAGATAATTATCACTGTTGCCAGAATTATTATTCGGATAGATATCTTGCTCACCACTGAAGTTGAATATGTTCGCCTGTTCAATGAAAAACACATAATTTTCTGGCAACAGTAGATTCAGGGCCCACTATATCCTATAAATTATGCCATAGGTGCCAATTTATTACGAGAAATGCTTCCAGGGATATCGTAAACAAACAGATACTCACAGAATATATTCAAAATTATTTATATTCGATTGAATTTTGCTAGATAGTTTTTAATCTTTTATTCTCAAGATTTTAATTTACTAACATCTGACAACTTAACAAAAATTCATCACATTAAAGCACTTGCTATATGTACGGTAAATCCTATCCTAGTAGTAAGAGGAGAGTAACTCAACATCACAAGACCACATTGAATTTAAACTTCAGGACAACAACACAGAGAGAAGAGACTCTTTAATATTATTCAACGGTTCCATTACATTTGAACTCACGTACATTTGAACCCATGACAATTGCACCTGTATGCTATTGCACCTATGGAATTTTTTTTGTTTCACGGATAGTTAAACCCATACTAACCCTAACCCATGGGTTTTAGCACCCGCATATAGATTGAACCCGTGGATATACGCATGGGTTCAAATGTACATGGGTTCAAATGTACGGTCACCTTATTCAACATATAAATTCATTCTCGCCTGTTTTAGACTGGAAGCCACAGATGACAACATATTCTTAGTTGAAGAAATTGTCTTTATATCAGAATGTTGATTAGAAATTGGAGGACCTGAGAAAAATATAAAATTTTTTAGCAATTAGACTGATTTAAAATGATAAATTTATCTTGCATAATTGCATCGAAAAAGTCTCAAATAAAGATAACATGGCCAGGGACATATTTTTAAACCTGCCGGGCTTTGGAGATTCGTAGTCGGAGACAAAATTGGAATTCAATGGGGCCGAGAATTGGAATTTAAAACATTTAATAATTAGTATAATTTGAATTCTGCACAAATTAGAAAATTTGAGTTGGATTATTCTAACAGCCTATTAAAGAAGGTTTACATATCAACGAATTAGAGTCCAATTACCTCGTCAACTTGTCTTGAAATAGTATAATGACCTACCATTAAAATCAGGGGATGTTGTTCCTGAGTCCAGTATATTTCCACTCCCTAAATCCATCTTCACACTGCGATGTGATGCAAGAAGCAACTCATAATCATGTCCAATGTCTTGCTTTGTATCAATGAGTAACAGGCTGTATATATATTGAGAAATTACCTTCACTTGCAGTAAAAAGGACAGATGTATCATATGATATAATGCCAGTACATCTCTTCTTCAGATCTAGGACATACCATATTTCCCTGCGAATAAGTTGCTTTATCTAAACCCAAATTTTTGGCCTGATTTTGGGGAGGTCGTCTTATTAGGCGAGTATGATAATTTTCATTTTTTTGGTGTCGCCTTATTATGTATTAGGTAATGTTCTTTTATGGTGGACGCAATCGCGAGTTGCACACAATAAGATTAAAATTTAAAGACAGTTTGAATTCCCGCAGTTATTATGGATTGAATATTAGCTACAAGAAAAATTCATTATAGGCCAATGCGCAAACATGGCGACATATCAAAGGAATTGCATAATAATTTGAGATTCCGATGTTGTGCGATTTTACTACCCCGACTCATTGGCAAGTTATATGCAAAAACCCATTTTCTCAGGGTTAAAAACGGGCCTCGTCTTATTTACCGGGTAGACTTATTCGCAGGAAATATGGTAGTTATAATTGTTTTGAATACAAATTTTCAGATTTGTCTAATTTATATCCTTTCCCAACTAGGGTGCAATGATTTAAAAAGATTCTAATCAGTTCAGGTATCATTGGATGCTTGTCTAGTGCTTAGTTTAGAGTGAAGATGGGAAAACCAAAGTTTATGAGCATATTTAGATTACCGAGAAAGGACCAACTGGCAGGTAGAGTGGACTCAAAGATAAGTTGAATAAGTTTTTTTTGAAAAAATCAGTGAAATACGACTTTCCATATAGATGAACTGAAATTTGCTAGCTTGTTACAGCAATAGCTCGAAAAAGGAAAGTAAAAGTTTAAGGACTTGCACCATGCACTGATGAAATGCCTCATAAAGCTTCAGTATCGAAGCAAGGGTGATTTCACAAAGTTCACATGAATTTAAAATACCAACCTATGTATTGAGAACCCAGTCTCATGATCGTAAGGTCTTTTTGTGAATTCAGCTTGGATTCTTCGAACCTCAAGAACAGAGAGAATGGATGTCGGGCTTTCTTCCAATAAAACTGAAATCTGAAAATTCATAAAGCATTTCAAAATCGGATAATGAAGTTTTCCAATTCTTGCAATTTTGACTATTTTCTGTCGCAAGAATTAAACTATATAAACCTATTAGCACAGAGTAAGCCAAGGTTACCTGTGTCTGGGCCACAATATTATTTTTGTACTGTTTGCGGAACACATTATTGCTAAAAAAATTGCAATTTAACAAAAAAAACTTTTATTGATAATGTAGATGATGTGGAGCAAGTCTGATCTTACTATGAATGCTCTCAAACTGGATGCTCTCAAAATTCCTGATTTCCCCATTTAATAGCGATCTCAGTTTTGATATTGTAATTTTTTGTTTTGTTGATTTCTCACAACACCGCCTGTTCATTCCATTTCACTGTTATTGTCTCACGCCTCACTGATTTTGTAACTGCTTGCTCATGCTTCTGAGGATTACAGCATGATTGCTGTACGAGCTGATATATCTGTTCTGATCGTGTAATATTTAGTTGTATTGAGATTGCAATCGGCAACCTGCGACTCCACAGAGCCGCATACCATTTTTTGTTAGAACAATGAAAGTCGGCCATAAAGTCGATTACTACTCACTAACTACACATCACAGCTGGTACAAGTCAAATAGGTCGCATTGAGATGATTAAAATCTTGGTGAAAACTAGAATTTAGAAGTGGTTTTCCCAGAGTTTTAATAGACACTGACATTGGAATATAGATGTTGCAGAAAAGAGAGTTTGACAGACTTTTTCAATGCTAAAGGCTGCCGACCTGTGTATTAAGTTATATTAGTCAATTTAACACTTAGGATTTAAATGATGGTTCAAGTTCTGCCATATATCAAATGGTTACCTCATTCATAGAGAACTGGCAAAGTAATTGTTTAGATTTTGCTTTTTCATCAGATATTTTCACATCTGCTGTATCAGCAATTTTGCTGAAATTCTCAGGCAAAATTCCAGGAGAATCAGATTGTCTTGAAGAAGTCGGCCTTGGTGATTTACTCATAGAGGAAACGCTGGTAGATTCTGGTGGTTTTTGTGAAAACCGATCGAGACAATTGAAAAGTGAGTGAACCTGTAAAATAAAAAAATTTACCTAATATTTTTAAACTTAAAGCAACAATTGAGCAAAAGATCATTTTACATAAGGATTTACATTATTATCCAGGGGGAGAGGAAAGCCGACAGACAGTTTGCCACACTGAAAAAATCTTCTAACTTTGATCAAGAAGAAACTTTGATCAAACTTACATAAAGAAGAAATCTTACTCTGGAGAAGCTTGTCATTGTTCTTATTTATGTAGGATATATTGTCGAATACCGATCCTTTGTCGAGGTATTGTAGTAATGTTACATCAAACATTAAAATGATGTTAGAATCTGACAGGAGCCATCTCTAATAAATCTCAGTATCAGTTTGAGTGACAAAACAACGTTTTATATTATATTGTCATTTCAATTTTGAAAAAGAAAGAGTGCTGTTACATCTAACAGATTAATTCGTCTTTTTAAAAATTAAACCGAAGTTTACCTTAGTATGGCTCAAATGTATTGTCAAATTCGGAAGATTTCCTTTCAATTTCACAGCAGGACATTTTGGATCGAGCGTCGGTACGACTCTGCGCTCTAACAGTAAGTCAACGCTGAACCTTTCCACTAGATGGTGTGGTCCCTTTCCTTGGGTCCTGGTCGCCTCCCACTTTTCATCATTCCGTGCCACAAGGACCTGTTTATTTTGATGAAGAAAATTTCATGTTACGTTGGATTGATGTACCCTTAATTACCTTTTCATTCTCTTTTTGATACAAGTATACAGAGTGTCCATAAAGTCCCTTTACAATTTCAATTTTGTTATGAAGTCAGTTTTCAATATATCTTAACCAGGTTTGTTGTTTTTTAATCAGTAATTGTTTAAGTATTTCTACTTCATTTAATATCTGTGATGGCCAAAACTATATACAGTATCGATAAATCACCTTTGCAATTTTTAAAAATTTTAAGACTTTATGGACACTCGGTATATTATCATAACTAAGAACTTCACTATGTAATCATGTAAATTTTACTACTTATTATGTGGAGGCTTCATTTATATTTTACGTTTAAGCAAGACATTTAAATAGACAAATTAACAAGACATGATAATTCAGGTGTTGAAATGTGAGACCTACATTGTTGCCAGTAAGAGATCTAAGAATCATAATCAATCGCCAACCATCTCAAATTAAGTAGGTAAAACCATGATTCCGAATCCAAAAGATCATAATCCACCATAAAACAAAGTAGCCCTCTAGGTATTCGTGATTCTTCACCTAAGTGCCTTGTTTACCAATAACATCTTAGCATGATACAATGAATTGCAAATATATAATTTTTAAAAAGGCTCCTTCTTTGACTCGTGCCTTGTTCAAAATGATGAAAAATTCCTATTTTGGATTTACGTACTTTTATTCAACCGAAGAGTACATTTTCAATAACCCTAGCAGGGGCTTCGGCATGAATTTTCAGAGATTGGGGGCTGGTCTGAAATTTCTAATTGCCAAGTTACCTCAGCCCCCATAGGTATGCCCCTTACACTGGCCATGCAGGGGGCAATGACCTTATCAGCATAGGATGGGATTTACATATTCATCCTGTGGAGAGGAAAGGCAATAAGACTGAACAAAAAAAATAAATTGAACGCTTATCAAAATATAAACACTATAATATAAAATGTAACATTAGGTTATGTTATCTAACTGGGCGAGCCCCCCAAAAAAATTGGAGATAATTTGACCAAAGATACAAATATTACACACCTGTAAGTCAGTGAAATGCATTTGATATTGCTCGTACATTCTCTCGTAAAATAATTTCTCATTCAATCTTTGTTGACTGGAGGATTCAGACAAATCATCAGCTGCAATGCCTGGAGGTAACAAACCTGAGAAAAAGTAAATTTAAAACATGTTTTAGACCAGTGGTTACCAAAGTAGATTGACCAGAGGCCAAAATTAGGAGCAGAAGTATATTCGCGGGCTGGGCACCCGCAAAGGGGACAAAACTGGTGCGTATAATCAAGATACCGATATAATTGAATTGTTACAGAATATACACATGCTTAAACTGTAATAATGACGTAACAATTGAAGGTATCTTAAAAGCGAAAAACATTAAAGTGTTAACTATTTCACTCAAGTTCGACGTGCGATATCAAATCGTTACGCAGGCCGTAGTTCGCCCACATTCCTTGGTTTGGGAACTACTGGTTGAGACCAGGGATGGCCATTTCCGAATACTAAACTATTCCGAATACATTCTAAAATAATGTTTTCGAATCTGGAATTCCGAATACATTCTAAAATCGAAAATAACACATTTTTGTTTTAGTTGATTAAAACCCAGTAAATTAGGAAATAAGCTTCAATAGAAATATCAGAATGAAGCCACAAACCAACAGTATATGTACACAAAGTAATTGATAGTTTATAGCTATCAATAAAAAATAAAAGCAACTTGTGACACAGTCAGTTTATTAACATTATTCACTTTGTACAAATGACCATATGAAATAATAGCCAAGGAGTTGTCTGACGCTTTCTATCATTGGTACCATGATATTACGATAATAGTCGAGTCTATTGACAAAAATACTAGGTACTTGTATTCAGATAATTGTGTATATTTTCTGAGAGTAATAAAATTTATTGGCAATACAGGCAACAACAATCGAAAATCCATTATGCCTTTAAAAATTCTAATATTTAGGCCTGAGGTATTCTACTACCTACCAGTATATAGTTATTATGTGTAACATAATGTTGTGTTTGGAATTAGAAATAAATTAGTAGAGAATAGCTGACCACCACTGCCAGCGCGCAGCCAGGATTTTCGAAATCGGAAATTCCCATTGCCGCCTGTAACACCCACCGCCGTCTTTTCAGCGTATAATGATCATTCTGTTACGTAAAATATTCCATCCATGACAACAACGAGATTCTAAAATATCTTTATATATTATTTTAATATGTCCAACGTAACTCGCGGTTGCTTCTTCTTACGCCAAAAAAAAAAAACATTACTATTTGGTCCACGGCGATCTGTGACCTAAAATTACGAGATAAACTGCCTGATGTATTTAATTTTAATACGTATTTTTGCAATCTTGCCAACTCGTTATCGCCGTTAGAAAATCTCAAATAATTATATGAAATCCTGTTAGGTGTAGAGTATAATTCATTTCATACAATGAATATACATATAAAGTTTAGCAGTAAATTAAAAATACATATTCATCGCCGCGATTATGCCACCTCGACTTTTAACAACAAATAATATAACAACGAATATATATTTTTCTGTTGTGCAAAGTGATGAATTCGTGACCGACACGGGCATATTTAAAATGTCTTGCTTTATTAATTTAATTGTCTTCAATTTAACCTGCGGTTGCGTCAACAAAATAAAATCCCCACCACTCTTATATACCATTGCAATCCGCGGTCATAAAAATAAAAACGTGAGGTAAACTGTCCGATTAAATATTGTTTTGATCCGTATTTTGCGAATTCGGCAAATATTTAGATGTACTTGTTAACAGTGACTCCGCTTGATCGAAATGCTGCCACTCTGATTATTTTTAGATAAAACTGTTCGAGAAATCCATAAATATGCTGTAATATCTCAGAGTAAAATTTATTTCATCACAATAAAATTGATTGAATATACTTTAGATTAATTATATTATATACATCCTCACAACCCGGGAAAAAGTCGCGTTTCAAACCTTGTATCGTGTTAACATGAAAATATTCGACGGCAATTTAAAGTAATGGATAATCAGGCAAATCCCGCCCTCAATTAGTGACGATATGTTTCTAAACGCCGACCAAACATGTGTGCCAGAGGCACACGAAATTTTGCGATTTTCACTGCCTAGAAAAGAGTTTTTTAAATTTTCGCGGGCCTCAATAAAACTTATATTGTTTACGGTTTTATTTTCAGTATTCTAAATTGCCGCTTTTCAATCAAAAAGTTGCGTTGTCTTTAGAAACTCGCCGTCGATGAATGTATTTACCAGATTCACAATTCCGTGCGCGTACAAAAATAAAATAAATGTTATCGTTATCGTGGAACAAATTTGTGGAAAATTTTCGTTTTAGAGTAAATAACACAATCGTAAAGGCGTTTACGGGCCTAAATAACACGTTACGCTGATGAGTGATGAAAACAATCACGCGCAAGTTTCTATCGAGAATGTTTTCATTCAACGGAAACGTCTTGAAAGCGGCGTCGAAAATGTGTGACGTCACACAAATATCCGATATTCTTATGAACGTGAATTCCGATATTCGAATGACGAGATATTCGAATACATTCGAATACTTTATTCGAATTGGCCATCCCTGGTTGAGACCAAGCGTGCCCAAAATTTACGAAGGATGGGCACTGGGCAGCATTGCTCCCTTTTCTTCTCCATTAAATAAGACTCAATTTGGAAAGTATTCAAAGTTTCATTCCCAAAAATATTATTTGAGAATAGTGAATTAAACATCATATGCAAATCAAACCTCCACCATCCATAATGTCATCCTGTTCCACATCGGGTTCAACTAACGATTCCTCTTCCATGATTGGTGGAGTATCAGGAGGTGTCACAAAGTCTTCCTCATCATCATCATCCACAATTTCTTCAAGTTTTGCTCCAGTATTTGGAAGACTTGATTTGTTTTTCCATTTTGATAAATAATCGTCTAATATAACAGTATAAAAGAAATTGTAATAAAAAGCAGTGAAGGGCAGAGAAAAGTCAAATCAACTTTTTAAATGTTCCTTCATAATGTAAATTTCTAATGTTTTATCTTTGAATAGATTTCAAATCTTAGAGTTTCAAATCTGATTCTATTTAGTATAACATGTTATCATCAATTTACCCTAAATTTGGAAAGACAATAGGTTACTGTGAGAATAAATAGTAATGAAGTAAAGAATGAATAGATACGATAGACTAGACTATTATATCGGGTAGCATCCTTAGTCATAATGCGGCAATAATATCTTATTTTCAGGTCACCATCGGAAAAGAAGGAGTAAGTCTGGTATTAGCTGACTAGATAATCATTCTAGACCTGTTGACATGCATGTTATAGGAAGCTGCAACTGACCGGAAATTAGGTGAAACAGTTTGCAGCAATGAGTCCGGCAAATCCTTTACCATACACACAAAACAGCACTATCGCAGCGCAGTGGCAAGTTTGTTAGCATTCTGCTATGAGTCAAAAAACGAAATTTTGCGCATAATGTACCCTCATTATGGTTCTTGAATGTCATATGACCAAGGTTGGCAATGACAACATTAGATTTGTTATCAGTTGAATCTTCTGGGAATATTATCTCTGGGGCTGATATGTTGAGAGTCACTGCCCATTTGTCTTGAGAAACCTGGAGTTACAATATAAATGACAAAAATTTAATTACAAATGCATGCTATTAACAAAAAAATAATATGTGGTCGCGTCCTAAAAGACATAAAGAGACACCATGGCTTGAGTAGCTCTAGTGGGCCATTAACTGACTAACGCCTTTCGACAATATAAATTTAATGATCCAATGTTTTTTCAAATTAATCAAGCAAGATAAGAGATGCTATAAAGGGAACTAGCAATTTAGCTCGGGGCCACAATGCCAGGCGCAATGGGATGAGCGCAGTACAGAAAAAATGGGACAGAGCATTTTTTGAGACACCCATTAAAGATTAGCATTTCATGCCATAACTTCAAAAATTTTATGAAATTATACATTCCAAAATTTTACCTAATGTCTAGCAAGGGACTGTACAATACATACGTTAGTAGTTGTTTTCCCATCCATCATTCGTTTCACAGTTCTCTTGATTTCAGCTTGTGATTGCTGTTTCCATGCCTCATACTTTTCTATTGCTGTGGCAGAAATACCATCATCTATATCTACACTGTCATCACTGGATTCTGAGAGAAAATAAAATGCATGTGTGGAAATTCTTAAACCGAAATTAGGAAGAATCATCAATAAAATATTTTTTCATAATTTCTTGAATTTGATTATTTACTGTACATGTTATTGCATGTTTCATTGTTCAAAACAATAATACAAAAACACGTAATCTAATTTGACTTCATTAATCAACAGAAACGGCAATTACTGTAATCGGCTATCAGCCCAGGGCAGTCATGAGAATAGCGTATCATCTAATAGTTTCACAGTTCACCAATCATATGAGACATTTTCATCCCCGTGAGATTTGAACCTGCAAACCCGAGCAGGAAGTGTGATAACAATCGCTCCCTACCTTTACCAAGAAGGGCCATTATACAGAGACAGAATTTGCTCATTCAGAAAATAAAGTCACAGAGAAATATGCACTCTCTCTTGGCTAAATGAAAATTATTTCTTACTGAACCTACCAGCTGACTTGAAGAACCCTTTTACTCTTTCGACCAGATTTGGTAAGAACGTTATAACAATTGGTGCAGAAGCGATTTCAAGTCTGTTTGTGAAACGATTTGTTTCTGTTCTGGGTTTGTTTTGATACAACAGACTGAAAACTGTAGATTTTTCTGACTGTAACTCTCTGGGTTCCTGGAAAAAGGGTGAAAGTAAGTCAACTCAAGTTGGAAATATTTCTTCAGAAAATATGAATCACAATTAGAAGCATTTATATTTACTAAATTTATCTATCTTTACTGTATATATCTGTGAGAAACAATGTTATAATGCAGCAGTTTTTGGTTTTATATATACAAGTACTCAAATTTAAATCACATTGGTTTTGAAAAATACAAACACATAATCATCTCCCCTCCCCCTCTCAAATTATTGGAGTATGCTAACTCACAGATGGTAAATGACAAGCATATTCATGTTTGCATATTCATGATGAGTAGCATTATTATTAATTAGAGTTCATTGGTTTTTATGTTTGAAAGAAAATGCGATAAGGCAATAGGTCCCTTTACCAGTTTGGGTGTGGAATTAGTTATACAGTTTATTGCGCCATATTACATGGGACCTCAGATGCTGATTAAAACAGATGAAATGATTGACAGATTGACAGATAAAATGCATGTAATCTTAAAAAACAACCTCCATCCCACACACAAAAAAAGAATAATTTGGGAATGCAAACTCAAAAGCAAGTTTATGTTTGGCAACTGAGATTGTTCTCATTAGCTCACCACGATAAGTGTAGATTACTTCTTCTTTTAAGACAGTGGTTTTCGAATTTCTCGCCCACGCCCCTTTTTAGAATTTGTTAAGTCTCGCGTCAAAAATAACTTGATAACAATAAGCTACAAATAACAGATAGTAAGACAAAAGTTTTTTTTACATAAAAAAACATGTTGAAAATCTGTGGTTGGAACTTAAATATCCAAAATAAAGCAGCAAGATAAAATTTAATAAATATTTTTATTTTCAAGAAAATCCGTCCCTCTCGCCCCATCGCTTGAGAACCACTGTATTAAGACGTTCGAAAGAGGCAGTGTGAAGAACTTTACAAGAAAGATATAACGAACCTTATTTGAAGATAGAAGATCGAATAAACCCTTGATGGAAGATGACATCACATTCTCAGCTTCTAAAATTAATAGAATTTCAAACAAATATATCATTTTTTTGGTTTAGTTGAATTATGGAATATTGTTTATCTTGTTATGAGCTGTTTTAAACCCATTTGAAGTCATATTTTCCAGCATTAGTAAGAACGATATGTGAAAATAATTGAGTAATAATACTTTTGGAAGTCTAGAGTTTCACTTGGATATTATCACAGACTATCAATATTAATCTGAACATGTGACTCGGGATGCTCCAGAAGTTTGTGTACCAATATGGAGGTAACTAATTTTGTTCGTCTATTTTACATCAAGTTGTGTAAAGGGACTGTAACCTATGGGCAGGGGGTATATTTACTCGGCTAACACAGACAGTCCCCGAACTTGTAATATAACTAAAATAAGGCAAATCGGAATGAAATTATGGCCTAACCTGGTACATACACTATGGAAGTACTATACCTCAACAAGTACTCGTGAAATGAACTTCTTCACCTCAATCAACTATTTTAAAAAAGAACCAACTAACCTCTGGGAGAATGTGGAACACTGTCCAATAAATCCACTTGTGGTTTTATTAATTCAGAAAAACAACTTCTCTTGTTGCTCAGATCTTTCACGAATAAACCACCGAGATCAACTCTCATTTCACTGGACTTGTATCTGAAAATAAACATAATAAAATGGGAATAAAATTATCAGGTTTGAGGATTTCCAGAGAAAAATTATCAATAATAACAAGATTAGCTGTCTTGAAATTGAATGGCTATTTATGACATTTTCAGTCTTCGAAAAATATAAAATTAAATGGGGGATGGTAATTATAAGCCTTGGACGCGCCACTGACAGTACATTATAGTTGGGGACTTATTAGTTGAGTCAAGAGCACTTTCATTATCAATTTTAAATACTTGTTATAGGTGTAAAATGCTTGTCTGAAGAAGTCTGACCTCAGTCAGACGAAACGTTACAGAAATATATTTGTGTTCGTGTGCAGCAAGACTCTTGAATTGAACTGAAATGTTAATATGCTTTTTTGCATCAATTTGTGACTTGACAGGCCTTCAAATAAACGCGGTGGGTTTCTTTTATGACTCACCGACCAGTGGGTTAACCATCCCTGCTCAAGAAGATAGTTATACAAGTTGTCCATAAAGTCACTTAACAATATCAATTTTGTTATGAAGACAGTTCTCAATAGATCTTAACCAGGTTTGTTGATTTTTAATCAGTAATTGTTCAAGTATTTTTACTTCATTTAATACATCTGTATAGTATCGATAAATTCCCTTATCAATTTTAAAATCTTTTAAGACTTTATAGACACCCCAAAATTTAAATTTAACAGTCATTCATAAATTTTAAACAATACTCATTTAATACCTTGGCCTCCACTCAGTTGTAGCTGACACATCCCGGAATTCCACTCCAATGAAAGGAACTGATTCTAATGTTATTGGATCTCCTGTTTCTGCACCGTCCTCATGCAAAGTTAACGTACCAGCATCGAGAGAAAAACTCAAATTCAAAAACACAGAATCTCGTTTCAGGAAAGTATCGTTCGTGTCTTTTTCGGATAATTCTTCGCCAAACATTTCATACAGTTCATCTTCATCTAAACAAAAAAAAAATTAAATCGTCTCGTATTTTAATAAAATTAAAGTTCCATGTTTATAAAACTGATTTTAATAATAGCAATGTTCCATATTCACATAGCGCTTGCCATCAAACAGCTAATTATGCCACATGGGTGGGAGGTGCAAACCTAGAGAAACAATTATAAGCATTATGAGAGATGATTATCATTGCACCCAAAACGATACAACAATACTAGCTATTCTTAGACAGCCATTACACTGCATGGGCTGGTAGGTTTAAATCTCGATTGTTAAAATTGTGTTTAAAAAAGTTGCATCAAGATCGATAAAACATTTCAGCAACTCCTATACAGGTTTGGGAGTCAAAAGTCGTGATTTGCCATATGACTAATAAAAGTCTTTTACGGCTTTACATTCCCCAAAGAAAATTTTTTTACTATTCAAAATTGTTCCAATACCAGTTCATAGCATGCTAGCAGTGGTCAATGGTAACACAATATCCCTAATCAGTATGATATCAAAAAAATCAGAAAGATTAGAATGGACCAGTTAAAAGGTTAAAGTTGAATTTTTTCGTACGATTTTCGAATTTGTACACAATTTTAAGCATTAATTTGATTAATAGATTTTGGTGACCATTTAAGCACTTTTATTTTAATGTTTGAATCAGAGTTTTTCTTTCTAAAATCTTCCAAATTAATAAAAGTCAGAATGAAGGCTGACTTACTTAAATCCTTATAAACCGAATCATGTAGATTCAAATCCACGAGATCTAGACTTTCTTCCTTTTCCTCAATCTTATCAACATCAGTTGTTTCAGCAGTTACTTCAGGCTGTTTTTCAGAACTCCATCCTCTCCCCCAACCACTAAAAACATGAAACATGGGTTACTCCCAAAACTGGCTTGGCGGTGTGGCACATCGTGTTAAACGTAAGGAATACGATCGTCACCGCACCTTTGATTACTCTGCGTGGGTTAGCAGGTTCGAATCCCATGCGGGGATAATTATGTGTGAGAGGTTTGTTGGACTTTTACTGGACTCATATACTTTTAAGTCGAGTTAATACTGTGTTGATAGTAATTTCAATTTTTCTAGCTTTGAGGTACAGAAGGCGAGGGGAGCGTAAAACATCTAACGTTTTGTTTTTAAAGTCTGATGGATTTGCAATGTGCAATCACTGCAAACTTAAAATAAGCTACTGCAACATCATAGGGAGTCTTTTAAAGCATTTGAAAACAAAACATGTTTTATGGTAAGCAATCAAATGACTGGCACTGCTACCTCAATTGGGCCAGCACCAAAGCAGCCAAAATTAGCCTCTTATTTTTAAACCCAAGTCACACTTGCAAAATCCACGAAGATCAGCGAACTAATTTTAAATACTATTGATTTGAGGCAGATTGGTTTAGTTAGTGTTTCTCAAGTTCTTTTGCGGAACAGAAGGTAAAGTTGATATGAAAAAAATTGGGTAATATATTAGCATTACTTATTATAACATTTCTTGAGGCTTCCAGTTTTAAAGCCAACAATCAATTGAGAAGAGAACACATGCAACAGCCTATTCTAAAATGTAAACCTGACAATTGGAAAATTGACGAAAATGCCATGGCTTCCAGACAGGCAGAGGCCTGCTTGGGAACAGCATTACTTATGCTTCATTCTTCAATAACCAATAAAAGAATTGGCACCCAGATATGAAATGCCTAGTCGTCGAAACACTGACAAGAAAGAATGAAGAAAAGTTTTTAAACTGAAAGAAGGAGATGAGGAGAGTTCACACTATATAAATGGAGATTTCGAACTAATATATCTTGTGTTGGCAACAAATGTGGTGAATGATGTCCATTCAGGATTACACATTGCAATAAATTGTAGCCATTGTTACTGACAATATTGCCAACTGTATATTCATTGTATTTCTGGCAACTAGCAGATTCCAGATGGCTGTGCATGACCAACCAGCTGTAAAGGTGAAGTAGCCATGTGCTCTCAGGACTTGAGGCTGATTCTTGTTGGTGTGTCTTAGGAGTTACTTTGGTTATGTTTATGGGCATTTACCGGTGCTAATTAAACGTTTATACTGCTTCACACCAATGTTGTATATGCTTGTAGAAAACAGAAAAAAAGGTATAGCTGGATGCACATACGATGCGGAGCCCATAGATTGCAATTATGTTTAAAGCAGGAATTCAAAATTCCGCAAATTAAATCTGCAATTGATGAGTGATAACATGATTATTTTATCAAACCATTCCTCCTTGAATTCACTCTTCAGTACAGTGGTTCCCAAAGCTGATTGACCGTGGGACCAAAATTCGAAGTGGAAGAATATCCGTGGGCCAAGATAGGGGAGCGCCCGCAAGGGGCCTACACCGGTACCAGTATATATAATTAAGATACTGGTATGACTGAATAATAACAAAAATACATGTGCTTAAACTGTGATAAGGACGAAACAATTCTGGGATCCACTGGTTCAGTATAACCGATATAAAATGTATTATTATTATTACTAGGTGCTGCTAGATACCCTGTAGTATTCTTTCAACAATCTTCAGAAGCCAGCCAAGCATTAAAGGTTGCGCAAGAAAAGGAACACCAGCTAGAGATCATACTCGATGTATCCACAAGATGGAACATACAATGTGCTGGAGAAACTTTTTCGTGTGCAAGCGCATGTTCGCGCATGCTTCGTGCTCTGCAATGGGCTCATTGTAAAACCGACATCAACAGATCATTTGGAGTTGAGAGAAAATCACTATGCACTAATTCAACTCCTACTGGAAAAGCTGTAGATGCATGATGGTAGAACTCCTACTGGAAAAGCTGTAGATGCATGATGGTAGGCAGTAGTGGGCGAAGGCGATCTGGTGACATCCAGCAAGAATATCTGTCTTGAACAGCAATTTGAGTTCGCCAAAAGCCGGAATCATTAGATGACTATCGGGCTGTGTCATTTGAAGCCATGACAACAGCAGAGAAACAGACAAGGGCAATGATGATGAAATAGCCAGCGTTTTAAAAAAAATGACATTTAATTTGAAAACAAAAATCCAGGCTAATAACTTGGATACTTTAGAATGGTTTTTGCGTCTCACTATCACACAAAACAAACAAGAAAATATGGGTTTTCCTTTATAGCGAGCATGTGTTTCTGTCCATATCACATCATTTTGCTGTGAAACATCAACAAATATGGGAAGAAAACAACTACAAACAGAGTTCGATGCCAATGAAGCAGCATCTTGGAAGAGTCTGACGTAGATAACGGAAATTTTGATAAAAGCGATTCTTCAAAATCAAAGAGAAGCAAGATTCAGGTTTGTGAGTTTTCTGTACGGTATTCAAAAATTTTGATACTCGATAAAAATCTTTCATGTCTTTTACAAAATTTCAGGCTCAGAATCAGAGGCAGATTTGCCATTGGCCAAAGTTTTATTGACGTCAACGAGCGAGCCACAACGTAAGGGTGTAAGGACACGTCAAAGGCCAGAGACATAAATTCACCTGACGAGTCAAGCAGAAGTAGTTCTCGTCAGTAGACAAGAGCATATTCGCAATCAGATTACGAGTGTCAAAAAGTATCATCTGAGTGAACAATAGGTCAGTTCGATCGAGCCTATGGTGTCAGAAGTCAGGGTATTCCAGCCTCTTCATCTCCCTTAGATTGTTTCCTTTGGTTCTTCACTGTTCAAGTGATCAGTTTTATAGTGGAGATGACAAACTTGAATGCTCAAAAAAATGCTCTGAGGGATGTAAATTTGCAAACATTAAGTATAAGTTTATTTCGACTCCATAATCGGCATAAAACACTATTACATAACTGAAAAAAACAAAATAAATAAAAAATGATAGGAGCGTTGTTTTCAATTCTAATCTTCATGTTTTGTTTTTCAGTTGCCAACTTCTTCCACTCCAATTTGAGCCAACGACGTTCGATGCAGGCATTTTTGGGTCTGACAATCACAGTGGGAATAGTGAGAATGCAAGTTATTGCCATGTATGGGAAAAGAAACACTAGCACCTTAATGCGACTACCCTTCTTGAACGTGCCCGCAACGAGGCTGCTATCCGTTTATGGAACCTAAACATGAATTATCCATCTACGAGTCTTTGAGTAAGAAAAAGACCTTCTCATAGGACAATCCGCTGTGTCCACTCGAATTCGGGCATAATTTACCCAGGTATACTGATCCACCAATGGTTCTATGCGAATGTAAAGTAAAACGGGCATCGCGAACAACAACAGTGTGTACTGAATGCAAAGGACATTTGTGTATGAACAATGGAAAAACTTGTTTTAAAGAATATCATAGTGGAATATTGGCGATAAATGATTTAAGTTGTTTTTGTATATATTGTTGCTTTGGTATAAATTTTGTGTTTTTTTATGTTTGTGTGTGATGAAGTTTTTGAATATACAACGAATTTGTGTTTAGCTGGCAAAAAAATTATTTTGAACGAGCGAACGACCTTTGTCATGCAAAGCACAAGAAAAGATTTCCAGACGATAGGTCAAATGTGTAATTCACGCTCATAATTCTCGTCAATATATCGAGCTTAGTTTCACTTCAGAAGACCAGTTTGGACTTGCCTGAAAGGTGAGTGATGCTCTTCAAAAAAGTATTTCATATTTTTTCTATCTTGCATGTGTTTACCACAGCTCATAGTTCGACAAATTTGAACAAAAAAAATTGAAACTCCTCTCTTTTGTCACCATAAGGTGAGAGGAATTTGCGGTGTGTGTCTCGGGGGACATTTATTGGAAAGTGACATAAACGGGACTTGAGTGAATTTTCTCAATTGAACAAAAAGTTAAAAGGGGTATAAAAAGTTGCTAAGGACCATCGAAACAAAAAGGTTTTATTAAACATTGAGGAAATTCTCAAGAAATTTATTCACGAAACAACACATTTAAAAAAAATTATAACGATACCAAAAGTGATTCAAACACCCACCGTAACCAGCTTCCCCATCCTTTCCCTTTGTTTTGCTCATTTTCATTCTTCTTCATTGAATTATCTAATTTTGTTTTCGCTTGTTTCTTTAACAATCTTTCTGTTCTTTCGAAAACAACTTCTCGTAAAATTTGGATTTCATGAAACGTCAAATCTTTTTCAATATCAAATATCTTTGCCTCCAAAAGTGCTGACTCAGCAGTCTAAGAAATGAAAAGCATTGATGCTAGAATTTTTTACATATGATGTATTTATACGCATTTTGCTCAAAACAAATCTCTGAACAATCAGTCACTGATATGTCAGGAACTACTTTATTTTGGAAGAGCCGATATCTTTTGCATTTCCTACTCAATTTATAGCATCATTGGTGAAGCGGCGGGCATAACACAGTGGGGCACGTACATAGACAATTTTTTGAGGGGGCATGAAACTAATTAAAAATATTTTTTTGTTAAATTCGATCCTGCCTGTCTTATCATGGATATTTACATTTTTTCATTTTGGATATTTACATTCCATTCACATTTTTTCAACGTGTTTTTGGAATAAAACATACTTCGCCTTACTATCTGCTATTTGTAGGTTATTGTTAGCTAGGTATTGTTGAGGTTGGGTGCGAGACAAATTCTAAAAAGTTTGAAAACCATTGTTTTAATATGTAGAAACACTCCAACAAATAGCCCACTGCGCCCACAAATTTGACTGATTGAACACTATCTAAACATAAAATACTCTTGACGAGTCTAACAAAAATTCGAATATCATCTTACTTGCATCTTTTCCAAATCCATTTTTGATTTGATGACTTTTTCATACATTCTGATGTATTCAACATTGTTCTTTGCTCTGTTTAGTATAAACGACTTGGAAGATCGCGTCTTCAACTTTTTGATTTGTTTTAAATGTGTCTCTATCGCCCATTCCCACCATTCTTTAGCGCTAAAAAACAGAGGTAAAACAGGAAATTTAGTACGGCATTGAAGTTACTTCACAGAAACAAACACAGAATAATACATGAAATATAGGGTGTCCATAAAGTCCTAAATTTTTTTAAAATGCAAAAGGAATTTATCGATACCATATATTGCTTTGCCCCTCACAGATGTATTGAATGAATGTATTAAATTACTGAATAAAAACAACAAACCTGGTTAAGATATATTAAGAACAGACTTCATAACGAAATTGTAAAGGAACTTTATGGACACCCTGTATATAATATTTTAAGCTCTCCCTGTTCCCTTTCATTCTGGACTAGTGATATGAACGGTTACCATTATGTCCGGTATGGGATTAGTTGGCCAGTCATTCGGTTTCGGATGCATGGACTTGATGGTGAAGGCCGAAGGGTCAGAATTATTATGCCAGTGTGGCGTTTCTCTGACCCAATGTATTCTCTCGAAATCATGAGATCTATGTTCTACATTAGTTTTAATAATTGTGTTTCGAATCGAAAGTCACTACTACAATAGTGTAGTACTTTGTCTGAAATTGGTATATCTTTGCAAACCCTAAAATTCCTTGCACACCCCCCTAAGGGGTCGCGACCCCCAGTTTGGGAACCCTGCGTTAAGCCAACATAGTTCAATTTAACTTCCTAATTCTTGGCCTTTCCCCTCCGCACTTATATGTAATGAACAAGTGACAGGATTCTACCATTTTTCAAATGTTCCAGTTGGTCTTCCATCTTTGTGAATATTTCGTTTCTCAGATCTTGATAATTCAGATGCCAGGAAGATTGCTTGTTTATATTGGGTGTGGCTCAAATGAAGAGATATTTCACCTGAAATTGAAAGCAAACGTCTTTGTAACCAAACACTATTTATTTACTAAATCTGCAAAGCAAATATTAAAAAACCACATTAGAGAGCAACGTAAATATCATGAATATCATCAAAAAGTACATAACTGCGACTGCCCAATGGAACCACTTTATTACAACGAGAAGGATATGGGGTAGAACAATAAAAATTTGTTTTAAATCGCAGTATCAAATAAAGGCATTAAAGACTATATGAGAGAGCAATGTACAAATACATTAACAAAAATACACAATTGTCACTGGTACCTATTGACTAGCGATGACGCAATTTATTTACAACCAGCAGAATGAACAGTGGAACATTAATAAAGCATGTCAATGTTTTACTAATCCATATGCCAACACCATATAACACAGAAGGTCATAACGATAAAACTAATAAAAACAGGATAAAACTGGATTTACAAATTTGTTGTATATTATATGATGTAATACCGCTAGGTGACGCTATAGACCCAGACTGATTTGACCTTGTATATCCGAGGCTGTGATTCTTGTTCTATCTGTGCACGTGTTAAGTGCTGACTTGCTGTTTAGTCTGTTACTGCTATGGTGTCTTAATGTTGAAGTGCTGGGCTCTTATAATAAAGTAGTGTTGTGATGGAAACCTGGTGCTTGTTTATAAAGATCTAAAGGCAGAATACACTACAACAGGGGTCTCCAACTCAAAACATGTTGCGGGCCACTTTTTGGAATTTATTGTCCATGCGAGCCGCAAACCAAGAAATTAGGTACAAAAATTTGTATCTGAATGTATTGTGTTAAAATTACACTTGAATCTTACAGCAAACGAGGCATGAAACATATTCATTCACTTGTGCTGGTTATTTGGTATCGATGTTTGGCCTTAATTTGCGTTGGTGTGCTAGTCTCAAGACAACATGCAAATGCTCGTCCGTTAGTCGTGTGCGGAGGACTGACTTGCTAACTTTCATAGTCGAAAAAAACTGCTCGCAAATATAGGAACTGCCAAAAATCGCAGGTATGCAAAGTGAATGTGCAATTAGCTTCGCAAACCTTTTTTCGGGCACAATGGACTGACCGAAACTCGTTTATTTCGTCACAATGAACATGCGAAATGAAATTATCGCATTTATAATTGCATTATAGCAATATAATAAAACATGAAGGTGGACAACAGGGGGGAATTTTGCTTCACTTTTTACAGTTTGTCGGACCGGACTCTTGATGATAAATGACACAATAAAACCTACTAAAAGTTGACATTGTACTAATTTAGTTTTTTGTGGAAAAATCCCAACCATGACGCGGGTCGCAAAAAATTGGCTGGCGGGCCGCGTGTGGGAGACCCCTGCACTACAATATTTATCCTGGGGGAGAGAGAAATCGTGATAGGATGGCTCAATCATATGGTCTGACCTGGTTACCAGTCCATGTTGAGTATGAGATTAGTTAGCTAGTTATTTGTTTCTAGATGAATGGACTTGATCATGGAGGATGCCGTACAGACCATCGGTTATGTAAACCACCTTACGGCGGCGAGGAGTTCAGCAATTCTTTCGCACATAATTAACCTCGCATGGGATTCGAACCTGCAAACCTACACAGCGTAATCAGAGGTGCAGTGTCGGGCATATTATTAACGCTCAGCACAATGTGCCACACAGCCGAACGATAACGAAATAATAGTTGAATAACAATTGCACATACCTAACATCACCCCCAATGAAATTCTTGGTTGATTTTTTGACCTCAACGGCAAAGTTGATGAATTTTTTGTCAGTTTCGCTTGACCGCACACAGGAGTGAGCAGAAATTGCGATTGCTTGCCTTCTGGTGTTTTCATATCAACATTACTTGTGCTCGATTCTTCCCATTTTTGTAATTTTTTCTAGAATAAAAATGTCAGAGAATAATATATAAACATTTAAAAAAAAAGATTTGAAGTATGAATGTCTGAAGAAGTCTGACCTTGGTCAGACGAAACGTTGAAAAAATATATTTGCGTTAGTGTGCAGCAAGATTCCTGAATAACTTGGGATAGTTATTTTTACTCTTGCTACAGCATCCTTGCATTATATGCATACGAATCTGCCGGCACAAAAACCCTGCATTAACTATTTCGAAACTTCAACTTGTCCTTACGCATTTTTGTATATGCAGAATAATGACCACCTGGTGGCAGTAAAGAGCTGAATCACATACTTGACCTATCACAATTTCAACCCATCAAGACTTCGAATTTCTAATGTGTTATAATTCTTTTATTTTCTATAATTTCACTGCCATAAAAGTATTATGCACCATTCACTATATGAGAATATCTTCGGGTAGCGTAATTTTACAAATTTATTATTTAGAAAATTTGGGTTGCTCAAAAGAAAGAGTACTGCACTGTACAAATGCATAATTCAATGCCATAACTGTTCATATTTTCAGTAGCTCTTCCCTCTTTGTCACCATGACAATAAAATATTTTAAATTTTTCACACGCCTGTGTCTTACCATACATATGGTACAAGTTATGAAGACTTCAGATGTGAGTATTTAAATACTGTTTTATTTTTTGGTATTCAACCTAGACGCCAACAACATCGAACCACCCCTGCGCTATACGAATCATAGTCTGTGTAAAGAGTGAGATATCTTGGCTTAATTAAACAAAATAGTAGGCGGTCCAGAAGTGTGTGCAGCAATATGGAGGTAACTAATTTTGTTTGCCTACTCTACATCAAGTTGTGCAAAGGGACTGACACCTATGGGCAGGGGGTATATTCATTTGGCTAACACAGACAATCCCTGAACTCGTAATAAAACTGAAATAGAACTCTAAGCTGGTACACATACTACAGGAGTACCAAATAGTCCAATTCTACTCACACTGAGTTCTTCTTGAGGCAAGTCTCCTACCATCTCAGAATCTGCGTCCCAATATACTGAAAAGCCATCGAGTTGGAGCAATTTGTACATCATTTCTGATATCGTTCGCTCACCACTAGTAGGAATCTAAAATATTTTATAACAATAAAAAACTGAATAACTACAAAAAAACCCAACTAGACTAAAAACGCCAGCAAGAACCTCTTTATCAAATTCAGAAATATATTCTTAGTAAGTATAGAAAGAGCATAATGGTCACCAGGTCTGAATCGAACAATAAAGAAAAATCTGAGTAAACTCTACCAAATATTTGGATATATTTCTACCAAGTATCTCCAGTGCTGTATATTACACCTTACAATAATTACAAAATAACCTCACTTTTCAACCCAAAAGTTCCTCATAAAATGATAAACAAATAGTAGTCCGTTTTTTTTTCAAAAATCCAAATCAAATTCTGTATATCTTACTAACTATACACTTTAAGATAGCTCATTTACAAATGAGGGTAATAAATATTACAGAAAATATGAGGAAATGCACAATAGTAAATGATGGTCAAACAATTAACTTGATTTCTTAAAGCTATTCAAAGCATGTGACCTACAGTCCAGCCACATTGAAGATAAATCATGGTTAAATCACACAAATTTCATGGAACTCACCCATTTGTCATCTGTGGATTTTGATGTTAAATTCTTTATACAAACTCCACAGGAAAACTTCTGGGGAAGAGTGACATCATCTTCATATCTGATATGGACATCATGAATTTCAAACTAAACAATGAAACAAAAGTATAGAGTGTGATAAATATAAAAATAAATAATAATAAATTTCAATTTAATAGAAAAATAAAGTTTGAAAATAGAGTTTTATTTCCCCAAAAAATATGGTATTTTTTAATCAATATGTTTACTTTCAAAGCATTCACTAAAATATATGTAAAACTGTTGAAAGTGCTTCGGCATGAGCGATTCCATATCTTCGTGATATTCCTTCGGATATTGATTTGACCTTCAGCCAATAAAGCAACCAGTATTTATTTTACAAAGAAACCTGTACTGTTCAGTGATCAGCTCAAAATATTATTATGCCAATCAGTCATTTTTATGTAGAAACACATCAACAAAATCAGAGTGATTGTTTTGAATAATTGCTTGACACTACCTTCCAAATCGATTGAACAAATCAAGTTGATTCATTTTGACCATATCATTTAGAACATTACTATTGAAATTTCAAAAATAATTTTTCTTCTAAATATAATCTTCCTTTTTTAAAGATGGTGTAGTCAGGAAAAATTTAGACCAGATTTTGATTCCTGATTGAAAAATTGGCTCCAACTTTAGCTATGGGTTATGAGAAAATCTAATTTTGACAACGAGGTCTTTGGCATATGCAAGCACTCTTTAATTGCCTTTTAAAACTGCTCAGTCAACTCAACGCTTTTTGAGTTGCAGCCAGAAGATTTTGACTGTGATAATCATCAACAAAAGTTTGAACTTTTGATAATGACTTCACAACTCAGTTTTTTACCCAAACAAAACAAAAACATTGGAAATTATCAAGTAAACAGCAATTACATAACCATTCTACCTGTAAATTCTCCATGATAGTTGTAATGATACTTGAAGAATAGGAATACCAGACTGAATACAACGAAGTATTCTGTCCATGTTTTGCTCGCCATTTCTCTTCCAATGCTTCAAGCTCTCTCTGTTTCCTGAGATATAAGAGGGAAAATGTGAATGGCACTTGGCGATTTTCAAATTTTGTGTCACTGCTCATTTGAAAATCGTTTTATGAAAACTATTATTTTTTTAAATTATCACGGTAAGTTGCAAATGCAGCAAGCATGCTTTATCAAACTTTTATTCATTGCAGCATCATATGGGGTGGGGTTGTTTGAGTAGTGTTTGTCGATTGAAACAATGTAAAATCCGAACCAAATATTGAAGGTTCACACTCACTTTCAAATTATACAGCTTAGAAAAGCAAACTTTTTTGAATTATTGAATTCAACAATATATTGAGGTTCACACTCACTGTTCCTCCTTTTTCTTTTTTTCTTCATTTTTATCGACAGTTCGTGTTGTTTCACCGGGTCCAACTACAAGCTGCAATCGATGGATTTCTACAATCCACGGCTCCCTGGAACGACAAAAATTAAATTTGAGTATCATATAAAAGCTTGGTTAGTCATGCTTTGCCAACACTTGACACCTCACCCAAGGTGCAAATAATGGGGCAAGGTATGTTGAATCCACGGCTACCAAAAATGACAAAATAATTGGACCAGTCAAGTCACAAACCAGCCCCCAAGTGTTTTGTTTAGACCAGTGGTTCCCAACCATTCTACCCTGGCAGATCGGAAAAATTAAATAAAATGTACTCGCGGTCCGCTGGTTTTTATTAAACTGCCGTAATCTGAAAGTATTTAGTCAGAATTTGCCAATAAGTTGTTACTACCTCACATCTATCGGTAATGAATAACCATCAGCATTCTTGTTTATTTCTGTAGCAATTAACAATAGAATACATCAATGCCAATGTAACACGTGACATTTTTTTGTCGCCCGGACACCTTTTCCACTGGGATAGATTTTCAAGATGTGAGATTTTATATGAGGTGGTGGTAATATTGTGCCTCAGCTTATGTTCATCGCCAATCGTCCATTCTCAAAAAAATTCAAAGTGTTTGCAATCACTTTATTAGAAGAGTTTTTCATAGAGGTAATCGCGAAAAAATTGATGACTTATTTAAAGAGCATAGGCTACTACGAGTTGTGGATTTAGCTAAATTCGAACTATGTAATATGATGTTCTCTTGTCACATTGGAGAGCTTCCGTCCAGCCTGAACAGCCTGTTCCAAGCAAACCCAAATTCAAACAGCAGAAATAAAGATAATTTTTTTATTCCATTTGTCAGTAAAAGTATTTCCCAAGAATCAATCGCAGTATGTGGACCAAAAGCTTGGAATTCCCTACCCGATGACATCAAAAATTCAAAATCGAACTCAGAATTTCGTTCCAAACTTAAACAATATATATTATCATCATATTAGCAATTTTCTCTGCTTTGAACATGTTACTGTTTGGAGATTATTTTTTTAAGGTCAGTTCAACACTGAAAGGGAGAGCTGTTGATTATTTGGATTGAATGAACTATCAGGAAACTGTCCTCCTCTTCAGTCACCATAGACCAGCTGACAATTTCAATAACTCCACAGGATACTTCACCCGGATTCAATGTAGAACAATGGACTGAATTAATAACTAGCACACCATTCTAATTTCATTATCATGCGTAATTAGACAACAACAAAAGCACAGCAATTTAGGTTATATATAATACAATTCAATAGAACTTCAATGCACAAATAGTAGGGAGTAGGGACAATGGTTTTTGTTTGAGTAGCATGCTGTTCAATTTATTTCCATTGTTGCTACCTATCACCGAATCACACTTTTTCTTCTGCTCATCCCATGATACCATATAATTTTATTATTTTAATTTACATTGGAAAATCCATGACATGGTAAAATGGCTTCTATTTATAGCTTTTCATTCCCTATCCCACTGTACCTTTATACCTTTCTAATCTTCTGGCTGAAATGCAACCATAATAGGTTTTGTGGAAATGCTTTTTATTAATTTTTTTTATTTTTTTTGAAACTTCATTGTTTTTATCTGAATCCAGAATTCCAAAAAAAAACCTTACAATAGTGAGTCATTTGATACATACCTTTATCATATTTCACCAAAACCTGTAGGGTCGCATTTTGGCCAGAACAGCCATAGACCACTTATAACACTGTCGCCCTTGAGTGGTGCATACCATATATGTACACACCCTTTAAATTTGACCATTCCCACGTTTTATAGTATGTGGTATCATCACTCAATGGTATTGTACATTCATCCAAATTCTTAATTTTTTTTAAAAAAAATTTTTATTACTATATTATATTCATATGCAGTGTGTTTCATGTTGTGTTGTGTCTCTATTTATAGATGTTGTTTTGTCTAACAAACTCCTTTGTACAAACAGTTTTGTACACTCCACCCATATCCCTGTTACCGCATCCACCCACCCTCCTTGTACAACTGCCTGTATAAAGGACCATATTGTACATATTTGATTTACCCTATTATAATTTATATATATCAAAAGGGGTGTATGCCGCACATCTGTGTTTTAGGCCAATATGGTCTTGTGCATACATCCCGTCTTCAGTATTTATAATTACTTACTTCTTTATATTGCTTTTACGAGACGAATAAACATACATACATACATACATAATACAGAATGCAGAGAATACCCATTTAAGACCACTGGTAGTGAACAATGGGTACTCCCTTAGTGCGTGTACCGGGTTAGGGTTAGGCCATAATTTCATTTAGATTTTCCTTATTTTAGCTCTATTACGAGTTTGGGGACTGTCTGTGTTAACCAAGTGAATATACCCCCCACCCATAGGTTTCAATCCCTTTATTAGTTACTTCCATATTGCACATACTTCTGGAGCATCGAACAATGAGCAAAAAAATCGATTATCAATGTACAGAACTGTTGAGGACATGAAATTTGTTACTGGCTTACTTGATAGTCTTGTAGCTTTTAATTCTGAGCACAATCTTCCCAATATGTCCTGACTTCAATACAATTCCTGGTAAATCCAGGTCATTCAAGGCATCTTTCTTCAATGGAAGATTCTCGAGTTCAACAGCACCTGGATTGATTTTACAATTTACAATAGATTAAAAGGTTATCTAGTAATATGTGCATTCGATCGCACTATGTTGGTGTCACAGGTTGAGAATTTTTCGAGAGCTAAGTCTAATGCCCAAGATGTAAAAAATAAGGTAGGAAATGTAAAATCTAAAAGACTGGTCATTCTGAAAATATGACCACAGCAGGAACATATCGTACCCATGGGGGTTTGCAGGTCCGAACACCGAACAAAGGTAAAATAAAAGCATTTTTTTAGTATCATAAATAGAAATATTTTATATCTTAAAATGCTTTTCACTCGGCGATGCTTCACTACTGAGAATTACGTGTTACCTTTCTCGGAGCAAGTTCTCTCATACAAAAAATATTAATAATATGAAATAACAAACCTCGCAATAATCCAATAGATAAATTCTGTGTGTTAATATTTTCTACATATTCACCGATATATCTGTTCAATACCTGAGCAGCGATATTTTCAAGCATTTTCAAACTCAATTAATTAAGTCATCGCCATATTTTAATTAAATTATTATAATCTAAATACAAAAGGAACATGATTGAAATTGAATGGGAAAAGCAAGTAAAACTTAACATTAGCGCTCTACAATAATGATACCAAAAAAATTGGCATTTTATTTCTTCTCTCCAGTTCTTATCCAAATGAGATTGGCAGGGTAGTTTTGTATCTATTTTCAAGTCAAGTCATCTGTCAGTGTCAATATTTTTCCAGGAGTAATTACTGAATTTTTATGTAAGGAAGTATGGCCCACTCTGTGACATTCTCATGCTAAAGATCCAACAAATTTAACTTGGTGTTGGACATCAATTCCACATAAATTAACATTCCAATATGGAGAAGATGAAGGCAAGAATGCTGCGGTATCGCGACAATTTGCATCGCTACACAATTTGCTTATCTACACAAGTGTAGTACTACAATATACCAGACTTCATAATTAATAACACAGCACAAAAGCCACAATACATTAGCACAGAGCTACTCAACTGGCGCACCTCTCGAGTATTTGATTCAGACCGCACCTAATTATTTATTTTGGATCAATAATCCCACTTGTGAAGTTTCCTTTTATAAAATGACTTTTATAGTTTGAATATACCGGTAAATGAAAAAAAACTATAACACCATAATAAACAATCTTGATTAGCTAATAATCATCAGCTGGTCGAGGAAGTGTGCGTTTAAGGATGCCGAAATATAAATTCTGGAAAGACGGGACCCAAATAATTTCTAAGTTTTGTATGAGGATCTTCGGTAAAAATAGTTGAGTAGCCCAGCATTAGCATGCTTTAATGCGAATACAAAATAAACACAAAACAAAAGAGAATATGATGAAATCTCAGCCTGTTCAAAACCACAGGTTCATTAATACAGCAATGAAATCACACAAGATCAATGAGTCATCATCGCACTTATAAACACTGTGGTCACACATTCTTCTAACAAAGGCATGTTGTTATGGTGGTGGTTGCTAGGAAAACAGAAAATTTTTCAAACAGCTATTTATTTTTACAAATGATGATTTGAAAACAAGCTCGGAACGATATCCCACAAGTAAATCTTCAAAACGCTACATGAGCTTGGACTTTTAAATTGTTACACTACTATGAAGTGCACGGACGACATTTTGAGCATCTTTGAGTGTAATGTAACATGTGCCTTTACAGAACTTTGTAAAAGTTATTCTTTGTAAAAAGAAATAACTGTTTGACAAATTTTCTGTTTTTCTATTAACCACCCTGTATATTATTGATGAAAATTTTAGAATGAACTTCCTCATGGCGATGTGAAGGGTAAAGAGGGTCTATTTGGCTTTCCATTTAACTCTCTATTAATTCTTCAACTGTTCGGGCGCCCGGATTTCAATATTTTAGTTAATATTAATTCATTTTTGAACAGGTTTTCATCGAAACCGTCAAACGTCAAACATCAACTATGATGATATTTTTGTTTTTTTCAAAGGGCCATTAATATGTAAAAAACATTATCAAAATGGAATGGGAGTTTTGAATATATCTGCAGTCATTCAAATAAGTTTACAGTGCTAATTGGAAACATTTAGTCTCGTTGCATCAATGGCTGCTTATAAGAAGCTTTGTTTTCGAGACTAGGATGCAAGGGCAAACCATAAAAACGAGAATATCAGTCGGAGACTGAAGACTTGTCGATCGAAAGTTAGGGGATTCCCAAAATAGAAACTTCGATTTCGATTTATCCGCTCTTACTCCATAGCGACACTGTGTGTCCCATCACTGATTAATTAATAACTCGCTAATTATACGACATATTTCATCCAAAATCAATAGGCTTCTGGTCTGAAATATGATGAAGGCACATGCAAAATTTGGAGCAGATTCAACCTCGCTTTTGTGAGATATCGCTTGCATCTAACAGACAAATAAACAGACAGACAAACAAATACCTATCAACATACTTATCGAGATCGATAAGTACCGTAAATACAAAATGCTGATGGGTAATCGATTATTCACTGAATGACTGATTAACTTTGCTCTAAAATATTACAAATAAAACGAACAAGTTCAAACAAGTTAAAAATACTTCGATCTTGGTAATGACTAATGTATATTGATCATAACAAAAGTCTATGAACAGCTGCAGAATCATAAAAGAAAAAAGGCATCAACCTCTTGTTGCAAATTAATTATTATTGCCTGCAAATCAAATATTATTATCAATGTAGGTCACAACAAAGTAGAACCACAAAAAGCACAAAATAAAAATAATCAACGTAAAATTGCTGTTAATTAACTGAAGAAATTTCTCAAAACTAAACAATTACTTAAATGTATATTTCTATTGGGTTTGAAAATGGCCATTATACAGGGTGTTCATAAAGTCCAATTATACAATTTTGACTTTGTGACAAAGTCAGTTCACAATATATCTTAACCAGGTTTGTTTTTTACCTCATTTAATACACCAACCATAAGTTGCACGAAAAACCCCAAAGTTTTTTCTGGCCTAATTTATTACAGAACTTTATGAAGGCTCTCTATTTCCTGCTCTACAATAAAGGATTCGTGCAACACTTCTAACCTTTTCAATTAGGGAATAAAATTTTTTCAGAATAAATTCGGAGTATTTAACCATACAACCAAGTCTGCATGATAACACAATATATACACAAAGCAGTAAAACTGATATAGTAACTAAGCAAAGCAAACACAACAAACAAATATTGGAATAAATATTGTAGACTATGGGTGGGTGATCAAACATTCCAAAAATAGCCTCGTACAGGTTGACTACGAAAAACAGACCCAGGTCATTTGGAACATGATTATTTTGAAAAAAAACCTAAATATTTATGTCCATGGGAAAAATTAAAATCTTTATGATAGCTAGGCTATGATATACAGTTTTATTTTCCCCCTATCCTAAATTTATAAATTATTTAAAATAAAAATTCAGAAAAAAGAGATTTTGCCTACATGAATTTAGTTAAAGACAGTGTTGTAATCAAAACCACACACCCTACCCCACCCACACAAGAGTAAATATTTGAATGTCTGCTTTTTATAGTATTCTATAGCACACAATCAATGAAACATTCATGAGGAACAGGGGGGGGAATTCGAGCAACGAATTTTGGGGGTCGAGTACATCAATTTAACACAGGGTAATATAGCTATTATATCTTTTTAGATTTCTGATCCAAAACACAATTATTAAAGCTATTGCAAAACATAAATCTCGCGATTTCGAGAAAATACATAGGATCAGAAAAGCGGCATGCTTGCATTGAACGGTTCAGCATTTCAAACGTAAACAGAGGTTGCGGAAACTTTCAATTTATTGAAAGGGGTCGCAAGATTGAAAGTTTAGGAAAACCTGCGCTATATGATAAGCCATCTTATTAATGTTGAAATATAAGCTGCTTAAAGTATACATATTACTTGTCCTAAGGTTTTACTGAAGATAAAAAAAATTATTTGTATCCAAGTCCAATTGTATCCACAATCTTTAGGTCCCATCACCGTGACTAGCAGAGGACGGTGCACTCGGACTTCTGAACTGTTCTTTGGCACTTGCGGTGTGGATGATGAACCTTAATCTTTTCCGCATGCCTGGTTTCAAACGATCAATAATACCTTCTACTTGATTATTAATCGCTATTCCAATATGCATGTACTTGAGATGATATAAGAAGTCGGCAATTTCATCCATGAAACGTATGTCATCACAATTTTCGCTGACTTGCAAGAGCATGTCGTATAAAACCACTGCTACGTCAATCATACATCGTGTTCGCTCATGCTGAAACCTCGGCAAAAACGGCCCGATCAGATGAAAGACATACAAAAGTTGCAGTTCTGTCATTACGTTAGGTTTGACTTGTTCTTTTAAAAACTGCGGAACGAGTGAGAGCTGTCCGATTCCCATATGATGCCACACTACGTGAGTAAGAGCGAGTAAACGCGTGCAAGAATGGTCAGAAAAAGACAAGTGCTGATCGGAAAATTTAAGCAAGTAATACGGGTACTCTGTCATGCCGACTGCAGAAGAATTCAGTGCTGGTGATTGTATTACATTCACTAATTCTGTGTGTAACGGTTTCCAGTAAATTTCCGGTAAAGTTGTGAGTAAAAGAGCAACAGCATTGGTCCACATCATTACATATTTGCGCTCTATCACAGATTGCATTTTGAGAACAACTTCCATTAAAGCCAGACCAACAGATTCAGGTTGCATTGGTAAAGCCATCAACTCAACACAAGTGACGTGAAGAGCATGAGCAGCGGCGTTTGGAAATTCATTAAAGCGCCAATCGCAAGCTGGAAACGGTGCTGGATGTTTCCCATCAATTGTATCAACAAGACGTCTCACTAACATACAAAAATAATTGTTTTCAGGTTTCCAATTGTCTTGTTGAGCAGCGTAATTCAAGTATTGCTCAGATAATGCCCAGTTCTGCGGTTTTGTATCATTCATTGATCCTATAATTGTCGAAACAAGAGTTTTTTTCAAACTATGACGATCGCGTAATCTAGCTTCATAATAATGCAACGTATTGAATAAATACGTAATGGGTTGTTCATGGAATTTATACAACGGACCAAGATGAGCAAGTAATGTTTCTAACGAATTCGTTACCGGCATTAATTCCAAAAATCGATGAACAACTAAATCGAAAACTGGAAGAAATCTCAAAGTCAAGTTTCCAAAATAAACCGGCAAATATTGCTGAGAAGAATCCGAGCTCTTTTCTTCTTCTTCGCCCTCAGTGGCCGAAGATTTCAAACCTTCGAAATAAAATTTCTCAGGAAATTTTCGATGATAATTCATATGTTTGACATGCCAGTCATCTAGCGTCCAATGTTCCGCAGATTTTGTGTCTTGTACAAATGAATGAACTCTCGCACGGAAATCATCCGGCTTCATCAACAAGTACTGAATAATAAAGAAAGCAACCTGCGCTTCATTTCCTTCATTGCAACGCAAAGCCAAGCATAAAATTAGTTGGTCCAGAAATACCAGATTATATTTCAAAATCATATCTCGCACAATTGGAATGTATCGTTTTACATGACTACCACCATCTAGTGAGAACTCGTGCACCAAAAAATCTGAAAAAGTTCGCACATGTGTTGATAATTTTCGACGTCCAATGACAGTTAGAATATTGTGACAAACCAGTGAAGGCTTTCTGTCTAAAGTTAGAATCTTCCATAACAGACACAGAAAGAACGGAGGTGAGCCATCCATAGTGAAATACGCTAAAGCGTCACTTTCGCTTACTGCTGCATTGCTGTTGCTATTCGAATTGCCAGGTTGGGCACTTTTACTAATAACTTGGCCCCATTTTCGATATTCGTCTTCGACATTATTTTTTAACGTTTCTTTATTCGTACATTCGATTTGGTTATGTTGATAAAATATTTGTAAACTACGTGGAAAACATTTCAAAGTATGTGAAGCCCATCTATGTGGAGTTTCTTCCAAAATTGCTTTCAGAATATCGTTACACCACGATCCAGAAATTGTCTCGGCCCCTGTGATATGTATTGATCTTGCAAGTGTGAGCACTAATGCACGGTTAAGTTCCTCCGATTCTTTGGAAATTATTTGTTTCGGTTCACTCGTGAATCGTGATAATTGTGGTTTAACATCTGCGTTGGACAATGCTGTGATCATTCGTAATGCAGTACTTTCTACGCAAATTTGTAACTGGTTATGATCAGTATTAGGCTCTGCTGCTACCCGGTGTAAATTTGTCAATAATTGGATGCGATATTGAGGTTGAATATGATGCAAACGATAGCTGAACATTTCCAATAAAGTATTCAAAATACCGAGTGAGTTATTTTGTAAAACTTTCGGAAATACTTGACTAATAAGACCTTTGACCCCAAGCGATTCCGTTTCCATGTAAACCAACAATCGACTGTACGTCTCTACCACTGCAGGTGACAAAGCCACGTTCGAATTATTCTGCGCCAAATTCATAACTTTGACCACAATATGATGAATCAAACTCATTTTTGTGTGAACAGTTAAAGAATCGAGGAGACTCATTGAAAGTGGTGTTGTTTTAGCAAAAGCTACGCAGTTTTCTCCGGGTAAAGGTGTCGTGGTCGAATCTCCATAAATACTGTCAACTAGAGAGTTAATAGGTCCGTTGAAAAGTTCTGTTGTCGTGCTACAAGCGTTACATATCAGAGCGATCGCATAGTCTTGCAAACTGTTGTTCTTTGATTCCAAACAACGCTGCAAATACTCGTGGTGTTTTTGTAATGATACTGGTATCGCACAATGTTGAAATTGTGCAGTTTTGGACGTGGTGCTAATAGACCCCGAAGAGCTGTTAGAACTTGCATTTTCTTGTTGTTGATTATCACTCTGGGCTTTCCTGTTCAAATGCATTAAAATGCAAATTGCAGCAAACTTGTGTGTGCTGAACGGCTTCGTTATATCAGGTTCTGGAAGAGGTTGACGTTCAGAATACAACAAATTCATCAACTTTATAATCGGAAGAAAATCGCTAAGTGGATTTTTTTGAATGCTTCCTGAAATAAATTGAAGCAAGACCCACATCAAATGATCACGTCCATTTTTGACATTTCTTGATGAAAGTTTCTGATAAAAATTTTCAACCATTCTTGGGAAAACTGCGAATTGCAAAAGAACAAAGTAGATCACCTGACTTGATAAATGTTGCCATTGTAAATGTATTATACGATAAGCATCGTCCTTTTCATCTAAATTTTCGATTTCACTAGTTCGTTCCATTGTGCTGACAACTAAATCAACCAGTTCTGTTTCTAACGCTTCGCATCTTTGCTTTTGCTGTTTTTGAAGATTCAGAACATGACACACCATATCTCTTGAATACGGCTGCTCAAGAATGTATCTCAAGAGCTTCGTTTGGCGTTGATATAAACTTTTATCATACGGAAGTTGTCCTTTCGTTGTGAATCTCAAAGTCTCATGATCAAGTTTCCAAGTGGTCGTTAACGGAACAGAAAAATGAAAAACAACCGGCAAAAGATGTGACCGTCCTGTTGTGGAAACCATGGTCGCCGTTGCACGAAATCTGTCTACAAACTCCGCGACTTTCCCTGATAGACTCCAATGACCGGGTGGTTGGTCCTCCCCAGAATATTGACGAATCTCATTAACGGCTAAATACCCTGGTAATAGACAAGCTTCTGGATCTAATAGGTATTCAATTACATCAATTATAGCATTCATTTGTTCTGTCATTTCAGACCAAGATGTTGTCGGTACATTTTTCAACTTCAACAGAACTAGATGCAGAATATCACGACATCCTTTATATTCAATTAAATGAATATATTCCTTTAAAATTTCAAACGTTTTGCACCAATGAACACGACGATTATGTTTCAACATTTCATGAGGAATTAAACGCTGCAGAACTGTTTTGGTAGGTAGTATCGAATCCTTCAAACAAATTTTGATCATGTCCGCTACAAAATTTATGTGACGTAAAACAGTTTGTTTATGGAAAAAATTCAACAAACCAGACACACAATCTTCGGGCGCAATCTCTCGGGTCATTTCTTGAAATTGAGAAAGGCATGCACGGAGCCGTTTGTCATGATCTTCTGGAGTTAAACGAACAAATCCAGCAAAAACATTCACTATTGTATCTGTCTTCAATGCGTCGTCGAAAACTTTTTCAAGTCTACTATCAATAGACATGTTGATTCCCTTGTTTAGAAAAAATTCATTGAATGGAAAATTTTCAGCAAAAGTCTGACATTACTTAAATCCAATATACAGTAAATAATGGCTCTATAAGTATTACTGAAATATTAATTGGATTATTTTATATAGGCCTATTAAATGTCTTGGTAAGAATTACTACAGTATTGATTACAGAAAAAGAATGACATTAATGTGGCAAATAAAAGAAGCGCCAATATAGTAGTACAATACGACACAATATCCAAATTCATAGAATTTCCCTCCAATTTGTTCAATAAAACATACACTCCATGTGTCTCACAAAAGAGGGCACCACGTCGGATGCGTCATATCACGCCATGCTTGTCTCAATAGTAATCTAAATTAATCGCGGCCGCCATGTGACCAAAATTGCCGTTTTTCGCTAAAAACTCTCGAATGCCACGGTAAAAAACTTTTTCCCTTCGGTAAATTGGATTATTTTTTCCAGAGAAATTCAATGATGACGTTTTTAGATTGCGCTTTTTTGTAGTATTTTGCGCCAACTTCATTATACTGCATTTTTACCGATATTGAGGGACAACAATGTCCAGACGTCTGCCAAAGGAGGACTGTCTGATCATCGGTAAAATGGGTTTCTCTGAAACAGGACAATGTCACTCGATTTGTATAGTGTGCTGTACTGTAGTGACATAAATTTGCTTGAATGATTTATTGAGTAAGCTAATAGTAGGCTGTTCAAAATTTAAATATCCTGCGACGCCAAAACCAAATTAAATGGTTCTTCCAAATTGAATTAAATATTAAACTAGACGAGTATTTTAATTTAAAAAATCCAGTTATCATACAGATAAATTAGAATTTCGACAATTTCAATCAAATACCGTATTTATTCGATTATAACGCGCAAAATTTTGAACTGAATTTTAGGCAAAAATCAATGCTGCGCGTTATACACGAGGTCTGAGAAATGCGGTATTGAAAATGTGGTTTTAAACATCTGAAACGTGCGGCGCTCGCGCATGCACATTCCAATGCAGGACGATTTCGTGCAAGCACATGCACATGCGACAGCTCAGCATGCGTTTGACATTCCCGCTGCGTTGAGAATATTTATTTGCCATTATCGTACTGTACTGTAGATACGTGTAGATCACGTAGAGAAAGTGATGTTCCCGCCGATTGGGACACTGATTTAAACATAACCCAAACAAAAATCGAACAGTTGTTTGGTGAATCAGAGACTGAATCCGATTTTGAAGAGTTTTGAATTACTGTGTGCTTTTAATAAATTTTTGTTCATGCTGTGAGTTGTTACCTTATGTGCTTACCAGTAGTTAGTAGAGAAAAAATAAAAAAAAGAATTTTATACCAATTTTCATTCAAAATTTAAAGGTGCGCGTTATACACGAGTGCGCGTTATAATTGAATAAATACGGTAAATTATACATGAAGTTCTGCACAGTACTGCAGTATTTAACAAAGTGTTAATCGATAAATTAACATAGGAACAGGACTTGAAAATGTATCCAAAGCGAAATTCAAAATGTTTACAAACTTTTTCATGAACTGGCCGACGATATCAAACTTCTAAAAATTGATTCAATATCGATATGATAAATAAAAATACTAAGCACTAAAACTTGGAATTTAGCAGAAAACTTTGAATAAAAAGCAACATAGTAGGATGTATAAACTTATCAGATCAAATTTAATTAGTGTGGCCACAAGTTACATTGTCCACTGTTTAGAAATGAAATACTGCAAACCACACTTGAGATGTGGATGAGAGACATGTACGTACACTGCAGCACTGCCAACAACTCAGGATTTGAAAACAAATTTGAATGAAATTCAGTCACAACATTTATTTTCAAATCACATTTTTGTTTGTTGTTATTTAGGCACTTACTTGCGTTAACTATTTAAGACCTGTAGACCCCAAACTTGTTCACAACTTACTTGATGATAAAATATATTACAAGAGGAGCCAAGTTTAAATTGCTGAATAGTCTTGTCTAGGAGGCGCGGCGGTGTGGCTCAACGGGCTAAGCGTTAGGAATACGCTCGTGACCGCACCTCTAATTACTCTGCGTGGGTTCGAATATCATGCAGGGATGGTTATGTGCGAGAGGATTGCTGGACTCCTCGCCGTCATTGGGTGGTTCATGTAACCGCTGGTCGGTTATGGCTTCCTCCAGCACCAAGTCCATGCTTCCGAAAACAAACAATACGGTAAAACTAATCCCATACCCGACTTGGAATGGTAACCGGACGTGAGGCCGTGGTTCGCCATATGGATAAGCCGTCTTATCGGCTTTCCTCTCCCCCGGGATAAATATGTAAATCCTATCCTATCCTAGTTATAGAAAGCAATAAACGAACTTCCACAAGAGTCTATGGTTGAGCCAAATAAGATAATTCACTATGAAAACGATTCCAAGTTACTAATAAAATATATATTCCAAGTCCCATAATAAAATATGTAAATACACAATACAAAACACACAAAGGCAATTATTTAAATCCAATTTGCCCATCTTCTCTAAATGTCCAACTTCATTTACTTCCATGTTTGATCCATGTTTCCAGGGTTGATCACTATGATGCACAAAGATCAAAACGTATTTTGAATTCGGCTGTGGTTTTGCTCTGCTGTTTTGTATATACTGTAAGTTTTATACGCTTACTTAGTATGATATAATAAGTTTACCGTACTGTTTATATCATTTAAAATAATTTTTTAATGTCAACTTTTCCAAACTTTATAAAAAAAATAAGAGAGGGAACATTCATTTTAACCGTGTAGGAATAATTTGCTAATTAGTGGGGCGTGACGACAAATATTAGCGACCTCTAGCGAATTGTTTTGCCTCATTTTTATCGTCAGCAGGTGACACACTTGAGCTTTTTGTTATTGATTTTTTGCCAGAATTTTCTTCTCATTTCGTAAAAGAACAACTTATTTTTATTCTACTATTTTGTGTAAATTTTGTGTAAAAAAGAAAAAAATTTTAGTGTGAAGGAAGACGCGATAAACCAGTAATGGTTAATTTCGATAGATGATATTTTCGATTTCGTGGAATCACCACGGTTTTATATTCCAGGTATTCGTGTGTACTGTGTATGCAACATTTGTCAAGGTGCCTTGAACCCATAATACTGTGATTCATTGATGCTTTGTGTATGATTGCTGCTTAGAATTTTAGATTTGGTAGATAAATCAACTTTTCTGATTGACTAATTGTATTGCAGACTCAGGGATGGCCAATACCGAATAGTTCACTATTTCGAATACATTCGAAATAATTATTTTCGAATATGAAATTTCGAATACTTCGAAAAAAAAAACCAGTAATAGAATCTAAGTGTATGAAGGAATTTTCATACAATAAACAATGGAATAACTTCTATCTCTAACCTGGCTATATTACCAGACATTTCATGTTTGCAGATTATTGCGATATATATTTTATATAACATGAGTTGTGTTAATTAACAGAATTAAAATAATACGACAAGGCATTTTAAATAGTGGTATCGGTGATGGATTTGAATGCTTGCGCAACACAAAATCATCCTAGTAAAACGCCCATACTTTTAAATACCAACCATTATCCAAATTATTTGCCAAAAAGCGGGATGAAGTATGAGGTATTTATCCGACTTGTAACAATTTTTTCGTGAGTACAAAAATACGAATCAAAAAGTAAATATATTTGGGAACTTTACCACACATTTTAAGTCCGCAGATCGCCGTTGTATGTTTGTGTAATAATACTTTAATTATTTTATAAATACGAAAATAGGGTTCAAAAACTACTCATAATCGGGTAGTTTCCCACACATTCAAATTCCACAGATCGCCGTTGTATTTTGTAAATACGAAAATAGGAATCAAAAATTAATATCAATCGCGAGGTTGCCTCACAATTTATGTCCACAGAATACCGTGATATTGTGCCCGAATATAATTAATTTTTGATTCCTATTTTCGTTACAAGTCTGAAAAATAATTTATACTTTATCACACATTCAAGTCCACAAATCGCCGTTGTATTTTTGAGTTATAATAGTTTTAATATTTTGTAAATACGAATCCGAAATTAAATATAATTGGGCAGTTTAGCACACATTCATGCCCACAAATACCCGTAGTATTTGGTATTACGGTAATACTTTCATTATCGATACTTTTGACCATCATTATCAAAATTATTTGCCGGAAAGCGGGTGAAAGTATTTTTCCAATAAATCAACTTGTTTCCCAACTTGTGACAATTTATTGGATATCGTAACAATTACGGCAATAATTACCGTATTTCCCGGCTAATAAGTCTACATGGCAAATAGGACGATGTATATTTTTAGCACTCAAAAAAGGGGGGTTTTCCATATAGGCCTCCAATAAGACAGGTAGAAAAATTGTTCCCTGTTGTTCAGTTATGCTAATATGCGCTAATAATTTCATATGTTTAGAACCAGATCCCGTTTGTTTAGTAGAATCATACTCACAGAATTAACTATTTTTAACAATAAAGCAGTAATTTTAAGTTAAAAATCACAATCATTTTGAACAATCTATAATTTTATAGGGTCAGAACAGAACCAGATCATGTTTGTTTGGTAGAACCATACTCACGGAATTAACTATTCTTAACAATGAAACGGTAAATTTAAATTATAAAGCGGCAATCATTTTGGACAACCTATCAACCCGAATGTTGAAATAATTTTGGAATGTGATAAGTACCACACGGTACGTCCACGGGTTATTTCACAGCTGTGTTCCATGTCCCTGTCGTTTTCTGCTGAATCGGCAAAACCAAAGGGTCATAAATCACTTACTTTATCTCGGTGGCTGTGTTTTCTCTTTTAATTAACGATAACCGGCCTACGATTAAATATCATGATTGGCAGACCCATAAGAACCAAATATAAGGTTAACACAAATTTTACTTAAGAAGACTAATGCGAAAAATAAGCAGGCCACATAGATAGGCTTACCATATATCTGAAACAAAAAAACGGGACGGTGCGATTTGGCAAACATTCAGTCTATTGCCAATCTTAGTAATATTAAAACTTCTACCATGCCATTGATGGTATATACAGCTGTTAATCTTTACTGGTCTTTAAATTAGGAAAACACAAAAAATTAGTTTGTATTATTTATTTAGACCAAAAGTATTTGTCCGCAGAAAGAACGCTTCTTAAAAATACTTGGCTCGATTTGATTTTGTCATAAAACTGATAACATGGCAGATCCCCATTAATTTTGCAGGGGACGAGTGCTTTAATATTTTCTTCTAGCATTCCGCCCCTGCTTTCAGACCAAAAAATTTTAACAATTGAGAAAAGCCGTTCATCAGATGCCGATGTTTCAGGCAAACAAAATACAAATTCAATAATTTTCGGCAAATTCAAAATACTAATGTTTTTGCTTGAAAAATTCTTGAACATTTCTATCCACTTATCCTCAACGGGCAAAGTAAGCCAAATTGCATTTGATCTATGCTCGGATAAATATTTCTTTATCCATCGCTTGCGATGGAATAAACACACTTTCCATTTTTTCTTGCTTCAACTCAGGCAAAATATTTGCAACATCTACAGCATTAGTATTATCTTTTTCCAAAATGAGAACAATTTTGAAGTAGGTGAGCTGGCCAAGGACAAATTTCAAGTAAAGTTCGTACGCTGGATCGTCGAAACATTTTTGTAGAAGAGTCGGGCATCCTTCTAGAGAATTGAAATAACTTTTCAAGCCTTCAATATCCGTAATCCTCTACAGAGCAGGTAATAATGAGAGAAACCGAGTGTTGCCATGCTGCAATAGCCGTTGATATTCAATATCAACAAAGTCGCAGAATGATTTCAGTTCTGTTACTCGGACAGTGTAAATGTAAAATTTGTGCTTTCTTTCAGTTTGAAACAAACAATATTTGTACCGCGTCTTTTTACGCCTCCTACGTAGGTGTTGCAGTTATCCGCACAGAATCCAACAACTCTTCCTTTCAAATGTTTTTGATCGAGAACAGAGAGCAAGTATTCAGTAAAAGTTTCGGCGGTTTCCCCGGGTAAAGATTTGAATTCTAATAGTTTTATTCACACCAACATCAGGTAAAAAATAACGAACCACAACTGGAACAAGCTATAAATCTTTTCTGCCCAATGCACCGATGGTTACTGATACGAGTTCAGAGGATAGCAGTGGAGCAATGCAATTAACAATCACCGACTCGCATTTAGTTCTGGCTAATGCAAATTTAGGCTAAAAAAATTTGAAATTAAGTTAGAGGTGCAGTGAAAACTTTGGCCATGAACAGCAGTATGATAGGCAACTGTGGCCTTTTGGCTTCCAAAAAACAAAGAATCTTTCGAATTTGTTATCGCAAAGAAGTTGGTGAGTCGAGCCGATAATGATTGGTGCTTCTTGCTTTGGAGATGATCGTTGACATCTGAACGACCGCCATGACTAATAGAAATAACAGATCTGCAATGAGTACAAAGTGTTTTTCCTCCTTCAGTTTGCTTCAAATAAGGAAAATCTCTCTTCAACTCATTGGAAAATTTGCACTTTCTTTTTGGCATTTCGACAACTTAACGGCAGAGCAATTAACGTCAGGTGACGCATTAAAACATATCACAATTGTGACATAACAATAGACAAATTTCTCTCTCTCTCTCTGAACATGTAAAGTGTGTCGCAAATCAGTGGTGGTAAGTGGGCTGTCTTCAATAAAAATAAATTATAATAATATTGAATATGAACTTTTACCCATGGCAGCCGAGCTGCCAAACCGGGACATTTGAGTCTACCGGCCGGGACAGCTTGTTAAAACCGGGACGTATGGTAAGCCTACACATAGAAATAAAATAAACATACTTTCTCAATAAGGCGCCCCCTCCCCCCAAAAAATCAAGCCGAAATTGGGTCTAGAAAAGCGACTTATTAGCCGGGAAATACGGTGATTGTCGATTTTTCGACTAATGGAAATGATTTTGTGAATTAAAAGACGAATGTCGGCAATGTCCACCAACGCAAACGTGCAAATGTGTCGCAACACTATGCGACGTACATTCGCGCTGAATATAAACAATCAATATGCAGATTCTATTTCATCGTCATTACAATTCCACATAAATTAACATTCCAATATGGAGAAGATGAGGGCAAGAATGCTGCGGTATCGCGACAATTTGCATCGCTACACAATTTGCTTATCCACACAAGCGTGGTACTACAATATACCAGACTTCATAATTAATAACACAGCACAAAAGCCACAATATATTAGCACAGAGCTACTCAACTGGCGGACGCGGTCCGAATCCAGACCTCTCGAGTATTTGATTCAGACCGCACCTAATTATTCATTTTGGATCAATAATCCCACTTGTGAAGTTTCCTTTCATAAAATGACTTTTATAGTTTGAATATAAATGAAAAAAACTATAACACCATAATAAACAGTCTTGATTAGCTAATAATCATTAGGCGGTAGAGAAAGTGCGCATTTAAAGATGCCGAAATATAAATTCTGGAAAGACTGGACCCAGATAATTTTTAAGTTTTGTATGAGGATGTTCGGTAAAAATAGTCGAGTAGCCCTGCATTAGCATGCTTTAATGCGAATACAAAATAAACACAAAACAAAACAAAATATGATGAAATCTCAGCCTGTTCAAAACCACAGGTTCATTAATACAGCAATGAAATCACACAAGATCAATGAGTCATCATCGCACTTATAAACACTGTGGTCACACATTCTTCTAACAAAGGCATGTTGTTATGGTGGTGGTTGCTAGGAAAACAGAAAATTTTTCAAACAGCTATTTATTTTTACAAATGATGATTTGAAAACAAGCTTGGAACGATATCTCACAACGCCACAATTTAACCTTCAAAACACTACACAAACTCCAGGTACGCCGGTACAAGACCAACTATGATGCTATTTTTGTGTTTTTTAAAGGGCCATTAATATGTGAAAAACATTATCAAAGTGGAATAAGAGTTTTAAATATATCTGCAGTCATTCAAATAAGTTTACAGTGCTAATTGGAAAACTTTAGTCTCTTTGCATCAATGGCTGCTTATAAGGAGCTTTGTTTTCGAGACTAAGATGCAGGGACAAACCATAAAAAATACAAAATGCTAATGGGTAAATGATTATTCACTGAATGACTAATTAACTTTGCTCTAAAATATTACAAATAAAACGAACAAGTTCAAACGAGTTAAAAATACTTCGATCTTGGTAATGACTAATGTATATTGATCATAGCAAAAATTAATGAACAGCTGCAGAATCATAAAAGAGAAAAAAAGCATCTTGTTGCAAATTTATCATTATTGCCTGCAAATCAGATATTATTATCAATGTAGGTCACAACAAAGTACAACCACAAAAAGCACAAAATAAAAATAATCAATGTAAAATTACTGTTAATTAACTGAATTCTTTTTTACTACAAGAAATTTCTCAAAACTAAACAATTACTTAAATGTTCAAATCTATTGGATTTGAAAATGGCCATTATACAGGGTGTTCATAAAGTCCAATTATACAATTTTGACTTTGTGACAAAGTCAGTTCACAATATATCTTAACCAGGTTTGTTTTTCATTTCATTTAATACACCAACCACAAGTTGCACGAAGAACCCCCAAGTTTTTTTTTTGGGCCTAATTTATTACAGAACTTTATGAAGGCTTTCTATTTCCTGCTCTACAATAAAGGCTTCGTGCAATACTTATAACCTCTTCAATTGAAGAATAAATTTTTGTCAGAATAAATAAGGAGTATTTAACCATACAACCAAGTCTGCATGATAACACAATATATACACAAAGCAGTAAAACTGATATAGTAACTCAACAAAGCAAACACAACAAACAAATATTGGAATAAATATTGTAGACTATGGGTGGGTGATCAAACATTCCAAAACTTTTTGTGCCCATCAAAATATTCCAAAATAGCTTCGTAAAGGTTACAAAAAACAGACCTCATTTGGAGCATGATTTTTTTGAAGAAAACCTGAATATTTTTGTCCATGGGAAAAATTAAAATCTTTATGATAGCTGGGCTATGATATACAGTTTTGTTTTCCCCCTATCCTAAATTTATAAATTATTTAAAATAAAAATTCAGGAAAAAGTGATTTTGACGACATGTATTTAGTTAAAGATGATGTTGTAATCAAAACCACACACCCTGCCCCACCCACACAAGAGTAAATATTTCAATGTCTGCTTTTTATAGAATTCTATAGCACACAATAAATGAAACATCCATGAGGAATAAGTGTTAATTAATCAAGATTATTTTAACATTAGTACAATCATGGGAGCATGTTTATAGATATGGAATGTTGAACTGGTTTTCGAAACAAATACACACTTACTGGTAACTGAATGAGATGACATAATTCGATATATCGGAGGTTCGCAAACTTGGGGTCGCGATCCAGTCGGGGGGGGATTTCGAGTAACAAATTTTAGGGGCCGAGTACACCAATTTAACACAGGGTATTATATCTAATATACTTTTTTAGATTTCTGATCCAAAACACAATTATTAGAGCCAGTGCAAAACATAAATCTCACGATTTCGAGAAAATACATAGGATCAGAAAAGCGGCATGCGTGCATTGAATGGTTCAGCATTTCAAACCTAAACAGAGGTCGCAGAAAATTTCAATATATTGAAAGGGGTCGCAAGATTGAAAGTTTAGGAAAACCTGCGCTATATGATGAGCCATCTTATTAATGTTGAGATATAAGCTGCTTAAAGTATACATATTACTTGTCCACAGCTTTTACTGAAGATAAAAAAAATTATTTATAAAGTCCAATTGTATCCACAATCTTTAGGTCCCATCATCGTGACTAGCAGAGGACGGTGCACTCGGACTTCTGAACTGTTGTTTGGCACTTGCGGTGTGGATGATGAACCTTAATCTTTTCCGCATTCCTGGTTTCAATCGATCAATAATACCTTCTACTTGATAATTAATCGCTACTCCAATATGCATGTACTTGAGATGGTATAAGAAGTCGGCAATTTCATCCATGAAACGTATGTCATCACAATTTTCGCTGACTTGCAAGAGCATGTCGTATAAAACCACTGCTACGTCAATCATACATCGTGTTCGCTCATGCTGAAACCTCGGCAAAAACGGCCCGATCAGATGAAAGACATACAAAAGTTGAAGTTCTGTCATTACGTTAGGTTTGACTTGTTCTTTTAAAAACTGCGGAACGAGTGAGAGCTGTCCGATTCCCATATGATGCCACACTACGTGAGTAAGAGCGAGTAAACGCGTGCAAGAATGGTCAGAAAAAGACAAGTGCTGATCGGAAAATTTAAGCAAGTAATACGGGTACTCTGTCATGCCGACTGCAGAAGAATTCAGTGCTGGTGATTGTATTACATTCACTAATTCTGTGTGTAACGGTTTCCAGTAAATTTCCGGTAAAGTTGTGAGTAAAAGAGCAACAGCATTGGTCCACATCATTACATATTTGCGCTCTATCACAGATTGCATTTTGAGAACAACTTCCATTAAAGCCAGACCAACAGATTCAGGTTGCATTGGTAAAGCCATCAACTCAACACAAGTGACGTGAAGAGCATGAGCAGCGGCGTTTGGAAATTCATTAAAGCGCCAATCGCAAGCTGGAAACGGTGCTGGATGTTTCCCATCAATTGTATCAACAAGACGTCTCACTAACATACAAAAATAATTGTTTTCAGGTTTCCAATTGTCTTGTTGAGCAGCGTAATTCAAGTATTGCTCAGATAATGCCCAGTTCTGTGGTTTTGTATCATTCATTGATCCTATAATCGTCGAAACAAGAGTTTTTTTCAAACTATGACGATCGCGTAATCTAGCTTCATAATAATGCAATGTATTGAATAAATACGTAATTGGTTGTTCATGGAATTTATACAACGGACCAAGATGAGCAAGTAATGTTTCTAACGAATTCGTTACCGGCATTAATTCCAAAAATCGATGAACAACTAAATCAAAAACTGGAAGAAATCTCAAAGTCAAGTTTCCAAAATAAACCGGCAAATATTGTTGAGAAGAATCCGAGCTCTTTTCTTCCTCTTCGCCCTCAGTGGCCGAAGATTTCAAACCTTCGAAATAAAATTTCTCAGGAAATTTTCGATGATAATTCATATGTTTGACATGCCAGTCATCTAGCGTCCAATGTTCCGCAGATTTTGTATCTTGCACAAATGAATGAACTCTCGCACGGAAATCATCCGGCTTCATCAACAAGTACTGAATAATAAAAAAAGCAACCTGCGCTTCATTTCCTTCATTGCAACGCAAAGCCAAGCATAAAATTAGTTGGTCCAGAAATATCAGATTGTATTTCAAAATCATATCTCGCACAATTGGAATGTATCGTTTTACATGACTACCACCATCTAGTGAGAACTCGTGCACCAAAAAATCTGAAAAAGTTCGCACATGTGTTGATAATTTTCGACGTCCAATGACAGTTAGAATATTGTGACAAACCAGTGAAGGCTTTCTGTCTAAAGTTAGAATCTTCCATAACAGACACAGAAAGAACGGAGGTGAGCCATCCATAGTGAAATACGCTAAAGCGTCGCTTTCGCTTACTGCTGCATTGCTGTTGCTATTCGAATTGCCAGGTTGGGCACTTTTACTAATAACTTGGCTCCATTTTCGATATTCGTCTTCGACATTCTTTTTTAGCGTTTCTTTATTCGTACATTCGATTTGGTTATGTTGATAAAATATTTGTAAACTACGTGGAAAACATTTCAAAGTATGTGAAGCCCATCTATGTGGAGTTTCTTCCAAAATTGCTTTCAGATAATCGTTACACCACGATCCAGAAATTGTCTCGGCCCCTGTGATATGTATTGATCTTGCAAGTGTGAGCACTAATGCACGGTTAAGTTCCTCCGATTCTTTGGAAATTATTTGTTTCGGTTCACTCGTGAATCGTGATAATTGTGGTTTAACATCTGCGTTGGACAATGCTGTGATCATTCGTAATGCAGTACTTTCTACGCAAATTTGTAACTGGTTATGATCAGTATTAGGCTCTGCTGCTACCCGGTGTAAATTTGTCAATAATTGGATGCGATATTGAGGTTGAATATGATGCAAACGATAGCTGAACATTTCCAATAAAGTATTCAAAATACCGAGTGAGTTATTTTGTAAAACTTTCGGAAATACTTGACTAATAAGACCTTTGACCCCAAGCGATTCCGTTTCCTTGTAAACCAACAATCGACTGTACGTCTCTACCACTGCAGGTGACAAAGCCACGTTCGAATTATTCTGCGCCAAATTCATAACTTTGACCACAATATGATGAATCAAACTCATTTTTGTGTGAACAGTTAAAGAATCGAGGAGACTCATTGAAAGTGGTGTTGTTTTAGCAAAAGCTACGCAGTTTTCTCCGGGTAAAGGTGTCGTAGTCGAATCTCCATAAATACTGTCAATTAGAGAGTTAATAGGTCCGTTGAAAAGTTCTGTTGTCGTGCTACAAGCGTTACATATCAGAGCGATCGCATAGTCTTGCAAACTGTTGTTCTTTGATTCCAAACAACGCTGCAAATACTCGTGGTGTTTTTGTAATGATACTGGTATCGCACAATGTTGAAATTGTGCAGTTTTGGACGTAGTGCTAATAGACCCCGAAGAGCTGTTAGAACTTGCATTTTCTTGTTGTTGATTATCACTCTGGGCTTTCCTGTTCAAATGCATTAAAATGCAAATTGCAGCAAACTTGTGTGTGCTGAACGGCTTCGTTATATCAGGTTCTGGAAGAGGTTGACGTTCAGAATACAACAAATTCATCAACTTTATAATCGGAAGAAAATCGCTGAGTGGATTTTTTTGAATGCTTCCTGAAATAAATTGAAGCAAGACCCACATCAAATGATCACGTCCATTTTTGACATTTCTTGATGAAAGTTTCTGATAAAAATTTTCAACCATTCTTGGGAAAACTGCGAATTGCAAAAGAACAAAGTAGATCACCTGACTTGATAAATGTTGCCATTGTAAATGTATTATACGATAAGCATCGTCCTTTTCATCTAAATTTTCGATTTCACTAGTTCGTTCCATTGTGCTGACAACTAAATCAACCAGTTCTGTTTCTAACGCTTCGCATCTTTGCTTTTGCTGTTTTTGAAGATTCAGAACATGACACACCATATCTCTTGAATACGGCTGCTCAAGAATGTATCTCAAGAGCTTCGTTTGGCGTTGATATAAACTTCTATCATACGGAAGTTGTCCTCTCGTTGTGAATCTCAAAGTCTCATGATCAAGTTTCCAAGTGGTCGTTAACGGAACAGAAAAATGAAAAACAACCGGCAAAAGATGTGACCGTCCTGTTGTGGAAACCATGGTCGCCGTTGCATGAAATCTGTCTACAAACTCCGTGACTTTCCCTGATAGACTCCAATGACCGGGTGGTTGGTCCTCCCCAGAATATTGACGAATCTCATTAACGGCTAAATACCCTGGTAATAGACAAGCTTCTGGATCTAATAGGTATTCAATTACATCAATTATAGCATTCATTTGTTCTGTCATTTCAGACCAAGAGGTTGTCGGTACATTTTTCAACTTCAACAGAACTAGATGCAGAATATCACGACATCCTTTATAATCAATTAAATGAATATATTCCTTTAAAATTTCAAACGTTTTGCACCAATGAACACGACGATTATGTTTCAACATTTCATGAGGAATTAAACGCTGCAGAACTGTTTTGGTAGGTAGTATCGAATCCTTCAAACAAATTTCGATCATGTCCGCTACAAAATTTATGTGACGTAAAACAGTTTGTTTATGGAAAAAATTCAACAAACCAGACACACAATCTTCGGGCGCAATCTCTCGGGTCATTTCTTGAAAATTGAGAAAGGCATGCACGGAGCCGTTTGTCATGGTCTTCTGGAGTTAAACGAACAAATCCAGCAAAAACATTCACTATTGTATATGTCTTCAATGCGTCGTCGAAAACTTTTTCAAGTCTACTATCAATAGACATGTTGATTCCCTTGTTTAGAAAAAATTCATTGAATGGAAAATTTTCAGCAAAAGTCTGACATTACTTAAATCCATATACAGTAAATTAATGGCTCTATAAGTATTACTGAAATATTAATTGGATTATTTTATATAGGCCTATTAAATGTCTTGGTAAGAATTACTACAGTATTGATTACAGAAAAAGAATGACATTAATGTGGCAATTAAAAGAAGCGCTAATATAGTAGTACAATATAGGGATGGGACGAGTCCGGCATTACAGAGATTCGACGAATCCGAGTAATAGGCCAAGGACTCGAATCGAATCCTCCGAGTCCGTGATGTCATAATGTAAAAGTAGAAAAACACGTTTTTGACCATATTACAGCATCGCGCGCTCACAAACATACGTCGTAGCTCATATTTTTTGCCTAATGGTTCCGCAGATAGCTGTTGGATCAATTTAAAAATATATTTTTTTTTTTTTTTTGGCGACCATAATACAAACGTAAACGTGGGTCAATGTGCGCCTTGGCTGTGAACTGGATTTCCAGCCCACCACCTTGCGTCAGTTCTGGGCGGCTTTAAAAATTCTCAATGTCAATATGAAAAATAAAAAAGCTTTTGACTACAATGCTTCCCATAATTCCAGATATTTCGAGCCTTAAATTTACTATGTGGCGTGCGCAAATGGTAGAGAGAATGCCCACTCGTCGTCAATACAATGATTTCAATTTAGTTAGTTCATGTAAGCGTTCTAAAACGCTCCATGCTTTCCATTGCTCCCTTATTATAGAAAAGGATTGCACGTAATGAACTCGATTTAAAAAGAGGTATCGATGAGATTCCCCATTGAGTTGATCCAGAGCATGCTTCATTTTTACCGAATCAAAAACTCAAAAATATTGCGCTAACACATATTTTATTGTCTATCAAAAAGATAGATTAGTTTGAAGGCGACTGCACAACATCATTGTTATAAGCGATCAATAGTTTTTAACATGCGTTTATATTATCTGGATATCTGTTGTCGCTTTTATTAGGAGTTGTTTATAGTACACATGTGAGGGATATTTTTACAGATTTAACCTTGAATTTTAACTCGTTAAGGTATGTAGTGAGATTTATAGAGGCAACAGTACAAATATAGGCGTAAATTAGTAAAAACAGAATTGATTATAGACTCGGTAAAAATGACGTGGACTCGGAATCGAATCAGAGTCCAAAAAATGCGTGGATTCGACTCGAATCCAAGTCCGGATCCGAATCCCGGCCCATCCCTAGTACAATACGACACAATATCCAAATTCCTAGAATTTCCCTCCAATTTGTTCAATAAAACATACACTCCATGTGTCTCACAAAAGAGGGCACCACGTCGGATGCGTCATATCACGCCATGCTTGTCTCAACAGTAATCTAAATTAATCGCGGCCGCCATGTGACCAAAATTGCCGTTTTTCGCTAAAAACTCTCGAATGCCACGGTAAAAAACTTTTTCCCTTCGGTAAATTAGATTATTTTTTCCAGAGAAATTCAATGATGACGTTTTTAGATTGCGCTTTTTTGTAGTATTTTGCGGCAACTTCATTATACTGCATTTTTACCGATATTGAGGGACAACAATGTCCAGACGTCTGCCAAAGGAGGACTGTCTGATCATCGGTAAAATGGGTTTCTCTGAAACAGGACAATGTCACTCGATTTGTATAGTGTGCTGTACTGTAGTGACATAAATTTGCTTGAATGATTTATTGAGTAAGCTAATAGTAGGCTGTTCAAAATTTAAATATCCTGCGACGCCAAAACCAAATTAAATGGTTCTTCCAAATTGAATTAAATATTAAACTAGACGAGTATTCAATTTAAAAAATCCAGTTATCATACAGATAAATTAGAATTTCGACAATTTCAATCAAATAAATTATACATGAAGTTCTGCACAGTACTGCAGTATTTAACAAAGTGTTAATCGATAAATTAACATAGGAACAGGACTTGAAAATGTATCCAAAGCCAAATTCAAAATGTTTACAAACTTTTTCATGAACTGGCCGACGATATCAAACTTCTAAAAATTGATTCAATATCCATATGAGAAATAAAAATACTAAGCACTAAAACTTGGAATGTAGCAGAAAACTTTGAATAAAAAGCAACATAGTAGGATGTATAAACTTATCAGATCAAATTTAATTAGTGTGGCCACAAGTTACATTGTCCACTGTTTAGAAATGAAATACTGCAAACCACACTTGAGATGTGGATGAGAGACATGTACGTACACTGCAGCACTGCCAACAACTCAGGATTTGAAAACAAATTTGAATGAAATTCAGTCACAACATTTATTTTCAAATCACATTTTTGTTTGTTGTTATTTAGGCACTTACTTGCGTTAACTATTTAAGACCTGTAGACCCCAAACTTGTTCACAACTTACTTGATGATAAAATATATTACAAGAGGAGCCAAGTTTAAATTGCTAAATAGTCTTGTCTAGGAGGCGCGGCGGTGTGGCTCAACGGGCTAAGCGTTAGGAATACGCTCGTGACCGCACCTCTAATTACTCTGCGTGGGTTCGAATCCCATGCAGGGATGGTTATGTGCGAGAGGATTGCTGGACTCCTCGCCGTCGTTGGGTGGTTCATGTAACCGCTGGTCGGTTATGGCTTCCTCCAGCACCAAGTCCATGCTTCCTAAAACAAACAATACGGTAAAACTAACCCCATACCCGACTTGGAATGGTAACCGGACATGAGGCCGTGGTTCGCCATAGGGATAAGCCGTCTTATCAGCTTTCCTCTCTCCCGGGATAAATATGTAAATCCTATTCTATCCTAGTTATAGAAAGCAATAAACGAACTTCCACAAGAGTCTATGGTTGAGCCAAATAAGATAATTCACTATGAAAACGATTCCAAGTTACTAAGCAATTAGGTAGACTACCCGTCCCATAATAAAATATATAAATACACAATACAAAACACACAATGGCAATTATTTAAATCCAATTTGCCCATCTTCTCTAAATGTCCAACTTCATTTACTTCCATGTTTGATCCATGTTTCCAGGGTTGATCACTATGATGCACAAAGATCAAAACGTATTTTGAATTCGGCTGTGGTTTTGCTCTGCTGTTTTGTATATACTGTAAGTTTTATACGCTTACTTAGTATGATATAATAAGTATACCGTACTGTTTATATCATTTTTATTTTTTATTTATTTTTTTTTTAATGTTTCCACAATGTGGATTAATCAATAATTAAAGAATAAATGAAATAATATAGGAATATCAATAATTATTGTATACAAGTGACAAAACAAATACATCATCAGCAGAGTAGTTGTTCCGTAATAGTCCATTTTCCATATAATAGTCCATTGGTATATCCAGTATGTATTTTCAACATTAATCATTAGTACAATATTTATTCATTAGCATTAATTATAATAATGAAAATATAAAAAATTTATTAGTTTCAATACTAAGGATCATTATGCAAAACTCAGAAGCTATTATATAAAATATCAAGTTCTCTTGTAAAATTTGGATTTTGTCTACACTTTTCAATATTCCTTCTTGCTATGAGGGAGTTCTTAATTTTCGTTATCACATTGTTGACATTAGGATTAACATTTTGGAAAATGACTAAGTTTCTCTGTCTGGCAGTACAAAATAATAGTATAATGGCATTACGTTCCAAGTTTGACAATTGTGAATAACATTGTTGATTCAAATCTAATAAAATACACGTAATATAATTATTTCTCAAAACACAATAATTGATTTTTAAGGCAATAGAATAAACATAATCATACACATTTTGTGTGAATGGACAGTTCTGAAATATGTGTGAAACAAACTCAGGCTCTTGTGAACAAAACACACATAATTCATTGCACAACATGTCCCACATTAATTATGATTAAAGGATTTTACACCATTGGACAATATTTTACTATGAATATTAGAGCAGGCCCCTTCTAAAGTACCATCTCGAAGAAACACAATTCTATTTCCCCCATTAAGGTTGTTCACTATTTTATTATAAAGTAGCCTATGCTTCCCTTGTTTCAAATCATTCCCTTTTTTTTTGCCAAATAAATTCCAATGCCAAACGGAATTTTCGTATATTAATTTTATTGTCGAATTAGTATAATTTGCACCCAATTAAAACAATTTCATAATTTCAAAACACATTGCCCACAAGTTCAATAATATATGTAACAATTAAAATATAAAACCATACCATTACCGGAGTTTTGTATCATATATAGTCCAATTTATATCCATTGAATATAGGTTAATCCATATTATCAGTCGTCATCCAATTCGTGCACACATTTTATATATAGTTACCAATAATTAATCGATTTAGTTAGTTTTTGCATGGAAATTAGAAAATAGAAAATTAGACAGAAAATCAGAAAACAGCCAAAGTGGGTTTTTTGGCATTTCTCTATTCACTATCTATGTATGAATTAATCCAAAATGATGCATAAATTTGGACATTGGAATCTTTTCATGTACTATCCATTTAAGTTGGTGTTGCATAGAAAATGTCAATGTCATGTCACATCATGATTGACCTATGTATGAGATCATCCATATGTTCATACAATAGTAAATCATTTCTTTCACTTGTTTTCATTAAATTTAAAACTCCTATCAGTTTACATTTGAATATTGAGCGCATACTACTTTTACTTTTAACTATTTCATCATATTTTACTGAATTTCTATATTCCCAAATTGTTGATTTTCCGCATATTATTGTGATTAATTTAGATTTGCATTCCGAATCATTTGCTAAAATAGTAATTCGATTATTTTCTACGCAGCACCATTGCCAGAAATCAACAGCCCATTGACATTCCAAAAATAAATGACATAAAGTCTCTTCAATATTACATTCACACATAACACATATACCTGGTTCATTCATGAACCAGTGTTTTATTTTATCCCCTGTTGGCAGTCCATTATGAATAACCTTCCAACACAACTCCTTATACTTATTTCCTATGTTAATTTTATATTTGTTCCAATTAATGGACTTGGTTAGTTGAAATTTATTC